TGCAAATCGAGGGGTTGCTGTAATAGTGACTATGAGGATTATATTAGGACCCTACTATATTCCTATTATACCACTATTACAGGGTGGGGGCCCCTTCCAAAGCCCAGCTCTTCGTGCCCTGGAAACCCTGCTACAAGGGCCTTGCAATCATTGCCTTCACTATTTTGGGGTTCCTTATTCTAGCCATAATACAATCCTATTCAAATTTGTTAGGGCTAGACTCTTAGAACTTGGACTCTTGGGGGGTAGAGCATCCTCCGAGTACATCCGGATCCCTTCAGGCCCATACTTAAAGAGCACTCTGGAAGGGTTCCACAAGGGTTCTGGAAGGGTGCGTATAACGGAATATATACCTTCGCCTTCAAGTAAATCAGTAATTCTGTAGGACGTCTCTAAGGCCAAAGTAGTTCTCAATCGGCGCCTGGAACCGTAAGGTGTAAAGGCTTCTGTTGCAATGTCGCTGACGATACCATAACCCCCCTAAATAGTAGAACCCTTAAGAATAAGGACCCCAAAATAAGGTACCCCTAATTTCGGAAACTCCATATTGCTTGGGGTGTAGGGGTTTGGTGCAACTCGCACTCCGGACTATCAGAACACAAGCCCAACCCCCAGAGGGTCCAAGTGCCCAAATAGTAGGGTTTTAGATCCCAAAATCCATACCCTGAATGGCTTTTGGAGATTGAAACCCTACTATTTGGGTACTTGGACCCTTAGAGACCTACATGTCCACTTTCCCCGAGGAACTACGGTTGATAGAAATCCTGCATTACCTTAAGGACCCTTAAAATATGGGAATTATGAGTATTTTCCTTATTATGGCTCATGGAGGATTTATATCATCAACCGTAGAGTTGAGCATGAACGCGGAGTTCCACAGCCGGAATCTAAGCTTGAAACCAAACCTCTAAACCCTAAATCCCCTGATTTCCAAACCCCCAAACTCAAACCCTAAGAACCCCTAAACCCCGAAACCCTATACCCTAACCCGCCTAAACCCTAAGCCTCAACAAGAAAATAGCCCCAAGATGCGACATCAGACTTAAATGACCGGAGGCCAAAAAGGGTTTCTTGGCCTGTAGGATTAGGGATTCCCGAATATGCTCCGTTTTGTGGGTTTAGGTTTACCCCCCTTTGGCCTCCTATGCTTGAAATTGCCGGACGGAGCGGCTGATTCGGCCTTGACAGCACGGCGGCCGCTCCACAAAGACTTATACCAGGTGTTGTGGCTGACGTGTGCCCAGACCGCCCAATATCCCTTACCTTAGGATCCCTAATCTTACCGTTGGTTAGTAGGGAATGGAGGAATGGGGTACCATTATAACTACTATTACTACCATTCTTCCATTCCCTATTAACCGAAGGTAAGTAATATGATTTAAGGTAGATCCTCAACTAAGGGATATTGGAAGGTCTGGGCGGTTCAGAAACAAGGGTTCAACTCAGATCGGGCATCGGAGTCTACGGCACATGGGAGTTTCCGAAAATTAGGGGTACCTCGTGTTGGGGTCCTTATAATAGGGTTCCTACTATTTAGGGTACTATATTGGGGTCCCTGATTTTCGGAAACTCCCACATATGGTTGATTTTCTTGAGTTTAGGGCTCGGAGTTTTACGTCTCAGTTACGCCCTTTATGGGCCCTAAATGAAGTTTAGCACTCCAGATCCCAGGAGGCAAACGCATTTCGATATACAGGGAACTCCAGAAAGTTGGAATATGGTTTCTTGGTAGGATACCCTATAATTTACCATAAAGGGTTTAGGATAATCATATTCCAACTTTCTGGCTTTTACTTTATGCTCGTTTCACCGAGGATTGTACATTTTTGGGTGACGGGGCTGAGGCCTAGCCTGCAGGGTTGTATGAGGATGTGGGCGTTTAAAGTTTAGGGTTGAAGGTTGCAGGAACTTGGTTTGTGGTGGAGTGCCTTGTGGGGCCATGCTGCGCATCTCTTGTCGACGTCCCCATGGCCCGCGGAAAATCAGCAGCGATGTCAAGAGGGCAAGAATGCGAGCATCACGGCACGGGAGGCTCCGGCCATTCACCCCGGCGACCTCTGGGAAACGAGTTGGTTTGTATCAGTCTTAAAAACTTGTTCGAAACAATGGCGGCGATCTTCTCTGATTGTCAGATTCCACAGCCAGCCAATTCTGGAGCCTCTCCCAGTGGTATCGAAAGATGAACACTTAGACCTCGGTTTCGCTCCAGTTTAGGCTCGAGATTGGGCCGCCCTGAACGAACGTCCGAGCCCAAATTCAAAAGCCCAAGCAACCAACTTCTGACGGCTGTTGTGCTCCGACTGTGAGCTATACGTTACTTACAACATCCTGAGTTCATATACCTGCGCATAGCCCGAAGGGTCCATGTACCCAACTAGTAGAGATTTTGGCCTTAAAAGTACTCCCTATATACTTTGGAGTCAAAGATACTATTTGGGTACATGGACCCTTGGGGTAACCTACCTACCGAGTAGCACGTAGGGTCCAGCACCAACTGCAGGTTTCATTCGCATCAACCCCCAAAGCTCCATGTACCCACCTGCAGGCTCCATTGTAGTTCCTTGGCTGATATTGAGAACCCTATACAACAGAGCCTATTGCTACCCATCAGGGCTCACTACGGGTACTTGGCTGGTCCTCGGCCTTGCCGTAATAGGGGTCATTGTCTAATGCTGACCGACATTTAATCCTTAGGGCTCTTGATATCTTGAACTGGCCCGCCCTTGGAAACCTCAATTCGAGTATACACAAAATCCCTAAACCCTTAACCCGTAAGCCCTAAACCCAACAAGAAACTCTCGATTTTGAGATCATAAGACCCCTAAACCCTATAGCCTATAACCCTAAGTCCTATAAACCCTAAACCCCCCTAAACCCATAAACCCTCAACTCCTAAACCCAAGTGAAGACTGCGAGAAGCTCCGAAGCTTCGCATGAATTTTCGGAAACCTGCGATGCGAGGGCCTCAGAGTCGGGAACGCAAGGTTCTATGTGGGAGTTTTCGAAATTAGGGCACCGTGATAAAAGGGATCTATGAGGGTTCCTTTGAGGGTTCCTATAAGGGATCTATAGGGTTTAGGGTTTAGGGTTTGGGAGTTTCCGAAAATTGGGGATACCTTGTTTTGGGGCCCTTATAGCAAGGATTCTACTGCTTAGGGTAATTACTATATTAGGTCCCCTATTTTCAGAAACTCGCATGTTCCTATAGGGTGCATGTATCTACTAATTAGGGTTTAGGGTTCCTTCAAGGGTTGCTTGAAGTGCTAGGGTTTAGGGTTGGAGGCTGCATGTGCGTATACCTTAAGGGTCCAACGGACCCAATTGTTGCGTACTTAGGTTTCGGATAGCAGTTATGTAGCTTACTATAGTAGATGGCTATCAGGTACTTGGATTTTGGGGGATAGGGTTCATGTACCTACTAGTGTTCCTCTCAGGGTCCTACAGAACATTCTATAATTATAGATGTTTTTAGGGTTCAGGGTGGAAGGCTGCATGTACCTACATAGTATACACCCAGGCCGTACAGAGGTCCCTATAGACGTACCTCAAGCTTTCAAGGCGTATATAAGTATGAAAGTACATGGAGCCTAAGGGTCCGATGGTGTTGTGGGTCTTTGTAGGGCTTTTAGGATTGATTATGGTGCCAAAAACACATTATATAGGATTTCGGGGGTGGATTTGGGCAGGGTGAGGGGTACATATCGCAGTTTAAGAATGAACATGGCTTAAAAGGGATATTGTGACGGATGGGGTTTAGGAAATACCTTCGCGTAAAACTCTGTCGGGACATTAACATTCCCAGAGGGTCCAAGTACCCAAATACTAGGGTTTTAGACCCCAAAAGCTATACCCTGAATAGTTTTTGGACCTTGAAACCCTACTATTTGGGTACTTGGACCCTTAGAGATTATGTTTACGAAGCTTTCAGGCCTCTGTGCCAGGGTTTTCAGGCTTGGGGTCTACAGTGTTTCGGGTCTGGGAGTCTCGGTTTTGGATGGCAAGGGGGAAGCAGATCAGGGAGGGGCGGGGGGTGAACGTGAGAGGCCTACAAAGGGAGTCTAATTCTTCTAGAGACATCTAGCAGACCCTAAGGGTCCATGTACCCAAATTAGGGCTCAACTAAGACTACCCTGATGGTTGCTTTAAGGAATCGAGAAGGGTTCTATAAGGCTTTAGGGTATACATAAGTGTCCATGTACCCAAACACCACAAACCTTGGCCCCAAAGTACCTATATAGGCACTACGTTCAGGCCAACGTATATACTGTTTGGGTACATGGACCCTTAGGGGCACAGCCGAGTGCACGGAACCCTGAGCCCGTTGTAGCGATTCCGTTAAGTGAATTGCGTTCGCACGAAACTCACAGCAGGGGAACTGCATCTAGAAGGCAAAAGCCGGGACAAGTCAGGAATCAGAGCAGACATATGGATGTAAACATATACAAACTTAAGTGTCCGTGTAAAAACATGCGCATACACAATCAGATAAGACAAAACATAGAACAGCACATGTGACCATGACATAGCGTAGCATCATGCCAGAGCACAACACAGCATGGAACGGAAACACTATTTACAACATAACATGGCAGAGCGTCCCAGTAGCATAATATAAACAACTTCAACACATGATAACATGGCATAGCAAAGCCTAGCCTGGCATCAAGTGGCGTAGCATAGCATGGCCAGCATAGCGTAGCGTGGCATAGCAGATGACAACACGACAGTGCACATCATGGCACAACACATCATAGCATAACATAGCATGGCTTTACGGGGCATAGCATAACATAGCATGGCAAAGACATGTCATGGCATAGGGCAGCAGAAATAGCATAACACAGCTCAGTGCAGAGCAACACTACACTACGATACATTACACTATACTACAGGACGTGACCACGACACCGCACTTACCTCGAAACCTTAAACTCAAAGCCTTAATCCAAAAGCTCCAAAGACGCACCCAAGGCAAAGCAGACGCCGCAGCCAAGAGGCATCTAGACCCCATCTGCTATGCCATGCACTCCGTTCTTGTTCCTCGGTCGACCCACAGCCAAAGTCTTCATACCCTACTGTAGGGATCCATGCCCGTTTACGGTATTAGAGTCTAGGATTGCCACCACCCTAAAGTAAACCCAAATGACTAAGGACCCAGTCCTTCGGACACCTCGGGTTACTCATGAGGTTAAGGCTTTTGTGTCTTAGGGTTAAGGTTTAGAGTTTAGGGTTTAGGGTTTGGGGTGTAGGGTATTTAGTGTGTTATAAACAGGTTTTGCAAGGTCAGACTCCGACATCCCCTAACTCTAGAGTACGTATGTTGGCACCTGTACCCTAACAGGTATGGTCCTGCATTCACCCGTCTGTCGACGCCTCATGGGCTTTGAATAGATGATCGCCGGTATATCACAGCACAGTATGGTATATAATAGTCGATATCAGGTGGGTTTTTCGAAGTAGGGTGCTAGTGGGTGGTTATCAAAATTATGGTCCTTTTTTGGGTACCCTAATTATTAGGTGCTGTATTATAATCAGGACCCAGAAAGGGACCCTAATTTTGACAACCACCCTAGTCTGTCTGAGTGGGCTGGGCAGGTGCCTGCACAACAAAGACCCTGTGTACTCGAGAGGTCGTCAAGTCTACATCCTACAGGCTCCTAGAACTAGAACCCTATACAGTAAACCCCATAAAGTTGGAAACGGGATTAAGGCCAAATACAGCTGGGATTCCCTATACACTTCTCTTAAGGATTGAGGCTGTTGAGTTTCCGACTTTTGGGCTTCTACTGTATCCTAGACCCATACTAAGCTCTGCACCCCAATGTAGGAACCGCTCTAACACCTAGAAGACAGTTTGAGAGTGAAGCCAGCACACCGATTTCGCAAGGGTCCAAAGTGACCCAACAATAAGGTACTTGAATATAGCAGTTATGTAAGGCAGTGTGTTTGGGTACAGAGGTATATGATCATTCGTTGCTTGAGTTACTTGGTCACTCAGAGTAGCTCACACTCTAAGCCCTGCAAACAGACTCTCTTTCTGGGATATTAAACACAATCGTGTTCCCTGTCGATCCACACTATGGCACTGATCTTCCAAAAGACCCGAATGGGGGCATACGCTTTTAAGCATGCGAGAGGCCCTGATATACTCTACGGCAGGTATGTGAGGTATCTGCATGTGTCCCAAATCTTTCGTGGCACTCTAATCTACACATCTGCTTCCTGCTGAGTTGAAAAACTAAGGTATTTGGGAAGATCTGGGCGGCTGTGTTCAGGCTGCTCCCTCTGAGTGCTGCTACTTGAGAATTCCGAGCACCCTACATCCTAAAGCCTCGCCCTCAAAACCCTAAACCCCTTAACCCTCACTCCTAAGCCCTCACCGTAAAGCCTGAACTCTGCACCCTAAAACCCTCACCGCACTACACCCTAAACTGAAGCTGAAGCTATCACAACGGTTGATGATATAAATCCTCCATGACCCATAATAAGGAATATACCATAGTTCCCATAGTTCAGGGTCCTTAAGGTAATGAAGGATGTCTATACCTAAACCCTAAAACCCTATAGATCCCTTAAAGGAATCCCTTAAAGGAACCTTCGGATCAGGGCTTCTGGGGCTCAACCCTGCGTGGAGGCGCCTTCATAGGTCTTAACAAGGGGTCGAGGGCTTAGCAACTGGTTATTTTAAGGACTTAGAAGTACCATAACTCCAATTAGGGTCCCTTTTAGGGTACTTATAAGTCTACTTACTGCCTACTTACTAAGTCCCCCGACCCTCCAAGTAGCAAGGGGTCGAGGGCTTGGGGGGGTGTAATAAGCCCTAAGGCTACATGTACCCAACTAGTGTGTGTGTGTGTGGGTGCATGGATACATTCATCCATTCATTCATACATTCATCCATACCTATATTTACATGCATACATGCATGCATGCATGCATGCATACATACATACTTTAAACCCAGCTTAGCTGTTCGGGGACTACTGTATTGAGGCCAACGTATACACTGGTGAGTACATAGACCTTGAGGGTTCGATGTGTGCAAAGTTACATAAGATTCGGGGCTGGAGCACGCAGTGGCTATTTCAACCAGGACTTTCGGAATGACTTCGGGTTGGATTGGGGCAGCGGCATTCGGCTTGTTGGTGGGTCTACGCTAGTTCCTGAAAAAAACCCAAACCCCGTCGTTCTACACCAAGGCAAAAAGTGAGCAACTTTAGCCTTTGATCCGAGCCGCCGGTCTTGCTTTGCCCGCGATCGATATTGCACAACAGCCTCAACCGCGGGTCACTGCTAAGACAGTTGCCAAATCCAACCACACCCAGACCATAAAGAAAGAGTCTTCTGCGCAGATTTGAGAAGTCGAGCACTCCGCCGGTGTCTATACTGTGTCTCTGTTTCTTCCTCAAATAAGCGGCCGCATAGTTTTAGTGACGACTGGGTACAGCAGTGTAGGTGAGACAGTGGTAGCTGGTAGTAGTTAGTGGTAGGAGGAGGAGGAGGAGGAGGGAGGAGGATGAGGAGAGGTAGAGGTAGAGACAGAAGGACATGCCACATCCTGTCGGCGACCATGCTTTGCCCTTTTACGAAGAAACACGTCCTGGGATGCAGCAGACTGTGCCTCCAAGCGCCCCAGGCCGGTATAGGTCGTCTAAAGCAGCTTTGTGAGGGTCCATGTAGCCAAATTGTATATACTTTGACCCCAAAGCACCTATATAGTGAGCTCTTTAGAGGCCAAACTATATACTGTCCGGAGATGGCAAGCTTGGTTCATGTTGCGGCTTATTGAGAAGCAAGAAGTTTCCGAGCCGTTTACACAACTACAAACGACTCGAACCCCAAATAGTATATACTTTGGCCTTAAAGTATTCCCTACATAGGTACTTTGGGGTCAAAGTCTATTATACTGTTTGGGTACATGGACTCTTATAATTACCCCGAATCCCTACAGAACCCCTTAATTAAACGAACCCCTATGGTACCCTTAAAGGAACCCTATTTGGGTACGTAGACCCTCTGGGCTCTCAACCCTCAACAGCCCAGCAGCAATAGAACAGCAGACGCAGAGCACCAAGCCCACGCCGACGCCTCAGAAAACGAATCCAGCGGTTTAGGGTTTAGGGTGGTTTAAAGGCTTCGGGTGGTTTAGGGTTTAGGGTTTAGGGGTTTAGGGTTTAGGGTTTCGGGTGGTTTAAAGACTTCGGGTTTTAGGTATGTATACCTCGGCACAAACAAGACCTTTGTTCAGATACCTTAGTTAACTTGAGTTCTTATCATCGGATCCTAAGGGTGCTACATGCATTCTCCAGGTAGCGCTTAGAGTTTGGGTTCACCAACTTGGACGTTGCGGTTGCAACATTAAAATTCAATGAGAAAAAATGGAACTTAAAATTTAAGAGTCTCAGTCCATAAAAAGGTAGGTGACTGGGGGCTCAGGCAGGCCAAGACTATGGCTTGAGGGTTCGTTTGACTATGGGGCACCCAAAAACTAGAACTCTGAGGAAGCCATGTATATAAACGCTTTACGACCCGTAACCCCCAGAAAACCAGTTTAGACTAGCCCATAAAAAGCCCTATCACACCCACAGAAGAAAGCTCCTGCAGGGCATGAAAGCCAGTGAACAAGGGATCCCAAATGCATGCCAGGTGCTGACATAGATCACAGCCGGCCAAGGAAACTTGGGAATCGGTTCGTCATCCTTCCGAGAGGTTCGCAGCGCTCATAGGGTTTATACTGGGAGGCTTTCATTGAACTTACAAGGTTTGCTCGGGATCTCGGGATTCAGGTTTTCCTGTTTCAACATGGGAAATGGGGGTCGGGGTTTTAGAGATTTCGTCCACGATTACGGGAGCTCGCCGCTTAGAGTGGCAGATCCGGGTAGTCGTACTCAGGCTACTGTCAAGACTAGGCGAAAAAGCTACAGTCATGTCCCCCTACCCTCAAATATGTATACTTACCTGGATTGCTACGACTGCCATGATCCTTGAACCATGAACCGATTAACTGCATGGGTACGTGACGGCACACCCTCAAGAGGCCAACACAAACTGGGGTCCTTCACGGCCAGCATTGGCAGTGCCGCGGACAACTCCTGCCGGTGCCGGGCGTGGACTAGGTGTTCCGGAAGGAGCTTGCAACAACAAAGAATAGACCTCGCAACAGCAAAGTCAAATCCCTGATTAATCTTATGCAGAGGAACAACGCCCTGTAATAGTATCACTATATACATCTTATTGGGGCTAAACTCACTGTACAGGACCATATCCAGACTTCTATACTACTGGGGCTTGCGGGTCGCGGAAGAAACCTATCTGCGACACAAACACCAGGACTTCTTGAATCAACCCAGCCGTGCAGATCCTAAATCTGCAGGGTCGATGGTTTCAAGAGACAGCTGCCCCTTATGCATTTGGGTTGTCACTTGCATCTGATGGCATCTCCCATCGGAGGGACTTGAGGTACAGCGCCAAATATGTCATGGTGATCGCCACATAATTGGCCGATTGGCAACCCTCGCCAGCCAGCTGTGCTTGAAGATACTCCTCGAGGGTGTCCAGATCCCCAACTTGAATGATGGATGTAACCCACGACTCGCGGTGCTTTAGGGTTTAGGGTATAGCACTTGCTCGTGGTACATTCTTCAAGATGTTACTCTAGGCAAATCTCAAACAGCAAGACCCTCTCATAACTGAGTACGCAGGGATTAGGGCCTCATAAGGTTCTGTCTCTAGGAATTACAGGGGCCGAAGCACTGTTTGGAGAAAGCAGATGCGCGACTCACAGACTGCAGTTGCCACTTCCCATCAACTCCGCCGTCGTCTAATCGTGTATTCGTGTCTACCGCTCTTATGCCGCCACCGCCCCCGCCCCACGAACTCAAGTAACTCGGAACCCCAAACCTTAAACCCTAAACCCTAAACCCTAAACCCTAACCTTAAACCCTAAAGCCCGGAACTCTGACCCCTTAACCCCTCAGGCTCTTGGTGTGACCACCCCAGGCACTTCACCATTCACCTTGCGCTCCATGCAAAAAGTTCGCACATTGGCTTTCCCAAAAGCTCCATGTACCTTTATAGTAGATACTTAAGCCCCGAAGTAGTCCCTATATAGGTACTTTATTGCCTAAGTATATACTACATGGGTACATGGAGCCTTAGGGTTTAGGGTTTATAGGGTTCTGAGTCCACGGCTTATGTAAGATTTGTGATGTACGGTTTAGGAGTTTAGGGTTTGAAGGTGTTTAGGACCAAGCTTAAGGCTCATGAGTCTATACACTATACCGGAAACCTGGCAATCTTTACCTCAACGGCATGCGGATGCTGATATTCCTAAAACGCGGTAAGCAAACCCAGGAGAGCTCTACGAGCCTCCTGCAGTGCATCAAGAGCTCGGGACATCGATGAAAGCTCCTTCTGGCGACGTCAAAACAAAGTTTAGGGCCATCTAGGGTTTAGGGACTTTGGTTTCGGGGCTTATGTTTAATTCGTGGAGCCATGCCAGTGCTAGAGAAGCCCCAAAAATAGCACGGGGAGCTATTCAGGCCTCCGCGTTACTTACATCATTCTAAAGTTTTCAGACTAAGAAGACCATGAACAAACTGAACAACCGCTTCCCCGTACGGAACTTTGCTGGGATGCAACTGCTGTCTGGACTCGAACACATAATCCAGCAGATCCCTTCAGATCATGCTCAACCAAAACCCCAAGCCCTCAACAGTGAACGATGAAACCTAAACCCCAAACCCTATGAACTATGAACCGTAAACCCTGTACTCAACCAGGTAGTCCCAAAACTTGCGACGCTTCTGGGGAGCGGCCGTAACCCACACAACCTATTTTGGCGAGAAACACACCACGACGACCTTAAAACCTCAACAACCGAAACCCTAAACCTCAAACCAAATCCTGAACGACAACAGCGTCGAACTTCCAAAGACCTAGAGAATCCGAAACGACCTCGCAGCATAAGAGGCCGTTCAGCCCTACCAAACACTGCCATAAAACCCTGTCATATTATAGTATATACTATACTACTAAATATTATCTTATTACTATACTGTTTTAGTAATTACAGTAGTGCCATACTATTGTATCCCTGCAGAAAAGACGTAAAGCTGCAAAGCACTGTAAACCCGACTCAAGACCTTTCAACTCCCTGCATGCGGCCTGAAACTCGCCTTTGTCGTTTATGACCCGCGTTTCCCTGAAACTCTAACCCTAAACTCGGGTTAGGGTTTAGGGTTTAGGGTCCCTAAATCCCCTTAGGGTTTCGGGTTTTGGGTCCCCAAACCCCCGAGGGTTTAGGGTTTAGCGTCCCTAAACCCCCGAAGCAGGGGGAAGCGCCTGCGCCGTGGGGGACGAAGCATGGTCCTGTCTTGCAAGGCAAGTTTTAATCATAGACTTAGCTTTGAGGGCTTAGGGTTTTGGTTTAGGTTTTAGGGCTTCGTTTAGGGTTGAGGGTTTAGGGTTTTGGTATAGGGCTTAGGGTTTTGGTTTAGGTTTTAGGGCTTCGTTTAGGGTTGAGGGTTCAGGGTTTTGGTATAGGGCTTAGGGTTTTGGTTTAGGTTTTAGGGCTTCGTTTAGGGTTGAGGGTTTAGGGTTTTGGTATAGGGTTTAGGGTTTTGGTTTAAGGGTTTGGGCCCCGATAGGAAAGTGAAGAGCAAGGCAATGTATGTCTTTGGTTTACTGGGTGACGGGGACTATACGTAAGTTTGCACAAGCTTCCGAACTTTCAGAAACTGTAGCCCATCACCGTCAAAGCGGCTTTGGTAGTTGGGGCTTCGATGTAGTTCATGTGTGGTTTCGAGGGTTGAACTGAAGCCATAAAATTAGAAGCCCATTACAGGTGGGTAGTTCCTCTTCCATAGTACTCCCATAAGACCCCTTTACCTTATAGGAGTGGTATGGAAGGCGTATGGGAGACTACCCACCTTAAAACTACCCACCTGTAAATGGCTTAGAAAAATCCTAAACCCCATCCCTTGAAGCCCGGCTTCGAAGGCGCAAACCCACGAACCCGGAACCACCGCACCTACACCAAGTGCCTAGGGGTCAGGGCTTTGATTTTGGTACAGTCGGGTTTAGGGCTTTAGGAGTTTAGGCTCTAGACAGGGCTTAAGGCTAGGGGGTTTAGGGTTTAGGGCTTGAGGGGTTTGGGGGTTTAGAGAGGCCTTAGCGCTTAAGGGGTTTTAGGGCTTAGAGCCTGGGAGTGAGAACTTGATGTTGCTTCGGGAGAAGGAGCCGAAAACAAACCTGACAATGGAAGCTCGTGGCTGCCCCCAAAACCTAAACCCTTAGCCCTACCTATAGTCTCCTTGTAGTTCCTGTTTTGATTTTAACCAGTTCTATATTAGGGGTCCTAAAAGGTAGCCCCAAAAATGGAACTACAATGGAGACTATAGGTAAACCCTGAAACCTGAAACCCTTGACCCCTATACACCCTAAACCCCTAGTCCCAACAAAGCCCTTAAACCCTAAAAGGAGCCCTATGGATCCCTCAAAGGAGCCCTTATTCAAAGGAACCCTGGAAGCGATTGAGGTTGAGGGTTTAAGTTTAACCCAGAGGGTCCAAGTACCCAAATAGTAGGGTTTTAAGTACCAAAAAACCATACTCTGAATAGGTTCGACCTTGAATCCCTACTACCAGTATTTGGGTACTTGGACCCTTGGGGGAAGTTTAAGGATTCAGGCCTTGAAGACCAGCCATTTCTCTTGGACATTGCTCATTTGTGCCAGCAAGTCCTCACAACACTCAGGGCTTTAGCAGGCTTCCAAGGGGCGGCTTGGAGTTCAGGTTTACTACACCACCCTTTCAAGAACCATAATAAAAACAAGATGTTTAATATTCTCTTGGGTTTTATATGAACAAAAAATAAAAAAACCCAAGGAGACAAAAGTTTAGGGGTCTAGGGTTTACGGTCTGGGGTTTGGGGTTCTGGGGTTTCGGGGCTGTGCTTAGGGTCATGGCCTACTCTGGGTCCTATAGTCTAAGGGTAAAAGGAGGGACCCTTAATAAGGACCCCTAGGTATATACCCTTAATGTAGCTATTATATACCCATTATATAGCCCATTATAGGGTAGGGGTCCCCTTTAAGGGTCCCTCCTTTTCCCCTTTGATAGAGGAAAGTCAGGGACTTGCAGGTTCAGCTCGGAAGCGCACACCCTGAGAGTCCATGTACCCAACATAGGGTTCCTTTAAGTGTGCCATAGGGGGTTCCTTTAAGGGAGCCATAAGGGTTAAAGAAGGGTTTAGGGTATAAGTAGGGACTACTTTACGGCCAAAGTATCAGCTATAGGGGAACATGTGTGCTTTCTGATGGAAGTCGGTGCTTGTACTGCCAGGATGCCAGAAGCGAACAAACGCGGAAAGCATGCAACATTACTCTACTTCCCCGCTGTTGCGCTCTTGTGGGCACGCATGGACAGCACGCCAGAGTGCTACAAAACAGAGAGGTGTGCAACTTGAGAGCGTGGGGTGGCGGGCCAATCCTTGCTTCGATCCTAGTCTCAGACCTTCAACCCCCGATTTCAACATCTACCCCTGAACCCTAAACCGTTAAACGCAATGTAAAACTGCATACAAAAAACAACTAATTCCAGTGCCGAGATGTCCAGCCGGTCACGGACGATGCCGCCGAGCTCGCCACCAAGATCCTGTGGACTTCTAGTCTATGTCCGCTCTTCCTGGGCTTCTGGACTTCATATAATTAGGGCTTAGGGAAGTTTAGGGTTCAGCGGTTGGGGTCCGAGGTTTAGAGCTTATAGGGGGTTTAGGGTTGTCGAGGGTCCCCTAAGCCTTGAACCCTATATAAGCCGTTTACGGCGTGGTCCTGTGACAGGCTCTGCAAAGGATCCTGATGAGGAAGTTCAGGTTGTGTTACGGGCTGAGTATCCTAGCCCAGGAAAGGTTAACCTTTTCAGTTATGGTAGGGTTATAGTATATACACCCGAAGAGTTAAAGGTTAGAGGTTGAAGGTTACCTACTCAGCTGCTCTGTTGTCCTCAATGTGGTTCTTTACTCTGAAATCTGAAAGGTTTGCAGGGGCTCGCAAAGACTCTACATCTCGAAATGATACCAGCCTGAATCGGGGCCCAAAGGTAATGGAAATCTTCCGGATGTTTGGGAGCTTATCATGTACACCAGCAGCTCTGAACCCTTCAAAGCCCACCTGGTCGAGGCCGGAAGCACGATAATTGACAATAGAAGTTTGACTGGGTCCAGGAAGTCCCTCACTAAACTTGAAGCCCTGAGCTTAATCCCTAAACCCTACCCTAGCACCTAAACACATGCCCTTTGAAACCGGCAGCCAAGTCCCCAAACCCGAGCTCGACCACCCTCTAGACTCTACAGCACCGGCCCAAACCCTCAACATCCCTCAACCTAAAATCCCTTCAACCCTAATAGGCACCTTGGTGAGTCCTTGGTGAGTAGCGCATGGTTCGCAGCTATCACATGTACAGCTGTATACGGACTGTGGAGGGATAGGACTATCAAATTTGCGACCCCCTAGATTAAACACAAAATCTCTTGCACCCCCAACAACCCTAAACCCAGTTCGATTCCTGGATCGCGACGAGACGGGCTTCGAACTCGGCTATGGCGTTGTCCCGTTCGAACCTGATGCTTGAACGGTGATGGGGCATGGGTAGCTTATAGGCCGAATGAAACTCCGTAACCCAAAGCTCGGAATGCCTACAAAACCCTGGAAAATCGTAATTATCCTGTTAAGCAGCAAAGCCGTCGGTTTAAGGCTTTAATGGCCTAGCGGAGACGGGTCTTTGGGTTCATGTTCAGACTATGGTCTAGGCTTCAGGAGGGGCCTAAATGCTGAGACCTGACTAGATAGAATGGGGATCACGAACCTTGAGGAATAGCTTCGGTAAGCATAACCAGGCAGGCCAAACCTCAGCACGTAGGATTGCTGTTTTAGACGGCCAAGAGCGATACGATCGAAACTCCAATGTACAATCATGGGGCAACAGCTCTGCAGGCCATGATCTTGACCCCAGCCCCCCCAAACATTCCAACATCAGCACTATCCCGCAAATCAAGCGAGCCTAAACCCTGGCACTAAACCCTAAAAGCAGTTGGATCTCAGGATTATGGTTTAGTAACCGTTTGTTGGAGTCTCTGGCAATGTGTGCTAGCCATGCAGCGTCGATTCACTGAAGCCAAAATGATGCAGGAGCGACTCCTGGTAGGAGGAGAGGGGTTCAGAGGTTAGGCGTTTAGGGAATTTCGAGGTTCAGGGGCTTACCTATAGTCTCCATTGTAGTTCCTTTTTTTGGCTTAACCAATTTTTATGTTAGGGATCCTATAAGGTAATTAACCCAAAAAATTAAGGAACTACAATGGAGACTATAGGTAGGATTAAAGCTCTAGACTCTAGAAGGGCTCCTAGTTGACTCCGCAGCCCCGGAAGTACAACAGAGCCCCCTGTTACATCTTACAGCCTACATAACGCAGCGTTTAGAGTGTTACCCAGATACAGTCTCAATTTAGATGCACCCCGATTGTTGGGCCTGCACCCTGCAACCCCTGAGGGTCCAACCCTAAAAATCAGAAGAGGGTGTGGAGAGCATATTGTAATATGGTTAGGGACTGCCAGGGCACATGACCACGACTTATTGTGACATCAATCTTAGTCCTAAGCCCTCAATCGTAAACGCTCAACTCTGAAGGGTACCGGGTTTAGGGTGTAGGGTGTCCTTGTAGATGCGACTGGCCAATGCAATTTGCTGTGAGGCGGCGTCGACCTCGAAAAAGCGAAGGCCACTGACCAATCAACCACCCTCGCAAACCCTAAGCCCTACCTATGCCCCAAGAATGACAAGCCTACCTTTTCCGGAATTACATGTAGAAACCATGTTGAAGAACCCTGCAAAGGTAGGTTTTTCGGCTACTGGTAAGCTAAGGAACTCATGATTAGGATCTGACATTCTAGAGGGGATGTAAACTTCCAAGTCATCAGAAACCAAAGGCTCTAGCAGTGTTACTGGATAGGGCAAGGGTGGTGATCTAGACGACTTGATTTCTGTGCTGCATCTGTTGATGGGCCGGATTCCTGTGATGTAAACTGTTATGATTATCAGTACGATGAGAGTGCGGAGAGGCGGCGTGTGGGTTTGCGGTGCCTTGCACCCTAAACACTTAAATCCGCAAACCCCTAAAACCCAAACACCTAAACCTAAATCTCTGAGCCCAAAACCCAAATCGCTTAACCCCTCTAAAAACTCTAACCACTTAAACCCCCAAAGCCCAAACCCTAAACCTCCGCTGCCAAGGAGCACGTCGGGCCGGATAGTTTGGATCTATCTCGGCCACCGTTTCGAGGATCACAGTCCTGGACTTTCGAAAATCTAGGATACCCATTAATTCAAGGAAACCCTAGGAACGCACCAAAGGTCATAATGCAGAGGTCTGAATTTGTGCAGTAACATCTAGGGTGCCCAGTGAACTAGGAATAAAAAGGCCTCTCTTTTTGGTATTGGGTAACTTTATAAGGAACCTAGGACTACAAAAAGGGAATAAGGGTACTACTGGGCATCTTAGAAAGTTATAACAGGGTATTACCCTAAGGCTCCATATACTCAGGCCTCAAAGTACCCATATAGGGACCCCTTTAAGGCACATGTATCTACTGTAAAGGTACATGGAGCCTTTGGGATAGGCTTCTGTTCAAGTAAATGTTACGACATGACAACGAAATTTCAAGGAAACGTAAAAGGAATAACATCATTTACTATCTGGGCTTGTAGATGAGGCCTGGGTCCACGAGACAGAATAGTTCGGGGTTTATGATGGCTCTATCGAGCGGCTCGGCAATTCGGTTTGGGTTTAGGGTTCTGGGTAGTTGGAGGCGCACAAGGCTGAAAGACGTGAACCCATGGTCGATATGGGAGGTTACCGTGCTGATAAGAGCCGTTACTATATGGGAGTTTCCGAAAATCGGAGATCCCAATAAAATACCCTAAATAGTAGGTAGGATCCTTATTATAAGGGCCCCAAATTAAGATACCCCTAACTTTCGGAAACTCCCATATATCCGCCTTATATATGCGGTGCTGCAATGATGCCCATAGTGTAGCAACCTGGTCTGCTGCCCAAAACCCCTAAACTCCGCAACTGTACGCTTTCTGAAAACTGCGCAAGCCAGCACGCCCAGACGCTTACCTCAGGCTAAGCCCTCAAGCTCCATGCTTAACGTACCTGTGTAGGAACCCCTTACCCTGAGGGTCCATGTACCCAAATAGTATATACTTTGGCCCCAAAGTACCTATATAGGGACTACTTTAAGGCCAAAGTAGATTTTATTTGGGTACATGGACCCTTAGGGTTACCTATACATATACTATCAAGGTACACGGATGCCTAGTGTGATATAGTATAGTCTGCGAGCCCCAAAAGCTGAAAGAGTACTTCGAGTCCTGGGGTGTACTCAAAAACCTCTAAAAGCTACAGTGCCAGCATGAAACCCTGACAGAGCTCAAAGTTATTTTGCAAACCCCGTAAGAGGGTGGTTTTTCGGAGCATTTCTTGCAGGCTTCCCTCAACACTATAAACCCTACATCCCTAAACCCTGCACCCTAAACTCCTCCACACCGAAACCATAAACCCTAAAACCTATACCGCATGTGGGTAGCCGTCAAAATTACGGTCCCTTTTTGGGTACCCTAAATTATATAGGTACCCAAAAAGAGACCCTAATTTTGACAACTACTGCGTGTAAAGGGTGAAAGGAGGGACCCTCAATAAGGACCCCTAGGTATATACCCGTAATCTAGCTATTATATACCCATTATATAGCTCATTATAGGGTAAGGGTCCCCATTAAGGGTCCCTCCTTCTCCCCTTTGAATGTACGTACCTTGGACCAACGTCATGACTCTTAGGATGGCCGGGTCTCCGAATTTGCTCTGTCTCCGCAAGAAGGACAGCCCCGGCCTTGCCCCGTTCATAAGCGTTTTGAGGGTTTCCCTAAGGGTCCATGTACCCAAACAGCATGTACTTTGGCCTTAAAGTAACCCCTAGAAAGGTACTTTGGGGCCAAAGTATATAATAATTGGGTAGATGGACCCTCAGGGTTTAGAGGGTTTAGGGTTTGGGGTTCGTAGGCTCTTGGCAAAAACCCTGGTATTTGCAGCCAGGGGACTTCAAGATAAAGCTTCAGGGTTTTAGGTTGTTTAGGCATTTAGGGTCAGGACTTGGGAAGGTTCAGGGTTTAGGCTTGTCTAAACGACTTTCCGCAGGTTCCTTTAAGCTCCTTTTGCGGGGTGTAATGGGTGTAGGATGAAAGGTTTCAGGATTGAGGGTTGCAGGCTTTAGCAGCTGAAGGCCTATAAAATTGTCGGTTTTAGGAACTTACCCAAAGGGCCAATGGACCCATTTGTATACACTTTGGTCTTAAGGTACTCCATATGTAGGTTCTTAAACAAGCCAAACTACGTAGAATATGGGTACGTGGACCCGTAGGATTACAACACGAATTTTAAGGAATCTAGGGTCCATGGGGCTGCTTTGGGATTCGGGCTGTGGGGTTGCCTTCTCGGGTTTGGGGCGGACTCGCTGACTATTTGAGGGTTGCATGAGCCTGCTCGAGTGTTCCAAAAAATCCTTCCTTTCCACTTCAGGCTATGCCTACACTACAGGCTTTATCGGGTTGACGGATTAGGGTTTGCTGCTTTTGAGCGCTGTTTAATGCTTCACGGCGCTTTGTGAGGGCTTTTGGGGGCACGCGACAGACGCTGACTCGCGAAACTTAGCGTTGTGTTAGACGAGGCCGCGCGCGCAAAGTTCTATGCAGGGTGGCACGGCGGCATCACGCTAGCAACACATTCAGTCGCTAAGTGACTCGGAAGAAAGTGTTCTGTATCTCAGATGGTCGACCTGATACAAAGACACCAAGGGACCCTGAAGCCTAAACCCTGGATCCTCAAGGCAAAACCCTGAAGGCGGTGAAGTGCCTCTATAAAAAACAACTATACAATTAGATGAATAAACACACATACATATATATATATATATGTATATACACATATATACATACATACATACATACATACATACATACATACATACATACATACATACATACATACATACATACATACATACGTACGTACGTACGTACGTACATATATACATACATACATACATACATACACACACACATATATATATATATATATATATATATATACACACACACATACACATACACATACACATACACATATACAAACATATACATTTATACACATTATATACATATACATATGCATATATATATATATATATATATATATATATATATTTAACATGAACAAAATGCCTTTTCAGCCTAAGTATCTACTAATTATATATGGCGTAGGGAAAGGCACCAGCAGGACTTCAGTGAGGTTCCCAGCGGAGACGAGGCTGCTTGCGAAGCTCCGTGCAGCTGGCGACGTCCTGGGAGTTCAAGAGTTGTTTAGGGTTTAGGGTTTAGGGGTTTAGGGGTTAGGGTTTAGGGTTTAGGGGTTTAGGGTTTAGGGTTTAGGGTTTAGGGGTTTAGGGGTTAGGGTTTAGGGTTTAGGGGTTTAGGGTTTAGGGTTTAGGGTTTAGGGTTTCGGGTTTTACGTAGGGTTTAGGGTTCTAGGGCTGAGGGGTTTATAGACTTGAGGGTTTAAGGTTTCTGGGCCTGCAGTCGCTGGTAGGCCTCAGTTCGAGTTGAGTGTCTTGTAAAGGGCCAACAAGGGGTTCTTCGGTTTCTTGCAAAAGGTTCTAGAAGAGTGTTCGGGCTTAAGACTTTAGAGTTGAGGGCTTTGGTTTGGGATTTAGGGTTTAGGGCAAGAAAGCCAGAATGAAGCCCACATGCAACACTAGCACATGCACCCAAAGCCCCACCAGTCCCTGACTGGGCATGGGGTGTTACAGGATGTTGCAGGATCATGCAGGGTTACAGAAGGCCATGGTCAGCTGTGCGGTTCAGAACATAACCGTTCTTAGATAGCCCCGTAAGGGGTAGAAAAAAACGGAACCTCATGCACTTAAACCCCAGTCCCGAAACCCGAAACCATGAACCCTACTGGCGTCCTTGTGAGGAAAACATTCAGCACCGCCTGTGAGAATGGCGCAGGGACTGGCCTTGCCAAAAGGCAGGCTGTCCAGTTCTCGGGTTTAGGTTTCAGGGTTTACGGTAAACCCAAACCCTGAACCCGGTATTGAGTTTTTAGTTACAAGATTTCATAGGCTTTAAGTTAAAGTAATTAGCTTGAACTCGTAAACGGTCACAATAGCCCTAATGCTCCAAGTGCACAACAAGTGAATCATTTCGGATCGACAACCTGTAAGTAAGACCTAGTTGTGTTGGGCTATTGTTAGTGTCACGGTAGGGACAGCATTTTCTTACATACCCCAAGCATGCAAACCCAAGCTGCGATCTACAAAGCTCTGCAAATATGCCCTTAACCCTAAACCGCACGCCCTAAACCCTAAGCAGAACAACTTCCAGTCCCCCCATACCTAAACCCTAAACCCAAGCGCTTAAGCTCCGAGGCCCAAGTCCTAAACCCTGAACCTAGTCTGAACTTGGTACCATTTTGGAAAAATCTAACTTGAGCTGTTTCTTAGGGATTGGGGTTCAGGGTTTGGGATTATAGCAACCAAAACTTCAAACCTATTTCCAAGTACCCCTGAAAAACCAGGGGAACCCTGGAAGAGCCTAAACCCTAAACCCTAAACCCTAAACCCTAAACCCTAAACCCAGTCCAGCTCGAGGCTTTCTTTATAGGACTAAGGGGTTTCGGCAGAAGGGCTTTCGGGCTCGGACTTGAGATTAGGGGGTTTGATGTTCATGAGCTTTCAGGCTTAGGGTTTGGGGGTTTAGGGGCTAAGGGTTCAGGGGTTTGGGGTTTTGGGGTATTTAGGGGCTTTTGGCTGTAGTATCACTGCTTAGAGTGTTTAGGGCTTCGCGATTGTCTAGCTTTAACATCCTACCTACAGGTGAAATTAACTCCCCAAAAAGCCCCAAAGCCCTTGTCTACCCACCTAACTATCTATCTTTATTTCTATCTAATTACCTCTATATGTATGTATACACATATGTATGTATGTATGGATGGAAGATGGATGGACATATATATTTATAGACTCATATGCAGCTGCTGCCGGTGTTGATATACATCTACAGGTGTGCGTACATGCATAAACATACTCGTATATAGGGGCCTTGACAACCAGCACGGCGTTCGAGCTACAATCTAGAGTTTTATGGGAGTGTCCGAAAACTAGGGTTCCTTTAAAGGGATCTATAAGGGTTCCTTGAAGGGTTCCGATAAGGGATCTGTAGGGTTTAGGGTTTGGGAGTTCCGAAACTGGGGGTACCTTATTCTGGAGTCCTGAAAACAAGGATCCTACGATTTAGGGTACATACTAGGGTCCCCTATTTTCGGACACTCCCATATAGGGACTATAGGGATGCTAATATAGATTAGGGTTTAGGGTTGAAGGAGTCTGTATGGGGACTATGGGGATACTATGACAGATGAGCTCAAGCCTCTACACTCAACACCCCGTCAAGCGACACCCTAAACCCCTTATGCACAACGCGGAATCCCCATATCAGTAGAAACCCGACTAAGCAGGCCAAAAAGCAACCCCAAGCTCTCTGGAACTCCTTGTCAAGACCTTGCAGAAACCAAACTGAACAATACTCTAGAACCCTACTAGAAACCTGCCAAGAAATCCTAGAACCCCCCGAAAAAGAGCTAAGTGCACAAGAAGGCGCGGATTCGGAGAGCCGTACGTCAGCCGGCGGAGCACTTCCAAGACACTTTGTTCCATGGCCTCCTAGACAAGAGATGCTTGCAAAGGGGCCAAAGTATATACTAATTGGGTACATGGACACTTCGGGTCCCAGCGGTTTTGGGTTTGAGGTTTCGTTTCTTGAGGACAACGTATACTCGAAGGGACTAACGGTTCGATTCTGTGCTGTAGAGGGCTTCTACTCGTCCAGGGCCTGGGGGATAGAGGCCAGGGCCAGTTAATCCAGAAGGTTCCTGTGCACTTTCAGTTTCGTAGTGGATAATATTATCCCAGAAAGTGTAAAGTGTGTCCACTCAGCTACTAAGTACAGGGTTTAGTGTGGACGGAGATTATGGATGGGCGTACGGTTGACGTGTCGGCTAGAGGTGAAAACCAAGCAACCTACTACAAGGGCCTTAATCATTAGAATAGGCCATTGTGCTATAGTTATCCGAAGGAGCCCTCCAAAATAGTATAGGTGCTTATTCATGCCCGTATACTGTATACCAGGTTGCCATAAGACCCCTTGAACGGTCGTGCACTCCCTGCAGATCTCTTACAAACCCAACATCCTCAAACAACCGAGCTGGCCCATAAATTGCAGTAGCTCTTGCATAACCTATTCTACGTTCCACGGTTAACCCTTCCGAGTACACGACAGCTCCACGACTATGTAAGATAACAATAACACGAAACTCAAGACCAACTGACGACGCGACATTGAGAAAATCTCCTTGAAGAGATGGGCATACAAATGCCAGAGCGCATAATTCCCTCCGATGCTCTGAGTCAATCGATGGGCTCTTTCCTTTTCATTTCTTGTGACAAGTCACCGACGCAATGACATTGCAACTGCCCACCGAGTTCTAAGCACCAGCCGCCGCCAGCAGGTGTACGATCTCACCGTGGCCACGGCGACCAGCTTCAGAGATAGCGACGGGCAAGTCTGGATTCGCACCAGTCTCCAGGAGCAACCGAACTATGTCGATATGGCCCTCAATGGTTGCACACACCAGGGCCGGAAGCCGCTTGCACATGTGACGGCCTTTGATGTCCAGCTTAGCGCCGGCCTGCGCCAGCAATCGCGCAATCTCAACATGGCCTTTGATGGATGCCTGTATGAGCGCTGTGTTCTTGGAATCCCTATTCTGCACATCCATGTTGGCCCCGGCTGCCACCAGCAACCGCACAATCTCAATGTGGCCTTGCTCGGATGCAAGCATGAGAGCTGTGTTGTCGTCAGTATCCCTCTTATCCTTGTCAGCACCAGCTTTCAGAAGAACGCGTGTGACCTCAAGGCGGCCTCTCTCAGATGAACGAATGAGAGCTGTCTGCCCACGGTCATTGGTCAAGTCTTTGCTAGCACCAGCTTCCAACAGTAAACGCACGATCTCATGGTTGCCTCGCGCTTTTAGGTAACAAGGGAGAAAAAAGGTATAAACTTGTATTTTATACTGGCCTTTTTTAAAGAAAAGGGTATTAAAGTATGGTACTCCAAAGCCCAGGCCTTTGTGCGCTGCTTCAAGCAGAGCTGTTTGGCCGCCCCGCCATGCTCGATAATCGCTGGTAGTCGGATCAGCTTCCACGATCAAACGGGCAATCTCAACGCGATTGTTCAAGCATGCAGACATGAGTGTGTCTTTCATTCTGCAAGGACGGACACCTGTCTGAAGTATTGAGCGCACCGCCTCAACTTGCCTTCGCGCACATGCATCGTAGAATGCGCTTTCGACCATGGGCGTAAGGGCACCGGTAGCAGGCAGCAGCACTAGCTGCAGATGACCGGGAAATTCGAGCTCGGCTATATCATCCAATGTGGAACCGTCCCGCACGAGCTGCTGCATACATACAGGGAAACCGTGCAACTGCTGAAGAAGATGCTTCAACTCTTTCACCGTCTTCTCGCCACTGAACCTTTCCTCGTTTATGGATGCCAGCTCATCACCTGATAGCTTCCATACGCGGAGCATTGTCGGGCCAAGCAGGTTTGGGCTCCGGGGCCTGCTTCCCGGCAGGGTCTGGGTATCGTACAAAAAAGAGCGGTGGTTAGAGTCAGGGTCGGGTGTAGGTGTGTCTTGATCTTTCTACCGTCTCAACTGGGCTGCCAAAGCAGATAGCTAGGGATCAGGAATATACCTTTTGAAGTGCTGTCCCTTGCTTCAGGCAGCCTTTAGCCAAACGGCCGGCTTGGGTAAATTCCTGGGATCTTTAGACTTATGTACGCTTTACGGCTGACGGGCCGGAACCACGAAAGTTGCCACTGTCTCCAAATGGCTTCGGCAGCGCTTGCATTCAAGAAGAGCCACATGGTCAAGCCAGCAAGCCCAAGTCCTGAGCCGCAAACCCTAAACCCTCAAAACCCAGAGACATGATGATGTGTTCTGCCCCTTGAGCACTCAGTTTTCATTTTCCTACCCACTGCAGATCCCTGTCCAAGATCATCAGCAGACTTACCCGCGAGGAACCACAAAACCAAAGCCCATGAAACCTCAACACCCATAAAGACTATAATCCTGAACCCAACGCCCATGAAGCCCCGAGAACCGCAGACCCTAGACCATAGGTGAACTCAAATAGAAGCGTGCAACCAACATCTTCAGCAACATCGTAAAGGTACACCCTTACGCAGTTCCGAAAACCAAGAAGAGAGACTGTGAAACCTTGTTGAGCCTTTTCCGAGAGCTACCAAGGCTGCCCACACAGCAGGAGGGGCCTCCGTGTGATTGCCCAGGCTGGCATTCTGCCTCGAGCGGTTTAGGTTTAGGGGCTTCTAGGGTTTAGGGTTTCTAAGGTTTGAAGAGTTCCGTAAGACCTGTACTTATTCCGTTAGTCTCTGTTCGCCCTGAGAGCAAGTTTATAATGAAGATACTGTTCCAAAAGTACCTGGACGGGCTCATCTCAGGAACAGGTCATGAATTTGAACAAAACGACCAACCAGATTATAAGCTATTGCCCAAAACTGGAAAGTGCAAAGCACAGGCTTACATCACTGACACAGGGGGATCGTATACAATAATGGTATGGAAACAGGCCCCGAAGATACTATACCAAGAAGGGTCTTGAGGTCATCTTTGCACAACGATAGCACATGCGTGTGCAAATATACATATATATGTATATATATATATATATATACATATATAATATTCATATACATACCTACAAACATACATACGCACGTACATGCATGCATAGATACATAAGCACATCATATGTACATACATACCTACCTACACACGCACATACATACGTACATACATAAAGCATACAAGCATAAATATTTGCATGCATGCATGCATGCATACGTACCTATACTCTACATTATATACACCTCAATGCATGAGGCATATTATATACGTACAGCTGCAAACATTATCATTTCTATTTACATATAAGAGCTCATCTTGCTAATCGGTGCACTCCCACTTGATGATGCTGTACGGGAATAAATAAGCGGCATTCTTAACGTATATGAACCGAGCGGCGTGAGAAGGACGATTTCGCTGCTGCCCGCCTGCCAGTAGGCGAAACTTTCCCTACCATCGAGGCCTCGACAATTCGAACAGGTCCTTTGGGCATAGTCTACTCACAGTGTATTCCAAGGATTAGTACCAATAATTCTGCATGCTTTTTATAAACTACCCTTCCAAATGCCCCGATAGTAGCATGGCGCCAAGCCCCTTCACAACATTGTCACGTTTGCGAGCCGGAGCCCTGCTACTTGGATACTTCGGCCCTAAACCATACCTACTTGTCGGGTACCATGGGGAACTAAAGGTTAACCTTGTTGGTTACATAGGGACTATATAGGGGCTATACTACCCAAACAAATGTTAAAGGTTACCTACTCTACTACTAGGCATAAAGGAAAACCTTAAACAAAGGACCTGAATCGAACTGTCGGATTTGTTCTTGAAGGACCTCTGAAGAGACACCCTTGCTTTTTGAGACTGCTCTAGGTTGTGGGGTTTAGGGATTTACTTGCCTCTTCCATTGCATTTAGAGCAGAACTGGGTATCTGCATCGCAGCATGGTTTACGGCTCCAAATCGTTCAGGGTTTAGGGCTTGGTAGCTCCAAGGTTTGGTCTAGGGCCTTGGGGTGTGGCCTATACCCAGAGACTCCATAGTAGTTCCCTTTTTGGGGATTACCTTACAGTAGAAGCCCAAAAGTTGGAAACCCAATAGCCTCAATCCTTAAGAGTCATGTATGGGGAATCCCAGCACTATTTGTCCTTTATCCGGTTTCCAACTTTATGGGGTTTACTATATATGAACCTCAAAAAGGAACGACTATGGGAGCCTTAGTGTTTAGGTTTTAGGGCTAAGGGTTTCGCCCAGGGCCGAGCGTGAAGAGACGTCGACATGCACAAATGGGGCCTTGAATGGGGGGGCTCACACGGCCGAAACCGGTTTAGGGTTTAGGGTAGTTTGAGGTTTAGGGTCTAGGGTTTAAGGTTTAGGGTTTAGGGTTTAACGTCTAGGGTTTAGGGTTTAAGGTTTAGGGTTTCGGGTTTAGGGTTTGGGGTTTAGGGCTACCCCCCCCCCCCGCCACCACCAACAGCAACCTTGCAAGGAAATCATAGTGAAGGAGTCTGAGGACTGCAGGTTCCCTAGCCTTGCCTATAGTATCCGTTACGGTTCCTGTTTTGGTTAACAAAAATTTCTGAGTTGTCCTTTAAGCCCTTTGAAAATTATTTACTATTATGGTTCTCTACAAAATAGTAAGGGAAATTAAAAAAGATCACAAAGGACAACCCAGATTTATACTTAAAGGATCTTAGCCCTATAAAATATGCTACCTAAAACATGGAACTACAATGCAGACTACAGGTAGGGTCCAGGCAGGAACGCCTGAAGCTTAAACACCCTAAGCCCCACGACTGGAACCGCCGAAATGAGGAACCGGTCTGAAACCATCGTGCGGATCCTTGTGCTGCGAACTTTAAGGTATTTGTTAAACCCACATATAACTTACCCCAGGCTTAGAAGGTTAGGAAAAGTCTGGCACATCCTACACCCAAACCCCTTAATTCAAGAGCCATATTCATATAGTAATATATGTATAGACTTGTATAGACACGAACATATACATACACGGATGCCATAAAGGGGAGCTCTCGGGTAACCTCCCACTGGAAGCCCTTTCTTCCCCTCGTTTGCCTGGCTCAAAGTGGCGAGAGCCGCTGCCTGTGAGTGCAGCTGCCTGAGAGCTCCAAGGAAAGCGCAAGTCAGGGTTCAGGGATTAGGACTCTTTAGGGCTTTGGGATTTAGGATTCAGGGTTTAGGGTTCAGGGGTTAGAACTCCTTACGGTTTTAGGGTTTCGGGTTGACGGTTTCGGATTCAGGGGTTAGGACTCTTTAGGGTTCAGGGTTGAGGTTTATAGGATTCAGGCTTTAGGATTCAGGGTTTACGGACTAATTAGGACTTTTGTAGAGTTTAGGGCTCATAGGGACTGGGACCCTTGACGGTTTAGCGTTTCGGATTTATGGGGTTTAAGGCTCAGCGTTTCATTATGGTTCTTTGGTTTGGGGCGTTCAGCGTCTATGGTGTCTATGGGCTCCAAGGGCAAGCTAGGGCTCATAGGGCTTAGGACTCATTAGGGTTTCGGACAACGCTGACAGGCACGGGCTTGTGACCGCTTCTTGTAGATCGCCGAATTCTTCCCGCTACTCTCGAAGACCAATACGTCGTGGTTCTAGATAACCGATACCGGCGAAGAGGTGGAACTCACTGGGCTCTTCTTGTTGCTCTTCTTCTTCATAGCCTTCTTGGACCCTGACTTGCTGGTAAGACCGAACAATATTCGCCGGAACGACGGTGCTTTCAGTTCCTGGAAAGTGCCCTCAGGTCTTGGGGTTCTGGGTTTTCCGGACCTGGGTCCCTTCAACAGCTGGGCTTAGGGTTCAAGGTTCAGCCGGGGATACCACAAGTTGTTCTCACATAACCTGTAGACTGGGTTTACCTATGGTCTCCATTGTAGTTCCTTTTGGGGGTTGCCTTTTAGGATCTCTAATATAGAATCGGTTAAACCAAAAAGGGAACTACAATGGAGACTGTAGGTAGAGTTTAAGATCTAGGATTTCGGCCTGAGGCTTGAGGGTTGAGGGTTTCGGGTTCAGAGCTTCGGGTCGGGGTCCTGCTGGAACTGCCTCCCAATGGGGAACTAAAGGTTAACCTTTTTGGGGTATATAGGGATTATATAGGGACTATACGACCCAAAAAGGTTAAAGGTTACCTACTCGACTACTAGGAAGTTTTGTCACATGAACTGAAAGGCTACGAACCCTCATCCAACGGCTCAAAATATCACACAAGCCTCATCTAGAAGAGTCTTTCAAGACACGACAGGTTGTAGCTATGCAGGAATTACCCAACCTCAAAACCTCAAACGCGATTGGAGCCTGTCCAAAGTCCTGAACCTACCGTCGGCTAAGGCACATCAGCGTCTCAGTGGTCATGCTGGCATTCACCTGAGGCGAGGACAAAGCGAGCACGCCATGGCGACAACTTTGTGCATCCCACTCATGTCCAAGCACCGACGAATTGTATACTCTCCCAAATTAGAACAACCTCCACAAGGACTATCTCAAGCCCACGGGCCTTAGTAATCAGGTGCTTTGGACCTACATGACCCTTGCAAAACCCAAACTACATAGCCCTACTTACCATGATGACTAGATCTTCGACGAATCCCTGACCGATGACGAACTGCTAGGCCCCGAACCCCAAGTTCGAACACACGTTGAGGGTTTAGTTTGGGGTTTACGGTCCTGGGAGACAAAGCCTGAACCTGTGGAGAACGCAGAGCATGGAAACTCGCTGAAGCACCAACGATAGGGCCCCACAAAACCACATAAGCAAAAATTTGGATAGGGATATCCCATATAAATCCCATTATAATGAAGCCCACTAAGCCAGGGATATCCCTATAACATGTTTATGTTTATATGCTTTTTGGGGTCCCTAAACAAAGCCCTGAATCCTGAACCGTCAAAGAGAAGCAATGAGCTCCAAGACAATCAACTCTGCATGGGCAAAAGGAGGGACCTTTAATAAGGACCCCTAGGCCCTAGGTATGCAGAAGGAGCCAGAAAGTTGGAACATGAGTTTAGGAGGATTAGTGCTAGGATCCCTTCGTCTTTACCTTGAGGGCATGAGGATACTAATGTTCCAACTTTCTGGCTTCTACCATATACCCTTAATATACCTATTCTATACCCATTATATAGCCGCCCATTATAGGGTAAGGGTCCCCACTCCTTTTCCCCATTGAAACAAAAGAACCCACTCCTCAAAACCCTAAGTCTAAAGCAAGCTTCGGAACCCTCCGATGGATAGATACAAAAGCCCCGAAGCCTCGAATCCTAAATGCTTCATCCGAAACCGAAGACCCTTGAAGCCCAACGTCCTAAGCCTCGGCCCAGAGCAACCTTACAGGGAACTCCAGAAAGTTGGAATATGGTTTCATGGTAGGATACCCTATAATTTACCATCGAAGGGCTAGGATAATCATCTTCCAACTTTCTGGCTTTTACCATAACCTGTTCAAGGAACGCATTCAATGCTGCCGGTCAAGAAGAAGCGCGCGGCATCATCGATGGCCGCCACCGCAGGAGGAAATGCCTCTCGCAGGAAACACCAGCCCTGCAGCCCAACAGACAACTCCAAAACAAACTAGCTAAGGATAAACAAAACAAACGACACACAAAGAAGCACCGTGAACACGCACAGGATTGGGGTTCGCGGCTGGGGATTACACCCCCCCTCCTGAAAGGAACACCCAGAACTCGAAAAATCCAAACTCTAAACCTGAAAACCCTAAACCTTTGAACGTCAAACCTCAACCATCAAAGGGGAAAAGGAGGGACCTTAATGGGCACCCCTACCCTACGGGGTCCTTATTAAGGGTCCCTCCTTTTACCCTTGGACTAAACCCAAAACCTTGCCTCCACTAAGCGGCCAGCCGCGGTGGCGTCCCCTCGGGCCAGCGCGAGGGAGGCCTCGTGCCAGGATGCCCCCCCCAAAGAGATTCATAACAGCGGTTCTGGGTTCAGTGTTTACGGTCTTGTACGGCTGTCGGGCCCACAGGTCCCAATATAAGGAGGGGTTAAGGTTCTACAAAACAAAAAATAGGATGGTTGGGTTTAGGAGAATAAGCAGAGTAGTACCTTGGAGACTGTATGATTGCCTAAGAGCGTTATCAGGAATTCTAGGGATGTCTTACAACCTCATAAGAGTGTTCGAGAACAGTCTTGATGGGTTCTAGTGAGGCTTAAGGCTGATTCCTCATGCACTCCTTACTCTGGATGTATGATCTTTCGCTGCAATCACAATCCAATCCGCACCTGCGGGTTGATGTTGGTAAGTCTGGGAATAAGGATAAGGAAAAAGGCTTGGATAAGGGCTAGAAGGATCTAAAGAGCTTGGAGGTGATGGTCCGGGGATTTACAGGGTCTAGGGGTCTAGAAGGGTTGTTTAGGGTTTACAGCTGAGGGTTGGGTCTTTGAGGTTCAATGCAGGTGCTGGGTTTACCAGGACCCCCTGAATAGAGTCCTTGTGAGTCCGTCTGGCACTTAATAGTCCCTGAGGGTCCAAGTACCCAAATAGTAGGGTTTCAATGTCCAAAACCATTCAGAGTATGGGTTTGCCGACTTAAAACCCTAGTATTTGGGTACTTGGACCCTCTGGGAGTAGGTATTGGGGGTATATTAGAAGGTACTTGGGGTGCCTAGGTGTGCTGAGATTCAGCAGGAAGCGCTGACCGAGTGCCCCAACAGGCAGACTCTTCTAGGGTTTATTCGGAATCTCAAACGGGAAAAGGAGGGACCCTTAATGGGGACCCCTACCCTATAATGGGCGATATCATGGGTATATGATAGCTATATTTAAGGGTATAGACCTAGGGGTCCCTCCTTTTACGTTTGGAGAATCTTGCGGGCGTAGTTTGGTCTCTTATCGGGTTCTGCAGGGTTACACGTGCCCAAGTTGCAGGGCTCCGGGCCCCGTGATACTGTACTCCGAATGGTTTCTGGTGCTTACACAAACCCTACTACTGCTATAGGAGCCTCCTGAGAGCCGAAAGTTCCCCCACTCTCAAATTTATGTAAGTTCAAAGCACCCAGTTAAACACAGCACCACGACCGTGTCCTCCTCCAGCGAATGGAAAAGGTCGGCTGCCACTTTCATCCTCCCAGCCACGAACGGTTTCGTTGCTTTTTTTTGTTTTTAATGGGGAGCTTTCGGGTTAGGAGTTCAGGGCAGGGTTTACTTTAACCCCGAATAACCTACCTTTTAAGGACTTATATAAGGAAATCATAATAAGGAACCCCAAGAAGGTAGGTTCTGTAGGGTCCAGGTAGGGTTTAGGGGTTCAGAGTTTAAGTTCTGGCAATTCTGCGTGAGGGTTTGTCTGCAGCGCCAAAACACACCGAAATAACACATGAGAACAGAGGCCACTATCCCAGAAAGGTAGGCTCTGGTAGGCTGAATTAAGGGTTCAAGTACCTCATGATCATATACTCCTCTCAAAACCAGCCTACATATCTACTACTACTTGGAGGGTCGGGGGACTTAGTAACTGGTCATTTTAGGGACTTATAAATACCATAACCGCAATTAGGGTCCCTTTTAGGGTACCTATAAGTCTTTCTTATGTTCTTACTAAGTCCCCGGACCCTCCAAGTACCCTGAAGCCAGGAGGTAGTTACCCGCAGAAGCGGGGTAGGGTATGAGCCTGTAGGAAGACTTCGAAGTGCGAGGGTGAGGGTTCAGTGAAACCCATAGGCCCCCCCCCCCCAAGGCACCCTTGAGACAGAGGGTTTAGGGTTTTGGGTTTGGGGTTTAGGGCACTGGCACCATAGTCTAGTCCGTTTTTGTGGATCTTTTAAGGCTATCTGAGGCTGTCCGAGGGTCTAGATTGAGTGTTTGAGGGTTGAAGGCGTACCCGATGTTTTCAGAATTCTTTCGGTGGAGGGCTTTTCTGCTCGTAAGTTGAGAGTCCTAAAAGCCTAAACCCTATACAACCGGAGTATCTGCACTTCAGCGCTGTAGGAACACTGGGCACGCAAGTGGGCTTCGTATTCAAGCTCATAGCCAAAATCATGCTGGAACACTGGGCTGCCGGCTTACGGTTCGAGGCTTCAAACCCAAAAGCTCAATGTACCTTTACTGTAGATACTTAGGCCCCAAAGTAGTCCCTATATAGGTACTTTAAGGCCTAAGGATATACTATACAGTATGGGTACATGGAGCCTTAGGGAAAGTTTAATTAGGAGACTCGGCCTGATACCTCGGTCGCAAACGCAGCCCGCCGCAGCCGCAAATGCAACACGCGCCGTATTACGGAGACTACACGCCATAGTGCTGATGTATTTTGGTGCTAGATTGAGTCCCACTGTAAAGCCCGCGCCTGCCTGCATGTGTCTCACCCGCCAGCAAGCCTACAACGTAAGTAAAACTGACCATAGGTTGTGTCTTCGTGCGCACCCTTGGGCACTCCACTGTCTCACACGCTTGAGCCCCAAGACCTTACGAATTGCTTAACATACGCATCAGGACTGATTATCTGATACTGGCTCCTCCGAAGCTTAGCTCATACGTAGCCGTTATACATACCAATTTGCCTCAAGGGCCCGAGAAGGACCCTATAATGAGGCGCTTGTCTAAGTCATAGATCCGAACCAAAAAAGCTATCTTGCTCACCCAGCCACCTCTGCAAAGCACAAACATCTGTGACCTGGCTCAGGACGGGGGTTTGGCAGTTACAGGCTTTAGTCTTCAAGCTTTGGGGTACAGGGTTTTCCTGTAGTCTCCATTGTAGTTCCTTGTTTTGGTTAACCAGTTCTATGGTTAAGATCCTGTAACATAGAATTGGTTAGCCAAAACAAGGAACTAAAATGCAGACTACAGCTAAACCCTAACGACAGACTCACGAATCCCACAGCTCCATGAACGCTCGCCCCAAAGCGTCTCCCCGGACCCCTTCATGTGCGGCTTTTCCCTAGGGATCTGATATATTAAGGCCTTGGGGCCCAAAGACCATACTATATCAGGCTTTTGGGCTATGTTGATCCCTAAACCCTAAACCCCTAAACCCTAAACCCTAAACCTTAAACCGTGTGGGCCCAAAGACCATACTATATCAGGCTTCTGGGCTGTTTTGATCCCTAGGATTTTGGCAACTTTGAGCATGAAGCTTGGGTCCCACCAGTGTACACCCGGCAGGTAAACCCTACCCGAACCACACGGAGCTTACATTATTAATTGTATATGTGTAAATATATGTATGTGCGTATATATATATATATATATATATATGTATACATATGTTTTCTAATATAACCAATTTTTTGCACAGATAGAGAGAGATCGAGATCGTAAGAAACCCTAAAAGGGTAGGTCATAGGTGTTATCGGGCTCAGGTAATGTGGGTGTCGGTTTAGTATTGGGGTACCCCCCCCGACCAAAAAAAACAAATATATTTAAAGTGGAGCCGGACAGGGGTCAGGGGTCTGAGTGGCAGGGAATTGGGAGGTGCCGGGGTTTGGGGGGTTGGCTTGGGTGCAGGGTCTGCGGTTCTGCGCGAATGCGCGGTCGGGGGTCGGGGGGGTCTGGGGATCACCAAATGCTGGAAACCAAGCCCCGATCACTCCAAGACTACTACCAAGACTAAAAACCCTTCATTTTGAACACTTTTGCCTCCGTAACCTACACTCACACACTCCCACCCACAATCGACCACGTCTGAAGCTTTGTGCGGTACAATAATAGTACAGTAGTACAATAGTAGTACAGTAGAAATAATACAGTAGTAGTACAATAGTAGTACAATAATAGTGCAGTAGTACAATAGTAATACAACAGTAGTGCAGTGGTAGTACAATAGTAGTAAAGTAGTAGTACAATAATAGTACAGTAGTACAATAGTAGCACAATAGTGGTACAGTAGTAGTACAGTAGTAGTACGATAATAGTACAGTAATACAATAGTAATACAGTAGTAGTACACTAGTAGTGCAGTAGTACAATAGTAATACAACAGTAGTAAAGTGGTAGTACAATAGTAGTACAGTAGTACACTAGTAGTACAGTAGTAGTACAACAGTAGTACAGTAGTACAATAGTAATACAGTAATAGTACAGAAATAATACCAATAAGCAAAACATAAAGCCAGTGAGCACATTCCCCCAATAAGCAAAGCATAAAGCCAGCGCCTGAAACCCTAAACCCTGAACCCTAAACTCTAACAAACCCTAAACCCTACCGAACCCTAAACTCCTAAACCCTAACAAACCCTAAACCCTAAGCCCTAAACCCTTCCCAAAGGGGGGTCGGTCCAGATTGGACCCAAAATTGAATTTTTTATACAAACTTTAGTACTGGAGAGGCCTCTTTCGAGCTAGGGTCCAATCCCCGATTCGGCGGTTCACCCTGGCAGCCCCCCCCAATAAGCAAGGCATGCAGTAGCAGTACAATAATTAATACAATAGTAGTACAATTATAGTACAGAGTCCCATTCCTGACGCCCCAATAAGCGAAACAATTCTGCAAGAGATTTTCGGGCTTCAGGGCCAGTGTTTTAGGGTTGCGTCGGGTTTGGGTGGGGGTTTAGGTCGTGGCTGCCTCAAGATTGACCATCAGCAAATAGCACAGCCCCGCCACCAAAAAATCACCCCAGCCAAAAACAAACGCATTAATTAGTACCCCAAAAATTTTACTCGGATTCGGAATTAGCACCCCAAAAAAACGCATTAAAGGAGCCTATATTCCTAAACCGACACCCACATTAAGCCCTATGAGCCCTGAGCCCCAAAGGCCTGAATCCGGGGGTGATGTTGATTTGGGGTCTTGAATCTTGAAGTTTAGAATTGAGAAGTATCCGTGCAACCGAAAAGACTACATTTCCGGGGTCCCCACCATGAGATCCCAATATAAGCCCTTGAAAGCGAGGGTCTGTTGGGATACAGGTAGGGCCCAGTGCTTAAACAGGGTTTTGGAGGACCTCAAAACCTGGAATACCGACTTGTCGGGTATCATGGGGAACTAAAGGGAACTCCAGAAAGTTGGAATATGGATTAATGGTAGGATCCCCTATAATTTACCTTGAAGGGGTTACGATAATGACATTCCAACTTTCGGGATTCTACTGTAAAGGATTATATAGGGACTATGCTACCCAAAAAAAGTTAAAGGTTACCTACTCTACTACTAGGATAGGTAATGCTGGATTTATATCCCTAAGCCCTAAATCCTAAAGCCCTACAGATCCCTTAAAGGAACCCCTTAAAAGGGTACCTACTCTACTACTAGGAATACTTGGCCTGCCTGGCGTAGCTCAGGTGTCGCGTCGGTGGCAGGGCTGCCCTCAAGCAGCTGCCAATGGGTCGCCATGAACTTAGCGGGCTTCAGGAATGCTGGGTGGTTGTCAAAATTAGGGTCCCTTTTTGGGTCCTTAGTATAATACGGCACCTACTATTTAGGGTACCCAAAATGGGGCCATAACTATGACAATGCTATACTAGGATGCCCAGTAACCTGGAGAAAAAAGGGCTCCCTTTTTGGTATTGGGTAACTTCATAATACCGAACTTGGGAAGCTTGCACAAATCATGTGTTTAGCTCTTTCTGAGAAGTGAAAAAACCAAAAAGCAAATGTCGTTTCCAAGTGCCCCCAAGCATGGGTGACATGAGGTGATGTGAGGACAGTACGGGCTTCTGCAAAACTTCTCAATCCCTAAGGCTCCATGTACCCATATAGTATATACTTAGGCCTTAAAGTACCTATATATAGGGACTACTTTGAAGCTTAAGTATCTACTATAAATGTACATGGAGCCTTTTGGAATGAAGTGGCCCTCAAACCCAACCCAGAACCGTTGGGGTTTGGCCCTGCGCCATTGCCATTGCGCAAGCTGCTATGTTGGGCATTTCTGCTGCTACACAGATATGGACAGTGGATTTAGCAAAATGCTGTGTGCAACACAAGCTTGCAGTGATAGCACATGTTTGCACGAGCCTTGCAGACTACCGGCAAGTCCAAGTGCGATTTGTGTCCAGTGTCGTCCCGTGCGACGAAGACATATGCAATGTAAAGATCCTGGCAGTCCCTGGTTAGCATAGGCACACAAGCTCACACACTGAAACACCACAGTCTTGCGGAACGATGGTCGCAAGGGTCCAAGTGACCGTATAGTAGATACTTTGCCGGTCCCAATAGCTACGAAGAGCCTACTATACTGTCACTTGGACCCTTTGGGAAACATACCGGGGATGCCCTGATTCTGCCTAAGGTTATCTAGGACTTGGGCTCTCTTTGAGGTGCCTCTTAGATTTAGGGTTTAGATGGATGGATAGCTGGGTGGGCGGATGGATGGATGGATCGTAAGACTGAAACCTACCACGTGAAACACTTGAACTGTAGGTTCAAGGGTGGACGGATCAGAGCTGGAGGGTTGTTGAACTCCAAGCATGGGCTTTCATGCCCCAGCCCTGAACTCTACCGAATCACCACATCATCCTACATCCTTCGGTTGATGACATAAATCCTGCATGACCCATAAAAAGGAATATACCATAATTCCCATAGTTTGGGGTCCTTAAGGTAATGCAGGATTTATATCATCCTACATCCCAGCGACCTGATCTCGATAGGCCCTAGACTTGAATGCTCATCAATGATTGGATATCCTACTTACAAAATCCTAAAGACTGAATCATGCAATCCCGAACCCTAGGTTCCAAACCCTCAACTCCCCAAATGCGAAAAAAACCCTAAGACCCTAAACCCCGAACTCCCTAATCAAACCTTACAGTAAGCCTTAAACCCTAAATCATCAACCAGAACGCACCATCCCAAATCAGTAAACCCCAAAATCCTACACCCCAAAAAACCCAACCCCTCAAACCTAAACCTTAAGTTCAAAAACGGAAGCCTCGGCCCTCGAAGCGTTCATCCACTCCTCAGCTCAAGCGCAGTCTTGTCTTGCAGGTTACCCCAAAGGGTCTTATGTACTGTTATAGGGGATACTTCCCTAAGTCATACTAGTAATTCCTAATATGGAAACGCTACATTCTACTATATCGGTACATAGGACCCTTTGGTTATAGAGTTTTTAAGTTAGGGCTTAGAAGAGGGTTTTACCTGCTTGGCGTTAGGGTTTTGAATAGGGCTTTACCCTGCTTCGCGGCGATGCCCTAGAACAAAGGGCCATAGCCTACTATTTTGTAGGCTTTGAGGTTACCCGGTTACACATAGAGTTTCGGGCCTCACTTCGGTGTTTCGGACATAGAGTCTTGCTGGGTGGGTTGAGGCTTTGGGGCTTTTAGGCTTATATAAGGTTGATGATATAAACCCTGCATTAGCCTAACAAGGAACATACCGTAATTCCCATAGTTTAGGGTCCTTAAGGTAACGCAGGATTTTTTTATTATCATCAACCGTAGGAGTGCCTTACATCCCTCAGCATGCTGAGCCCTGCCCAGGGGCCACTGTGCGTTCAGGTCGTTCAGGGAAGCCAGTTGCCAGTTAGACAAACATAACGAAACTAAAACGATAATATGTATGATCGCACGAATAGTCGTAACATGAATAACGATTCAGAGATGAAACTCATCTACTCTTCGCGCTACCCTGAAACCCTAATATTATACTGAACCCTAAACTCCAAACCCGAAATACCGAACCAAAGACCCTAAAATCCCTACCACCCTAACTTATTAAACCCAAACCCTAAGACCCTAATAGCCAAAATTGTTAGATCTGCAAAAACAAACCAAGACTCCAAATTACTAAACCCCAAAACATCTGAAACGACTAGACTCTGAACCCTGAGCGACAAAACCCTATAGTACGTACAACCATCCAGGTCAATGACGAGCAACCCCATGAGGGTGGTCCACACAGCCGTAGTGGATGAAGTAAGCGTCCTCATTGGTTTAAGGTTTCGGGTTGACCGGGTTTAGGGGCTTAGACCCTAAATCCGAAACGCAAGATTTAGGGGGTTTAGGGGTCCAGGGCGAATGCCGAGAGGCCCAATCGAAAGTTGTTACTTAGGGGCTGAGTACCCAGCCCCAAAAAAGGTTAACTTTTTAAGTAAGGCGAGGTTATATGAACCCCCAACAGATACAGAGTTACAGGGTCCCTATTCAGCTACTAAGGCTAGGCCTCAACAAACACCAGCTCTCCTACGTCCTGGAGAGCCATTCTCCAAGATGCACACCACAAACGTGTGCACCAGATTGTAATTACTACTACTACTACTACTACTACTACTACTACTACTACTACTACTGCTACTACTACTACTACTACTACTACTACTACTACTACTACTACTACTACTCCTACTCCTACTACTACTACTCCTACGACTACTACTACTACTACTACTACGACGACTCTACTGTTATTATGAATGTTATTGCTTCTACGATATCTATTATTGCTATGATTATGGTTAGGACTAAAAAAAATACATCACAGACTCGGTTGAATCTTCAAGAAACGTACATGGGTCTGCAGGGTGTTTGCTTTAGAAACTGCCGCAAGCCTTGGGTGCGGCCCCTACTCAGTAATGGTGGAATAATATTCATGATATAGATATAGTAGGGCCTTAATAGTAGCCCTATTATAGACTCTTACTGTATGGGGGCCGTACCTAAGGCAAACCCCAGAACAACCCGGATCCCCGTCCTTCGCCACATTGGAAAGCCGTGTCGCTTGCATGCTGGTCAAGTCCAGTAGATGGGGACGGTTGGGCGGGTCCTTGGGCGCGCAAAGCTCCTCTTTGGCTTATGACTCTATACAAGAATTGAAGAATGCCAAAGATTTCCTCTCCTACATTCAGAGTTTAAGACAACATGTACTCAACATGGGCACTTGCACAAGGTTTGGCCGTTGCGCATGTATGTATCCACATAGTTTATGCTTCGGCTTTCAAGTACTCGACATATACGTAGATTAGGGCCAAAGCATATACTATTCCGGTACATAGACCCTTATACCCTAAATCGAAACCCGAATAGAACCCTTGTAGGAACCCTTATGGCACCCTTAAAGGAACCCTTAACTTACTCCCCCAATAAGCCACAGAAATAAAAGGTTAAACTTTTTCGGATTACTACTAAACTAATGAGAACCCGAAAAGTGTAAGAGTTGGGTATTGGAGAACTAAGTTGAAGAGGCCAAACCCTAAACCCTGAAACCCTAAACCCTGAACCCCTAAATCCGAAACCCTAGTAGAGCCCTTATGGCTCACCCTTAAAGGAACCCTTAAAGAGGGTGTGGGGCTCAGAGTTTGGGGCTCGGCTTTAAGGTTTATCAAATGGCCAAGGGCCTCAGTCTTTTGGGAACCTCCCGCACCCCCCACAAGTACCCTTTAAACCTTAAAACCTGAAACCCTAAACCCTGAAACCCTGAACCCTAAACCCTAAACCCACCCTAAACCCTGAACCCTGAAACCCTCCCTGAACCCCTAAACCCGAAACCCTAGAGCTTTTACGGTCCCTAATGGCAGGCACCTTCGGTACAATAGAGTCGAGGGTCTTCTCCTATATGGTCCAAAAGAATGGGTACTTGGGGTAGGATAGGGGGGGTTCCGAAAATAGGGGTTATAATATAGCACGCTAAAAAGTAGCATCCTTATTAGAAGATAGGGGACCCTAACACAGCACCCTAAATAGTAGGATCCGAAGGATCACCAGAAATAGGGTACACCCCTGTTTTCTTGGAAACTCCCATACCCTAAAACTCCATGTACCCATATAGTAGGTACTTAGGCCTTAAAGGGGTCCCTATATGGTAACTTTAAGGCCTAAGTACCTACTATATCGGTACATTGCGCCTTAGGGTACTATAGTTTAGAAGCCTGCAAAAGTGACTAAAACTATAAGATTAGGGCCCTATTATATTCCTATTATACTATATGGGTACATGGAGCCTGTAATAGTGACTATAAGGATTATATTAGGGCCCTATTATATTCCTATTATACCGGTACCCTAAACCCTAAACCCTAAACCTATAGCCCTAAACCCTAAACCCATGGAGCCTTAGGGTAGAGCTCGGGGCCACTCTTACGGCTGGCTTTCCTTTCGGCTCCATAGGTTTAGGGTTTAAGGTTATAGGTTTAGGGTTTGGGGTTATAGTTTTAAGGTTTAGGGTATGAGGTTTAGGGCTTAGGGTTTAGGATAGGTTTAGGGTTTGGGGTTATAGTTTTAGGGTTTAGGGTTATAGGTTTAGGGTTTGGGGTTTAGAGTTTTTTTTTTTAAGTTGAGTTGACTTTTACGTCTGCCCGCAGTCGGCTCTCAACTACATCTCAGAAATCGCCCCACCATCTCAACAACGGCAAGATGGGTTTAGAGTTTAGGGCTTAGGGTTTAGAGTTTAAGGATTAGGGTTATGGGCTCCACTGTGGTTCCTTTTTGTGGATTCTATTCAGGTTGGGAACAACAATGGAGCCTATTGATTCCGAACCCTGAACACAATACCTGTGTGCAAGGGCCCTTGGTAAAGAAACCTTCCGATGGAATGTTAGGCAGAGGAATCCCGCATCTGAGTCTCACAGATCGTGCATCCTGATTGGGCCTGAACACATATCAGAGAGCTTCGGACTATATTGGCGTGTTGGGGCCTGATGATACTATATGCCGCCGTTTGAAGCCCTCTAAATTGAAACCTAAACCCTACACAACCGGACCCTTACTGATCCCTTGCAGAACCTGTATAGAGCCCTTAAAGAAGCCCTTAAAAAGAGAACTTCAAACCGTTACGTGGAACCCAAAATTCGAGGCAGGTGTCCATGGTGGTCATGTTGGCGCAGAGGCGGTAAACCCGCTCGAACTCTTCCAATATGCCTTACATCGCAGACGCCGGGTTTAGGGAACCAGGCACGGCTTGACTAGGGACGAATTTGATACGTGGGGGGCTACAATTAAAGTAAAGCTCAAGGCGGCTTTGCACCCTGCACAACTGCTTACCAGTACTCGGACCCTGAACCCAGGTAAGTCCAAGTACCTTATCATTCGGTACTGCGGATCCTCAGTACTGGCGCCAGGCCGCAAAGAGTTCAGCTTCTTGATTACTATAGGGGTAATGTAGGAACCTGATTAAGAAACCTTGGGCCTGCCTTAGGGTTCCTTGTATGAATTCTATTATTTTGGGGGGTTATATGCCCAGGGTTTCCTAATCAGGTTCCTACATCAACCAATCTTGAACAATTGCATGTGGAGTCTAGGCTTCGATGCTGGCAAAAGGGCTCATAGGAATTCCATGCAGATCCAAACGGTACATGGCAGTAGGTTATGCCGCCACGGATTATGGTATAACAGTATGGCGCTTGAACAGCTAGGTTCCGACACCCTATAAGTACTTATAGGGTGCAAACCTCGAAAGACCAGGTTATGACCCCAGAAGTACATAGATTGTATCTATACAAGTCTTAAAGCAATAAGTTCTGGGATCCCCAGGTAGACCCACCAAAACCCCAACGCCTAGAGCCCTATATCCTAACTCACAAGCCTAAAGCCCTCAAGCCCCACAACTTAAACCCTCAAAGCCGAAACCCGAGAATTCAATCCCCATTGAAAAGGGTGTTTCCCTAAACACATAAAGCCTAACCCCCTAATTAAACCCTATAAGCCCTAAACCCTAACCTACCGTAAACCCAAAAGGGCTTCGTGGTCTGAAACGGGAGGGTATATAAGGCCGAAAACGTACTCCGATCCTGAAATATACCCTTTGGGGATTACCTTATAGGATTCTACATATGAACACCAAAAAGGAACTACTATGGGGTCTATGGGAAGTACGTTCTTTTGGAAATCTACCTGGCTAAGACTGTACACTCAAGAAACAATGGAAGCCAAACAGCTCCAGGTAGAGCCCTTACAGAACCCGTACAAAGCCCTGTAGCGAACTTCAGGCTCGAGGTAGAACACCAAGATGCTTGCCCCCAGCTGCGAAACGCGTGCCGCCATGTCTGGCAGAATAACCTCGGCCGCATCTCTAGAGAGTCCAAGCCAGCAGCTATTAGGGCTTGCAAGGCTTTGGACAGTGCTTGAAATCTGACACCTGACACTACGAGCGCTCGGACCTTCAAGGCAAACCCTAGTGTACATCCCAACAGAACCCCAAGCCCTGCAACTTGGGCAACTGGACCCGGAGAATCCCTTAGATTTTTGTGTGAGCTTAAAGGCGGGTTCAGGTCAGGGCTTCAGGGGTCTGTACGTGAAGTTTGAGGCCGTTTAAAAGCTCAGAGTTTGCAATCTAGGCTTTACAGTTGCCGCTTGGGTCCAGGTACGGAATTCTTTCTGCCACCTGGTGGGATGCACAATCGCCGAAAAGTCACACAGTAGTGCCTGGAAAACTCGAACACCTAAGCCCCGAAACCCCAACGCTTAATCAGTAACAGGGTTTAGGGTGTTAGTGCTTTATGTTTAGGGCTGAGGGTGTTGGGCTTAAGGTTTAGGATTTGGGGTTTAGGGCTTAAACCCTAAACTTCCTAAACCCTAAACCCCTCAAACCCAAACCTTAAACTTCCTAAACCCCAAACTTCCTAAACCCTAAACCCTATGAAGATAGGATTGAAAGGCAGCTGAGCCCCCGGCGTTTGAGCGAATCACCTCGCCAAGATTCCAGAAGCCCTCACCCTAAGGCTCCCATGTAGCTACCCTTTCAGGGTCTATGTACCCAACATAGGGTTCCTTTAAAGGTACCATAAGGGTTCCTGTAAAGGGATCCATAAGGGTTCTATAAGGGGTTAGGGTATAAGGGTCCATGCACCCGAATAGTATATACTTTGGTCCCCAAGTACCTATATAGGGAATACTTTCAGGCCGAAGTATATACTAGCTGGGTAAATGGACCCTTAAGGCTTATGAAGTATGTGCGCAGGCATTCGAGTGCCTATTTTGGCACCGTGTTTTGGGCTCAGTCGATACTAGAAGGGTACACGGAGCACCTAATTAGGGTCTCAGCACTAACATCACCCCCCCAGCTCTAAAAATGAGGTCCGAAGTGTTCTCAGGGCCCGTGTAGTTCTGATACTTCATGCTAACGAAGTGGAAATATCATAGTAGCTCTAGTTTATCCAAGGGAGTAATCTAATACAGGCCGGAAGAAGTAGAAATACTATCGCGACAGTTTTGATTAAACAATACCATCGTATACCCCTACAACAACATTTAAAACTTGTTGACGCTCAGAATTAAATGAATGCTCGGTCAAGGGTTTAGGGTCTAATGTAGGAGCCTGATTAAGAACATCTAGGCCTACAACCCCCAAATAGTTGGATTCCAAGAAACCCGAATCAGGGCCCAGGGTTTCTTAATCAGGTTCCTACATTAGGGCTCGAGTGGTATTTAAGGTGGTCTTAGGGTTTAAGGGCTCAGGGTTCAGGGCCGAGGGGTTTGAACCTGGATCCTTCAGCGAAGCCCTAAACCCTTTAGGGAAACCCCAAGACCAAACTCTAAACCCTCCAGGGGGAGGTTTCAGGTTGGAGGAATTGAAATCATAGCGGCCTTGCAAATTAGAACAGGGCTTTGTTTTTTGGAATGATAGCTACACAAGGACAGGGATAAACACTTGTACTGACCATTCTGTCTTATGCAGTAGCATGCCTGCGTGAGCTCAGTCTCCAAGTAAGACCACTCCTCGCAGGGTGCAAGCGGTAGGGCTTCACGGAGCATAACACCTGTTTCGGAGACATAACTCTAGGGTTAGGATCCTACACTCCTAAACGAGGACAGCAAGGTAAGCAACAGGTCATAATAAACCTTCAATTTCTAGGCAAAAGAATGGCCCTTGCCTTGATACTTAGAAAGGGTTCGGGGGAATATTTTAGGTATCTCTTATAGAGGGACGATTTGAGGTTTTTTCGAATCATTCAACCCTCCCACCCAGATTTTGGGGAGGATACAAACAGCAGATCCCTGGAGGAGGTGCCCGTAAAGTACCCTTTGACAGTATAGGGTCTAAAGCAGGGATCCGAGAAAGGATTTTGGGGTGGGTGTCCAGATGTCGGGAGCACCTCCACCGACACCACTCGGCAGAACTCGGAGGAAAGATAACCCTAAACCCTAAAACACGCCCCAAGCCGAATCCAGAGTTAAGGCTTCGGACTTCGGATTTCGGGCTTAAGGGTGTTAGGGCGCAGATCCCTTGAGTCGAAGTAACCAGCAAGCAGATGTTCCGCAAAAATACTAACCTGGGTTGCGCTTTAATCCCCTTGAAAACTATTTATGAACAGGTTCCCTTTATAAGGAAATAAGGGAAATTCAAAATTATCCCAATGCACAACCCAGTAACCTACATAACTGCGAGGAGCCTCGCGAGCCGAAGTAAGTAGTTATTGTCGTATAATTTAGAAGCTGCCCCCACCCTGTAATAGTGGTATAATAGGAAGAAAATAGGGCCCTAATATAATCCTTCTAGTCACTATTACAGGGTGGGGGCAGCTTCTAACGTATAATGTAGAAACCTGATTAAGAAACCCTGGTCCTATAACCCCCCCCCCCCCCGTATGATGGACACTTGGGGGCTATGCGACAGCAGTCGCTGTACTGTGCTTATTCAAACGCAACAAAAACACGCGTCAAATAGACGCTGAAATTTTCCATGTCTATTGGCTCAGGGCACATGCAACGCAACGGCGCTAAGGCCTGCTCTACGAAATCATGAAATGTGCTGGGGCGCTGCGCTGGAGCGCTGGGGCGCTGGGGCGCTGGAGCGCTGGGGCGCTGGAGCGCTGGGGCGCTGGAGCGCTGGGGCGCTGGAGCGCTGGGGCGCTGGAGCGCTGGGGCGCTGGAGCGCTGGGGCGCTGGAGCGCTGGGGCGCTGGAGCGCTGGGGGCTGGAGCGCTGGGGCGCTGGAGCGCTGGGGCGCTGGAGCACTGGGGCGCTGGGGCGCTGGGGCGCTGGGGCGCTGGAGCGGCGTGGAGGGGCACTGGGGGTGCAGCGCTGGGGCGCTGGAGCGCTGGGGCGCTGGGGCGCTGGGGCGCTGGAGCGGCGTGGAGGGGCGCTGGGGCGCTGGGGCGCTGGAGCGCTGGGGCGCTGGAGCACTGGGGCGCTGGGGCGCTGGGGCGCTGGGGAGCGCTGAGGCGCTGACTTATATATATATATATATATATATATACATATACATAGACATAGACATAGACATAGACATAGACATAGACATAGACATAGACACAGACACAGACACAGACATAGACATAGACATAGACATAGACATAGACATAAGCATAGACATAGACATAGACATAGACATATACATATACATATACATATCTCTCTCTCTCTCTCTCTCCTTCTCTCTGTCTCTTTTTTTCAAGCGTCTCTTTCGTTCTTGCGCGCTCTAGGGTTCTACCATCCCCCAATAAGCAAAGCTTCCACCAACCCTGCTCGCTTCTTACTGTGGTCCTAGTCCCACAATCTCGGTCTTACAGGATCTTCCACCCCATTTGCAGACCCGCGGACGTTTCTCATCGTCTCTTATGCTTGCTCCGCAAACTGTCTCAGACGCGGTAGACCATGATTCACCCTCCCAACAATAATAGGCAAAGACATCCTAACATCCCTACTCAATCATCCTGTTTGCCTGCTGTGCTTGGGCCAGAATCTCTCGCCTGTCACGCTTGTCCCGCAATCTCTCTCCTGTGCGCTCTACAAGTCTGGCCCGCCTTGCTTTATCTTCATCTTTCAACCTCCCCTTGGTCGGACAGCTCGCCCCAGAGCATCATATGTCGGTCGACCATGGTCGTCGGCCTTTATATTAATGATTATAACGCTGATGATGATGATGATGGAAGGAATGATGATGATGATGATGATGGTGGTGAGGAGGAGGATGAGGATGAAGATTATGATGATGACCAACATGATGATAGGGACGGAATCAAGCGTCACAGATGATAACACACGACGACATAGACATAGACAGCCGCCTTGACTCAACGAGCTTCTCCCATGCAGATAACATGCTACTCACCGCGCATGAACAACATATGTCCCATGCATTGTTTCTCATGCTATCTCATCCACTTGCTCCCTGTATTATCTGATCTCCTTTATACAACCATTTCTGCGACAATCTCTGCTATTACATTGCACACTCTTCTCAGAGCTCATTCGCACCATGCGCCCACAATGCCGTCTGTCTGGGACGACGACGTCGCTGCCTGCACGCGCTCTGCTGGATCTGCATTTGGCCGGCGATGACAATGTAAGGGGCCAAGTTGACTCATTGGAGCTGCTTCGAAGCCCGCTATGTTTGGCACCAGCAAGCTTGGGTCCTGCAAGGCCCTTTCCAATGTCGAGGTAAAGCGTGCCATCCACGCTTTAAGCTCACTGGACAGTTCTTCATCGGTACATCCACGTATGCCTGCATTGCAAGCGGTTACGTTTCACCGAATTCTAGCATTCCGCTCTCAACAATTTAATAACTTACATCTGATTGAGACTACGCTGCCGTCTGCGTGCTGCTACCTGGGACTGCGTGCGTCTTTCTTTCCATGTTCCATATGGCTACATGTGCGAGCAGCCCGCAGGACCTGCTCGTGCCGTCTCCGCCTCCAACAACCGCTCCAAATCTTCCACCAGTTCCTGAGTGCTGCCTGCATCGGCAGGCGTGCACGACACAAGCGAACAAAAGCAGCGGAGCACCTATCTTGCACGACAGAAGCAGCCCCGCCTCTCCATGCAGGAGCACGATCCATGCACCAAGTTGAATTCTCAAACGTGCAACGTAGAGAGAGAGAGAGAGAGAGAGAGAGAGACAGAGAGAGAGAGAGAGAGAGAGATGGAATGAGATCATTAAATAAAGGTTTTGTCTCAGACTGCTATACGAAGAAATCAGCAATGCCGCAGGAATGAACTTTACCCTGCTTGTGACGTCCGCTGTCTGCGTCCAGAAGATGAGTCGAATCATTGATTCTGATATGAGTCACAACGCATACCTACGTAATGCTGGCAGCGAGGACGGCCGAAGCGATTGGAACAGTGTACATGTTGCCACCATAATCCACAACGTCACTACACTCTGTGTCATCGTCGTTGTCGTCGTCGTGGTTCTCCTCATTATTTTAAATCTTCGGAAATATCGGTCATGATCGTCTTCTTCATCATCATCATCATCATAAGCAGCAGGAGCAGCGTCATTATGTTCATCATCGTCATCATCGTCAGCAGCATCCGCAGCAGCACCACCACCATCATCGTCATCAACAACAACATCAACATCGTCAGCACCATCACAATCATCATCATCAACATCATCATCATCAATCATCATCATCGTCTTCATCGTCATCATCATCGTCATCATCATCATGACCATCATCATGACCATCATCATCATCATCAGCATCACCGTCATCAGCATCCTTGTCAAGTCATCACGAACAGACATAGCATCATCATCTTCATGTTCTATTTGAGGTGTTGCTATGCCTGACAATCAATCGTCCTAGAGTAGCTTTTGCCTAGTAAAAGCACAAGGGCGTCAAATAGACGCAAAGCGTCCAAGGCACCCCCCCCCCCCCCCCCCCCCCCAAATACTAGGATTCATATAGGGGGCCCCAATAAAGACCCAGGGTTTCTTAATCAGGTTCCTACATTAGAGTCATAAGTATCATAACCCCAATTAGGATCCCTTTTCGGGTACTTCTAGCTCGGCTTACTACCTGTTTACTACGTCCCCGGACCCTGAAAGTATCCAAACCTCGAAAAGTGGACAACTTGATGCCTGGTTTCGATACCAAAACCCTGAACCCGAAACCGGAAGCCCTAAACGTGAAGCCCTGAACCCTAAGCCCCACACCCTAAGCCCTAAGCCTTAAACACTAGAACCCAAACCCTAAGCCCTAATTCTGCACCCTACGCCCAAAGTCCAAAAACTACACTCCCAGAGGGTCCATATTATGGAACTAGATCCCCGAAACCATAATGGGGATGGTCTTTTAGGGCCTAATTCCATTCTCGGTTGGCCCTTCAAAGCCCCTGGAAAATTTTCGTAAATAGGGTCCTATTACGCCCAATAAGGGAAAATATAGAATATCCCAAAGGCCTACCGAGCATTATAGTAGTGTATATGACCCTCTGGGAGTGTAGTTTTAGGAAATTGAGCGTAGGGTGCAGAATTAGGGCTTAGGGTTTAGGGCCTAGTGTTTAAGGCTTAGGGCTTAGGGCCTATAGTTCCATTATTGTCGTGTATATGGACCCTCTGGGACAGGAAGCCACGGTCCTCCCAAGCGTGTTGCAGTTGGAGAACGATCTCCTCTTGCAGGGGGGGGGGAAGTCTCTTGTTCGAACAGGGTTTGCGGTTTAGGGTATAGTGGTTTAAGGCTTTAAGTTTAGGGTTTAGAGTTGAGGGTTCAGCGTTCAGTGGTTTAGGGTATGTCATGGTGTAATTCTTTGACTCAAGAACCTAGATTAGAGGTCGGGATGTGGAGTTTGAGAGTTTATGGCTTGAGGGTTGGCTGGGGTTATACAAGGAGGGTTAAGGGTTCTTGGACTGGAACGAAGGATTTGGGGTAAAATGGGGAACATTAACCGAAGACTAAGGCTCAAAATCAATCTGGCAGACCAATCTCAAAATTGCAGGATTTGGGGTCAAACCGTCATAAAAGTTGTGCCCTGAGAGCTTGTAGTGTTTTAGGGCGTATGCTTCAAGCTTTGTTAGGGCTTTTGGGGCCCTCAAGAAAAACTATCAACCCCAAACACCTGAACCTCGCAAGCCGAAAGAACTCACCCCCTTTCGACAACCAGCAACTCCAAAATTTCAGCTGTCATTGTGTTAGCTAAAAACCTTTTTGAGCCGAAACCCGAAACTCTTTTTTGTTGACCCACCTTTTCCTGAAGGTAAAGCATCTGTTTGAACCTATGCCCCCAACAACTCTTTGTTGTAAACCCCTCCCCCTTTGAACAGAAACAAATGCTTGTGTTCCCAGTAAAGTCACCTGCGTCGGTGGGGCGGGGATGCTTTCGGCCTTGCCTCAGCCACACAAGCCCACAGTCTTGGGCTTGAGAAAAGCACTTGGCAGAGCCCCCACAAACATCTTTGGCTTAGGAATAGTAGTTGGGATCCAGAAAGGAAGCTGGAATGACTGCAAAATCGTTTGCCTGAAAACAGTTCATAACCAGCAGGTTCATACAGCCATATCAACATTCTTCGGTCTAGGCTAGTCGTAGTTGTGAGGCTAATTGGGTGCATTTGATGGCTTTGGGCGTAGGGTTTAGGGCATAGGGCTCCGGGTTTATGGCTTTCGAAATCTTGTGTTTGTGCGTCTTGTCGTTGCCTTCGTGTGCTTCTGTTCTGTAAGGCTTCCAGGTGTAGAATTCTTAAAGGGTTTGGGGGTGCGTTGTAAGATCATCATATGGGGATTATAACCCCTAAGGGTCCAGAGCACTCATATAGTTTTAACTTGTTGGCACTTTGGGGCCAAAGTATATAGTATTTGAGTACAAGGGTTATACGATCATGATATGATGAGGGCTAGTTACAAGGGAATAGCTCACTGCCGGGTCACTCCCTTCGATGAGGTTGCGCAGCATTTGGCTGGCTTGAGCCATGAGCACAGTGAGCTCCACCTTACCTTGGGTTCTTGAGAGGATGTTAAGGGGGCGTCCAGAGTTTCTATGATGGGTCAGGGTTTAGGGTTCCCACCTTACCTTGGGTTCTTGAGAGGATGTTAAGGGGGCGTCCAGAGTTTCTATGATGGGTTAGGGTTTAGGGGTTGAGGGTTTAGGGGCCGACCTGATTTACAGCTTTTCTGAAACTCTACAGCCCGAGAATCCTTAACCCCCTAAATGCGAACCTCAAGCCTGAAGCCCTAAACTCTCCCCCCCCTTAGGCGTACATGCCAAACCTGCAACCCCATAACAAGCCCATATGAAATCCATGGCAAAACCCCATAGATAAAATCCCTGTGCCCAGAAAACCCTATGAGCCTAAAGCCCCCATGAGTCCACAACTGAGCCCAAATCCCTCTCTCCTTTTCCCACTGGCCCAAAACCCCAGGGAATAAAAGTTGAAACTTTCAGAATCGACCACCTCATAAGAACCCCAAAAGTTGAAAAGTTTAGTTTACAGCCAATAAGTTTTAGGGTTAGGGTTTGGGGTCCCCCTCCAGCAAGCACAATTCATGGACCTAGGGGTCTCCAGGCCGGTCCTAGGGGGGCACTTGGACACAACTGCAATTTGGGCATTTGCCCAAAACACCCCCCCCCCCCCACCCCCCAGTGAAAAATGCAAACCAATCCCCCAACCTCTAACAACCTTTTATAGATCCCTAAAAGGAACCCTTAAGGATCCCTGTAAGGAACCCTTTAAGGATCCCTTTAAGGAGCCCATACAGGCCCCTGACCCCCCCCCCCCAATGAAAAAAACAAGCCAATGGTAAAGCAAAAGCCGGAACACCCGCAGCAGGCTCCACATCTGAGGCCACCTCCAAGAATCTTTTAGGGCCCCTATGTTTGGAGGGGCCTTAAGAATTAGAAGAGGGTTTGGGGGCCCATTACAGTATAGTTATAATGAGGAACCACCGAAAATCATGTAGGTAATAATTACGGCCCCTTTTTGCTATACTAGAGGGGCTAGTGTGTCTATAGTGTTTCGATGCTTCAGATGGCCTAGGGCTTCGGAACTTGGGTTTAGGCTTTGGGGTCCTGGAGTCTTATTGTTCAAGGGGTAGGGATTCCTTAATGTGAACCCTATTATGGGAACCCTAATCCCTACTAAACCCCCCATAGGCTAAAACCCCTTTTGGCCTCCTATGAAATTGGGACGTACTGTTTCCATGTGTCGTGCCTTTTGCTTGAATCTTGCTGACGGCCGATCTTTGCGCAAGCGGCGTATGACCTCTACCAGGCCCTGCCCAGACACCACCACAAATAGCCGAAGGGAATGCCTATCTCAGACAAGCTGACTGAGATTGTCGCGGTATTCTTGGAGACCTCTACAATTCTCAACCGGGCACCATATCCCAAAAAAGGAGCAAGCTTCAAGTACCCGAAAGCCACATAGAAACCCTCCGCCCTATTTCAAGCGTATTGAAAACTGAACTTCAAAATTGGCGTGCTGCAAGCTGCCAGCATCTATAGCAGCAGTCGTTCACGGATATGCGTGTGACGTCCGGGCAGTGAAGCTTGAAGACATCTAGTGCTCAGGGCGTTCCTTTAAACCCTAAATCCCGAACCCTAACCCTTGAACCTTCAACCCTGACCTTTAGACCCCAAAACCTAAACCTTACATCCTAAACCCAAAGTTCTGTGTCTGACTTGCCGCCCTGCCTGCGCAAAGAACATGGACACCTGCAAAGGGCAAAAGGACACCAGCACTTCCAAAGACTAGCTCGATGTCTTTAAAACCCGACACCGTGTAGGGTTTGTTTTTTATTCAGGGTTTGATTCTTTTTGTTTTAGGGTTTGGGGTTTAGGGTTCAAGGTTTCCCGGACCTGAGACCCCTAAACCCAGACATCTAAAGCCCGGCGAGTCGATTGCATACTTTGGCTCCGGAACCCCACCTAAAGACCTAAAATCGGAGGCCTCAAAAGGTGGGATGAAGGTAGGTGGGATATTCCCAAATAAGAGTCCTTATATAAGGGATCCTTAATCCTACCTACCTTCATCCCACCTTTTGAGGCCTCCGATAAAAAAGCCCTCAAGCAATGACACCCAAGATGCCATCTGGTCGTGCCGCCTGCCCGTCCAAAACACGACTGTTCCTATAAGCCTACAACTACCCAAGGACACATGGACCCATAGGCTGATCCTGGAAACTGGTTTGAGACTCAAGGCTATGGGCCTCGTGCGATTATGGCAGGATTCAGGCAAGGGCGTCGAGGGTTTAATTAGGGTTTAGGGTTGAGGATATTTGACGGTTCAGGCAAGCGTGGCGAGGGTCTTTAAACTAAGTTGAATATGTGGTGTCGCTATTGCCCGTCCTTCTTGCGCAGGCGGTGCATGTTGCGTAGCTCCTATGATTCATACTTCCTGGTTTGGCTTCTAAACCGGAAGCTTTCACCAGAACCTAAAGCCCTAGTATAAAGAGTAGAACCTCAATCTTAAACCCTAAGCCCCTATAAATCCTAATTCCCCAAAACCCTAAGCCCCTAAACCCTAAGCCTCTAAACACAAAACACCCAAACTCGAACCACAACACCCTAAACCCGAAAGCCAAGCCCAACAGAGCTTAGGTGCAAGGCATCCACGGGAGTCGAGGCTCTTGAATTGAAGCCCTACATGGGTGGTCGTCAAAATTAGGGTCCGTTTTTGGGCACCCCAAATATTAGGTGCCGTATTATATTAGGGACCCCAAAAGGGACCATAATTTTGACAACCACCCACGTGATTTATAGGCTTTAGGCTTCAGGGTTTAGGGTTTAGAGTCTATAGGGTTCAGGGCTCCATATTATGGGCTCGGTGCATAAGTTCTTAAGCAAAGAAGGCTTTTGCGGGCTCCGAAACAACCTGGGATGAAACAATAACTGGAATAGGGTGTCGGGGTATACTGTAGTATAGTTATACCGGGTACTCTAAGCAGGTGTCATCTTCCTGGATAGCTGCAGTGACCGTCCAAAGGCAAATCTGAATCAAAGAAGACGGCCCCCGAAAAAATCAGGTTCTAGTCACTCTCTATCTCTCGTCATGTACTTGGGGCATTTCTTTCAAACCTCAAACCCTGAACCTCAAATCGTAAACCGTCGCAAGTAGTGTCAACAGTCCTGAGCAGACGAAGATCGAGAGCCTGAATCTGAGAAGAATCTTCCCTGAATCACCGCCGCCTGTTTACTTACCTTTGGTTAGTAGGGAATGGAAGAATGGCAGTAATAGTAATAGTAGTCATAATTGTACCCCAATCCTCCATTCCCTACTAACCAAAGGCTTACCTTAACCCCAAGTAACCTACCTTTTTTAAGGACTTATAAAAAGAAATCATATTAGGGAATCCTAAAAAGGCAGGTTCCTTAGGGCCCAGGTAGGGCATACGCAGGTTGTGCGGTTAGGGTTTGGGGCTCAGGGTCTTGCGGAGCCCTACTTCCAGCGGACAGCTCAGGCAGACAGATGACAGGTTTAGGGTTTAGGGATTAGGGTTTAGGGTTTAGGGAGATCTTATTGTCGGCCTCATATTTCTTGCAAGCAGAACTCCCCAGACAGCCGCGTAGGGACCTAGAACATGGCTTGACTGCCATAACGACTGTCATCATCATCATCATCATCATATAATCAGCATCACTGTCAGCATGACTATCCTCGCCACCGTCAACGTTGAATCCCTCAACTCTCTGAAGCTCCTGCCATCCAAACCCCGACCCTGGTGGAAGTTGGCCTGCTGGATGAGCAACCGGAGCCGCCCCAAGTTTTCCAGATATCTGAGCCAGTCACCTCAGTCGTAGATGCCGTGCAGCTCAGCATGCCTGCTCTCGACAAAAGATGAGGAAGACTTATACACCCCCAGAGGGTCCAAGCACTCCTCATTTTAGGACTTTAGGGCTTGTTTAGCTACCCAAAAACAATAAATAAGCAGAAATTGGACCCTTTAGGGAATGCGGCTTCTAACCGTGATGCAGGTAAAGACGGTGATGGTGATGGCGACAAGGTACCTACTGCTGCTCTTGTAGAAGTTGATCAAAAATACAACATGGCGAGACTTCATCGTCGGTGCTGTAGAAGGTGGGAAGCACAATGAGTTCAGGATGCCGACAGCGATGGTGGCGTTGCTTCTGATTCCGCTAAGGACGGCCAGGACCCTTGAACAGACTTATCATTGCCTTATCCTTACAATCCTGCCTGTGAGAAACCAAGATGCATAAGATCTGTTGGCCTTACACTGGTAATAAACTCAGCGATGATGATCATACTCGTCATTACGCACGGGGTGACGATGGCGGTGACGAGCACTATGTTCATCACATTGGTGACGGTAGCCTTGACGGTGATCTGAATAAGGTTGGGGATGGTTGTGAACTTGTGCCAGGTGATAAGGATAAGCGTGAGAACCATGTCCATGGTGACAGTAAAGATGGTGACAGTAAGTGCGACAGTCATCATGCTGCGATGAAGATGGCGGTTCGCATCATCGACACGACGGGTTGGGATTTCTGTTTATTACAAGGTTTTCTATGAAAAAAAATCAAAGGTCACTTCCAAGCTACTAGTACTACTAGTACTTCTAGTACTACTAGTACTACTAGTACTAGTAGTACTACTAATACTACTAGTACTACTAGTACTAATACTACTAGTACTACCAGTACTACTACCAGTACTACCAATACTACTAGTACTACTAGTACTACTAGTACTACTAGTACTACTAGTACTACTAGTACTACTAGTACTACTAGTACTACTAATTAATACTGCTAGTGCTACTAGTACTACTAGTACTATTACCAGTACTATTACCAGTACTACTAATACTACTAGCCGTCTGCGGGTACCCGCGCCGTCTGCGGGCACCCGCTTGGCTGCGGGTACCCGCGCCGGCTGCAAAGGTCACTCACTTCCAAGCTACTAGTACTACTAGTATTTTAATACAACTAGTATTATTAGTACTACTAGTAATACTAGTACTATTCGTGCTACTAGTAGTACAAGCATACTAGTATTACTACTACTACTACTACTACTACTACTACTACTACTACTACTACTACTACTACTACTAGTACTACTAGTACTACTAGTACTAGCACTACCTACCAACCGTCTGCGGGTACCCGCGTGGCTGCGGGTACCCGCGTGGCTGCAAAGGTAACTCACTTCCAAGCTACTAGTACTACTAGTACCTCTAGTACTACTAGTATTATTAGTACTACTAGTAGTACTAGTACTACTCGTGCTACTAGTAGTACTAGCATACTAGTAGTAGTAGTAGTAGTACTACTACTACTACTACTACCATGCAGTACTACTAGTACTACCAGTACTACTAGTACAAGTAGTACTACTAGTACTACTAGTACTACCTACCAGCCGTCTGCGGGTACCCGCGCCGGCTGCGGGTACCCGCGCCCGCTGCGGGTACCCGCGCCCGCTGCGGGTACCCGCGTGGCTGCAAAGGTAACTCACTTCCAAGCTACTAGTACTACTAGTACTTCTAGTACTACTAGTATTATTAGTACTACTAGTAGTACTAGTACTACTCGTGCTACTAGTAGTACTAGCATACTAGTAGTAGTAGCAGTACTACTACTACTACTACTACTACTACTACTACTGCTACTACTGCTACTACTACTACTACTACCATGCAGTACTACTAGTACTACCAGTACTACTAGTACTAGTAGTACTACTAGTACTACTAGTACTACCTACCAGCCGTCTGCGGGTACCCGCGTGGCTGCGGGTACCCGCGCCGGCCGCAAAGGTCATTTCCAAGCTACATAGTACTACTAGTACTTCTAGTACTACAAGTACTGCTAGTACTACTAGTACTACTCGTGCTACTAGTAGTACTAGTACTACTAGTACTTTACTACTAGTACTACTAGTACTACTAGCTGTCTGCGGACCCGCGTGGTGCCGCACTGGCTGCGGGTTAAACCTCAAGCTGTGTGCAAGGTTTTGATTTAATACCTTCATAGTGCAACGTTGACGCGTTGTGGCTGCAAGTACCCGCGCTGCCTCTAAACTCCACACGGCTTTTTCTTTCTCTGTAGACCTTTAAACCCTTAAACCCTAAACCCAGGTGGTGTGCAAAGTCTCTAACCTCAGACCCCTATGGAACCGTGAAGTCATGAAATCCACTATGACAACTCATGGCTCGAGCTTGGACGGCCAACTCTCGAGTTCTAGGGGTTTCAGAACTCGCCTTGGGCACGGCGAGATTACTGTAGGCGCCTGCCAGGGCGATAGGATTTAGGCTGTAGGGTTTTGGGTTTAGGATTTAGGGTTGCAGGTGTAGGGGCGCCTTCCACGGCGAGGTTACTGTAGGCGCCTGCCAGGGCGATAGGATTTAGGCTGTAGGGTTGTGGGTTTAGGATTTAGGGTTGCAGGTGTAGGGGCGCCTTCCAGAGGTCATTGTAGGCGCCTGCCACGGCGATAGGATTTAGGCTGTAGAGGGTTTAGGCTTTAGGATTTAGGGTTGCATTGCTTCCCCCCAAGCCCCCTTTTCCCGAAACCTTCAGAACCTCCCTCCCTCCCTCCCTCCCTGCCTAGTAAATCGACACTGGAGGGTGACGGCTACTGTGATAACCCGGCCAGGTGGTTTGGCTCCTCTGGGCCTTTCCTCCTGGTGTGTCTGCCGTAGTCAGGAAGGCAGGGTCACCCAGTGAGAGTGTCGTCGGGCGGCAAACCTCCGCCTTGGGGTGTCAGGGTTAATTACCCGGCCCAAGTCACGATTTCTGGCCGCAGTGATGCCCCTACGGGGGTGGAGGGGCCGGAAGTGCGGTCATGGTGAGGCTTGTTCCCGAGCCTGGTCTTGGAGTACTCTCTGGGACGATGTTGCAGTGGAGGAGCGTGTCTCCGAGGATACTGTGACAGGGAATCTGATGTCATGATGCTCCAAACCTCCTCCCCCCCGACTCAATCATTAGGGCTTCGGGATTGGGGCCTAGGGTTGTGCAGGTTCAGGGTTTTAGGATTTTGGGTGCCGCCGACCATGGACACAGAGCCCCGGCGAAATCCGAAGCCGTTGCCAGAGGTCACGCGCTGGCTTCGTCTCTGCGGCCTGTGCGCCTTGTGGTCCGTGTTTCAGGCGCAAGGGTTTGGGGTTTAACTTGAAGGTTCAGGGTTGTCTTCGGCCAGTCAGAGCCAGGCGAGTGGCCATGCGGTAGGCAGGCTGGCTGCCTACGATCACTGACTGACGAGGAATCCAAGTGAGCAGACCCAAAACGGAAATGGAAAGAAACACCAATGGTTCCGGCAGCCACGAAATTGGGTCGGCCAGTCAGAGCCAGTCAGAGCCAGGCGAGTGGCCATGCGGTAGGCAGGCTGGCTGCCTACGATCACTGACTGGCGAGGAATCCAAGTGAGCAGACCCAAAACGGAAATGGAAAGAAAGACAAACGGTTCCGGCAACCACGACATTGGGTCGGCCAGTCAGAGTTGTTAGAGTGGCTATCCCCGCCGTGGATAGCCACTCCTGCTTTCTACGCCAGCACTGACGCCGCCCGGGCCAAGCCCGGCACCCGTTCCTGTCTGTAGTGACGTAGAAAGCAGGAGTGGCTATCCACGGCGGGGATAGCCACTCTAACAACTCTGACTGGCCGACCCAATGTCGTGGTTGCCGGAACCGTTTGTCTTTCTTTCCATTTCCGTTTTGGGTCTGCTCACTTTGATTCCTCGTCAGTCAGTGATCGTAGGCAGCCAGCCTGCCTACCGCATGGCCACTCGCCTGGCTCTGACTGGCTCTGACTGGCCGACCCAATTTCGTGGCTGCCGGAACCGCTGGTGTTTCTTTCCATTTCCGCTGGCTGCCTGCGATCACTGACTGACGAGGAATCCAAGTGAGCAGACCCAAAACAGAAATGGCAAGAAAGACAAACGGTTCCGGCAACCACGACATTGGGTCGGCCAGTGAGAGTTGTTAGAGTGGCTATCCCCGCCGTGGATAGCCACTCCTGCTTTCTACGCCAGCACTGACGCCGCCCGGGCCAAGCCCGGCACCCGTTCCTGTCTGTCCGCGATGTCCCGGACCTCGCGGCAGGAGCTCGACCAACTAAGTCTTTTATATTTTGAAACTCCCGATCAAGCAGTGGCACAAGACTTCGATGCACTTACCCACGGCAAGAATCTGACTGCAACCTCCCGAACAAGCCCCTGCAGCACAGGTTTAAACTGCCCTCCCGCGCCCGGCAGCTGAGCACAAGACAGCGAAGGCGCTGGGGAATGTCAGACAGGTTATGGTGGTATTTTCAAGTAAGCCCAAGGCCTAAAATCTGAATTATTCTGCGAAAACAAACCTGAACCTGAAATTCCCGCGACCTCCAGAACCGGCAACCCTCCAACCCGAGCTTATAGGGTTTAGGGTTCCTTAGGCTTTAGGGTTCAGGGTTTAAGGTCTATGGTTGTACGGGCTTAGGGTTTGTTAGGATTTAGGGTTCAGCATTTAAATTTTTTTTACGGGCACCACGGTCCGGAGACCGTGGTAGCCACGACCCGGAGGTCGTGACGGCCACTCGTGACGGCCAAAGCCCGGAGACTTTGGCACCATGGTCCGGAGACCGTGGTAGCCACGCCCCGGAGGTCGTGACGGCCACGACCCAAAGATCGTGACGGCCAAAGCCCGGAGACTTTGGCACCACGGTCCGGAGACCGTGGTAGCCACGACCCGGAGGTCGTGACGGCCACGACCCGGAGGGCGTGACGGCCAAAGCCCGGAGACTTTGGCACCACGGTCCGGAGACCGTGGTAGCCACGACCCGGAGGTCGTGACGGCCACGACCCGGAGGTCGTGACGGCCAAAGCCCGGAGACTTTGGCACCACGGTCCGGAGACCGTGATCAAACTGCGCACTCACTGGGTTTAGGGCTTAGGGCTTGAGGTCTAAACCTTAGGGTTAGGGCTCACCCCAAATGCCACCAAAATTTTAACGCTATGTTGAAGAATTAACCTATTTTACTCCCGGCCCTAGACCTTGGTTGACCCGCTACACCCTAAACCTAACCTGAATTAAAATTCAAGCTAGGTCGAACCCCTACCTAGCCCTGAGCCCTGACTAAACCTGGGTTTCATTGCCTAGCAGCCCTCTGTGTCCGAAGTTACGGATCTACTTTGCCGACTTCCCTTACCTACTTTGCTCTATCGACCAGTGACCAGAGGCTAGAAACCTTGCAGACCTGATGCGGCTGTGGCCCCCGGCGCCGCAGTGGATGTCGATGTCCACGTACACGGCGAAGGCGATAGCTTAGGGTTTAAGACCTTCAGGAGTTTAGGGTTTGGGACCTTCAGGAGTTTAGGGTTTAGGACCTTCAGAAGTTTAGGGTTTAGGACCTCAGCCTCGCCGTGGAAGGCGCCCTAAACCCTACACCTGCAACCCTAAATCCTAAACCCTACAGCCTGCAGCCTAAATCCTAACGCCGTGGCAGGCGCCCCTAAACCCTAAACCTAAAACCTCAATCCTATAAATCCTAAACTAAAGACTAGTAACTATACTAAATGCTATCGCCGTGAAAGGCGCTTAGACTAACGTCGCCGTGGAAGGCGCCCTAAACCCTACACCTGCAACCCTAAATCCTAAACCCTACAGCCTGCAGCCTAAATCCTAACGCCGTGGCAGGCGCCCCTAAACCCTAAACCTAAAACCTCAATCCTATAAATCCTAAACTAAAGACTAGTAACTATACTAAATGCTATCGCCGTGAAAGGCGCTTAGACTAACGTCGCCGTGGAAGGCGCCCTAAACCGAATCCTATAACCTCAAGTGAAGACTACTAACTAACTACTAACTAGACTAACCCTGCACCCAACGCCGCCCGAAAACCTAAATTCTAAACCCTAGCCGAGGCGCCCTAAACCATACACCGGGCCCCCTAGCCCAGCCTCCTCCACGGCCGCCACGGCCACGGCCGCTGCTACTGCTGCTGCTGCTGCTGCTAACTACTTACTACTTACTACTTACTACTTACTACTTACTACTTACTACTTACTACTTACTACTTACTACGTACTACTTACTACGTACTACTACTACTACTACTACTACTACTACTACTACTACTACTACTACTACTACTACTACTACTACTACTACTACTACTACTACTACTACTACTACTACTACTACTACTACTACTACTACTACTACTACTACTACTACTACTACTACTACTACTACTACTACTACTACTACTACTACTACTACTACTACTACTACTACTACTACTACTACTACTACTACTACTACTACTACTACTACTACTACTACTACTACTACTACTACTACTACTACTACTACTACTACTACTACTACTACTACTACTACTACTACTACTACTACTACTACTACTACTACTACTACTACTACTACTACTACTACTACTACTACTACTACTACTACTACTACTACTACTACTACTACGACGACGACTACTACTACTACTACATCATACCTAGAAGTCTAGAAGTGACCTTTGATTTTTTCGGGCATGTGCTCCCCGCGCCACAAAATCCCAACCCGCGACACGACAGCGATGATACAGACGATGCGCAGCATCGTGAGCTGGTCGTTGAATGAGGCCATACGACAATGATAACACATCGGCAGTTGCCAAACAATGCTGCCACAGCGCTCTCCACCATCTTGGCGCGTGGGTCACAATCTTCGGACCCGTTCACAAACAGCCTGACTCAGTGGCAGTCCGGACACATGTGCAAGAGGAGGAAAGGGTTGTTGAAGGGAACTGTTGGCGGCGTTCATCTGTTGGCAGGGCCTAGTTGAGAGGCTGGATCGTTGGAATACGACTGTTTTGCAGAACTCAAGCGACCATCTCGTCCTCTTGCTTTTCTGAGACCCCGAACCCTCAATTCGTACAGCCGGGGTACAACGTATGCGGACCTGGGGATTATGTCATTATTTCCCTGAATATTTCTTACATGAACATATTACCAGTATAGCGTACTCCCTAAATCCTATTCGAAGCAATACAGCCCCTGTTAAGCTAACAAAACATGATATTGGAGGCCGCAGGCCCTGGATGCATAGGAAGCTAAGGCCAGGGTTCTTCGGGGTTTGGGGTTCAGGGGCTCAGGGGTTAGGCTCTAAGTCGTTTCATAGGGTGAGAAGGGCTTGAAGAGGGGCCATTTGGACTTGTTTCAGAGGATGTTGGCTTCTCATTGGTGCCCACGCGCGCTGGTTTTCATGTTGACATCGCAGGGCTTGGAAGCCCACTTTGGCGGCGAGTTTTTTGTTCAGGGCTAAGTGGCATTGAGCTTGAGCTGCCCTGAACCCTGTCTAAACCATGTACTGATCATGAATGCCCTAAACCCTCCAAACACCTATAGTCACGCACTATACCCTGACCGTTAACCGCAAGCCCTGAACACCACACGCAGAGCCTTAAATCGAAGCACCCCAAAACCCTAAGCCCAACACCGCCTAAATCCAAATGTCTTCTCCAAGCAGCTGCACGGCATCGACCATGGAAGAGAACAGAGTTTCCTGAGTAGGTCGTGGCGGTGGCTCGGTCGCATAGAAGCGTGGGATTAGGAATGCGGGTGCCGTAGGGTTTAGGGTTTAGCGGGTGCCTTGGATGTTTTTAAATTAGTGTGAGTGTGCAAGCGAACACCAAACTAAAGAAAAAACAACCAAGCAAGCCCACTTAGTTCAACAAAAGAAGCAACATAATCCGTCGTGCTTGAGAGCGTATGCCTTCATCAAGTACCACCTAGCCCAACAAAGGTTTCGGATGCCACTCCAGACAATCGTGTACGGACTCCTAGACTTGTAACCCTAAACCTCTCTCAACCTTGCCCCTGAACCCTCGACATTACTTACGCTTTACGTAGACCAACAGCACTGAACTCAATACCTTAAAACGTAGGTTCTAGATCCGCGACCCAGAACTGATCCCTCAACCCGTAAAATCTTTACAGTTTAGGATTGTCCTCTAAACCCTAAAGCCCCTGAAGTAGCCTGAATCCTAAATCCTAAAGCCGGAAACATAAAGCGCTACAAGGTCGACAAGTCTCTGATGTGTTCATCATGTCCCGCACGACTCTCTTTGCCACGGCCTTCAAACGGCACGCTCGGAGCAATTGCCCTAAACGAAGCTACTACAAGGGCAAGAAGCCCTAGATAAAAGTCTCCTGAAGTTTAAGCCCTAAACCCCTCACCCCAAACCCTAAACCCCTTATCGCGCCTTATAAGCCCAAAGCCACGACATCCTAAACTCGAAATCCCCAGCGATGATAAGAAGAGATACCTGATTGCAGCATCTCTCGTTCTGCTGAAGCCCATCCTGTGCAGCTCAAAATACCCCAAGGGTCCAAAGGACCCAATAGCTAGGTACTTAGGTTTCGGATAGTATGTAGGTTACCCATTGGGAGAGTATATGATTATTACGCACTTGGACCCTTCGGGATAGAGCAGTTGCAGTTTACGATTTGGGGGTGTGTAGTTTCTGTGTCAGGGCTTAGGTGCTGTTGAGCTGTTGTAGGCTTTTCTCTGAGAGCTGAAACTGTTTGATGTTTGAACTTCCGAAAATAGGGGACCCTAATATAGTACCCTAAATAGTAGGATCCTTATTATAAGGACCCCAAAACAAGGTACCCATAATTTTCGGAAACTCCCATATTGGAGTGTCTAGGGTTGAGGCTTCAGCGGGTTGCCAGGTTCAACGTTCGGTCAGTTGCGGCTTAAGCTGTAACTTCTCTGCTTACTTGCAGGCCTTCAGACACCTTCCATAACAGCACATGGCGGCAAGCTCGCCTCCCTGTGTTCTCTCCCGAAACCATGGTCACCTCCCTGGGTTTCTCCTTAAAGGGAACTCCAGAAAGTTGGAATATGGATTAATGGTAGGATCCCCTATAATTTACCTTAAAGGGGTTACGATAATGATACTCCAACTTTCTGGCTTCTACTGTAAACCATAGCCTGTCCCCTTCGCTAAAGCTGCTAAGGATCCAAACGCCCAATATCAGAGATCCCTTTGAAGTAGCCTCCAAGTACTACCCTCGACCCAAATACTTGGGTGTCAAGATGTTCAGTAGTCCCGACCAGAAGCCCCCACCTGACCCGCGGCATTGGAATTCGCATTGAGAATGTCCATCACATACGGCCGGAAGTTGTGGTAGCTATACCTGACCACTTGCTACAGCTAAGGAGTTGATTGTGTTCAGTTTCAAGGTACCTAGAGGGCCTTTGTCGAATGTGTTCTTTGGCTGAGACACGTGCTGCTGAGAGCCTTGAGGACCTTCAGCCGCAAAAACCACTCACACAAACATCTAAGCAAACCCTAAATAACGCAAGACCTTCATGGTCAGAACATGCTTCGTGGTATACTGTAGCATAAACAAGAATGAGGAACCCTCAGGAAAACTATTGGTACTGACACACTTCAGGCCTTTTATATGACTAGATACATGAAATATGTGCTCCAAACCCTAAATCGTACACAATTTTGCTGCAAATCACTTGAGTTCTGCAGGATCATGCCACAAACCTTTAGGGCTAGGGCATCGGGCGCTAAGCCTAAACCCAAACCCTAAACCCTGAAGTCTGAACCCCAGTTTAAACTTCCATTTCTATATGGGAGAATATATTGGTGGAAAGTATACTCATCCGGCTACCAAGTGAGTCTACATCACGCACTTGCCTGTCCGGTGTCCTATGGGAGCTGAAGTTAAATCTTTGTGAGTACCCAGAAATATACTACACCGGTACCGTTATGGAATTAGGCCCCAAACGACCATCGTTATGATGATTGGACCTAATTCCATCATTGTAGCCTTATAGCAGTTCTTTCTGGAGCCTCTTTGGTATTCCCAGCAGTTTGAAGGTAGCTGACTCTACTGCTAAGACGGGCATCTCCGCTGCATCCAAAGCACGTGACTTCGCGCATTTGATGGAGTGTGCACAAACTTGAAAGCACCTGTCGAAACGCGGCAAGGAGTACGGCATCGTACCAGCACATAATACATGAAGCTGACTGGAGGGATTGAACCCTGAACCGTATAATTACAGCCTAAACCCTGAAACCTGAAGCCCCAGAACCTCAATCCCCAAACTCCAATGTCCAATACTCCTAAACCTCTTAAGCCATAGAAACTCGAACCCTCTAGAACTCAAAACATAACAAATCTTACAACCCTAAACCCTAAACCCCTCGACCCTACACCCCTAAATCCTAAACCCACCCTTTTAAGGGTCCTTTGAGGAACCCCAGACTCGTGAAGGACCGGGGCACAGGGATGCCGACGTAGGAATCACCAACGATGATCCCTTCGTGCGATGCCTCGAACAGCAGCTTCCTGGGACGATGGTGTCGGATTTACCCATAGGCCCCATAGTAGTTCCTTTTGGGGATTACCTTATGGAATTCTAAATACGAACCCCGAAACAGAACTACTATAGGGCCTATGGGTATAGTAGAAGCCAGAAAGTTGGAAACCGGCTTAAGGCCAAATAGTGCATACATTCCGTATGCAGTACTCTTAAGGATTGAGGCTGTCGGGTTTCCAACTTTTGGGCTTCTACAGTATCTTAAACTACCAAACCCTGCTTTTTTGTAGGTTCTTATCATAGGCCCTAATATGGAATTTATAGGGACCCTACAAAAAAGTAGGTTTTGGTAGGTTAAGGTAGGGCTTCCAGGCGTTGAGGAGCCTCAGTGGGTGTAAGAGATTTGATGCTTTTGGGTTTATGGGGACGTTTCGGCTACCCCAAGGCCCCAAAGTAGTTCCTTTTTGGGGTCCATATATAGAATCCTATATAGGATCATCCCAAAAAGGAACTACTTTGGGGCCTCTGGGTAGTTTAGGTGATAAGGTTTGGTTCTGGGGTGCAGGTTTAGGGCTCGGGGGTTGAAGGGTTGAAGGTTCATGTTTATGGCTTTGCTACATTGCATCCTTGGAAAAACGCCCCACACACAAACACACACCGAAGCCCGAATTAGTGTCACACACTCAGGCTTCTTGCCGTAACGTGGGGGTTCGGTTTTCCTTTTGTCGACGCTTCTTGGGAGAGCTGCGAACATCTCATGTCGGGACTCGTGTGCTTCAGAATCTCCACGTGCTCTGCCACGTTGATGCCGAGACTGACGAACAGGGCCTCCTTGTCGTTTCCGTGGCTTCGAGTTTGGGCATATGGGAGTTTCCGAGAATATTGGACCCATATATAGGGTCCATTTTATAAGAACCCCCAAAATCAAGAACCCTTAATTTTCGGAAACTCCCATCTCTGGTTTAGGGCCTGTCTCTGTGTCTTCAGGACACGCTTCTCCAAACCCGGAAACCCGAGCGGGGATCTGCTTCGTTGACGGGTTGCTGGGCTGCACTAACAAACCCTAAGGGTCCGAGGGACCCAATAATTAGGTAATTACTCGGTTTTAGGATAGTAGTTATGTAGGTTAGTATTTTGGGGAGTATACGATTATTAGGTACTTGGACCCTTGGGGAAAAGCGTGTGCTCGGAGATTTGCGAGCAACCGTCAACCGTACGCACAACCCAAACGAACCTGGCTTCCCAATACAACCAAGGCCCCCAAAAATGCAAACGCCACGCGCATGTTCGAACCCACTGTCCGAGCTAACCTATGCGGTCCCCAGGCCGTAAACAAATTTAACAGCACTCACAGCGCCGAAATACCGAACACTTGGTTGAGATCGGCCCTTGGAGGTGCTGGGGTTTAGGATGCCATAAACCCCAGCCTGAAAGCCCTCTTGCCTCCAAAAACGCTCGAGCCTCCGACGTCCAAAAGCCCTCATCACCCAAAATGGCAAGTGCTACTTGGACCCTATGAAACCTATCATTTTAGGGTTCCTTGTAGGTTCCTGACTATGATTTCCTTGTATAGAAGTCCTTGAATAAGTAGGCTTTGTAGGGCTCAGGTACACCCAAGACGCTTGGATATACAAACAAGCAAAAACCGGACTGCAAAAGCCCCTAAACCCTAAACCCGAAAACCTCTGGCCGCTCTGCCCCTAGTACACCCTAACACCATCAGGCTCTGAACCAAAAACCCTAAAACCCAATAACACAAATCCCGAACTCCCAAATCCCTAAAGCTCTGCACCCTATACCCTTAAACCCTAATCCCTGAACCTTAGCCACAACCCTCCAAGAGTTGAACAAGTCCTTGCACATCATCTGGACATAGGAACGCTGTCGCCCGGCAATGTCCTGGTGCAAATCTTAGCCTGAAGCTCCACGTACCTACCTAGACCCTCCATCTACCCTCTATTAGACCCTAAATGCCCCTTATTTGGGACCATATACCCCTATTTGAGGGTCCTTGGGAGGGTTCTGGTATAGGATCCCTTTAAGGGCTCCTCTTAAGGTTTCCTCTTGCACATATTTTCGGCATATCGATGCCCTTCAGACCTTAAGTGGCTTAAGCGCTGTTAAGTGGGTGTTTGCGGTGCTACCTTGAGGTGAGGGCTAAGCGGCTAAGTCACTGAAGTCACTTAAGTCGCTTAGTGTTTAGGGTTTTCTTGCATATGGGGACACAAGGGTCTCGGGGACTAGACCTAAGAGTAACCTCGGAATAAAAAGGGTGCCCTTTTTGGTTTAAAGGGGGTTATAAGGGAACCCTGAACCCTAAAAAAAGGGAATAAGGGCCTACTCTGGGTCCTAGGGGTTCATGGAAGTTCAGAGTTAGGGGGGTCCAGGATTTCACGGTAGGACCTTGGGGCTTTCGATGAGGGTTCCTTTAAGGGATCTATCAGGGCTCTGACAGGGTCTAGGTTGTCTGTGAGGGACCATTTACTCGTATAGTATAAACTTTGGCACCAAAGGCTTTAAGGCAACAGTACATACCATTTAGGCACATGGACCCCCTAGGCAAAGTTAGCAAGTTCTTGTCCTGATGCCCAAAACAAGTATTATACCCTCAGGGCCTACGTACCCATGTCGTAGGGTGATCATGTTTTCAGTCCCGCAAACTATACTCTGAATGTAAGCCCTGAAGGTAGAGAATGTCGGCGATTAGGGCCTTGTGGGGGGTGAAGTTTCAGGTTTAGGGTGCATCAGTGATGTCGGGTTACGGGTCAGTGGCCAACAGCCCGCATTTTCTGTAGCCTCGATTGCAATCCGCAGGTATCTTCCTCCTTATGATTACGGCCGCTCCCCTTGCCGCAACCCCATCTGAACTCCCATCGTCACGCCGCAAAATGTCATCACTCACCACAAGCCTTCTAAGAACCCGGAACTCCCAAACCCTAAGCCCCTAGCATCGCGGAACCGTCTTATTCAACAACTGGAGTCCTGCTGCAAACCCATTGTTGCAAAGCCCAACAAGGTTGCAACATCACTGAGTGCTCCAACCACCTGGGCCGTTCCGGTGTGGTTTGCAGTGTTTGGGTTCTGCGCAGCGTTTGTAAACCAACAGCCTAAACCCCTAAGCCCTACGCCCTAAAAAGACGAGCCTTTGTGTTGCTTGCAGGAGCAGGCTGTGCCGACGCGAACAGAAACATGAGACACGCTGCCTTGGAATGGCTGCATACTCGCATATGCATGCAAACAAATTGTGATGGAGAGCCAAAATCAGCCGTACACGCGTGAAGAGTGCATCTGATTTTGGAGCTTCTGGGGGACAACAACACCTGGGACATATCATATGCACACCTCAGGACATCCTCAGAACTCGCAAAAGAACGAGTCGTGCAAACTCTGCAACCATCAATCCACCAAGCAAAGACCATCAATCCACCAAGCAACACGAACAAGTTTTACCTCCGATCGAGCTGGTTTGAGGTTTCGGTTTAGGTATTTAAGGCTTGGGGATTAGGGTTTAGGGGTTTAGGGTTCAGGGCTTGGGGGTTAAGGTCTTAAGGGTTCAGAGTTATATCATTGTTTAGGGTGTAGGGACACGAGTACCGGCAAGCTGAAATGTCGAATCCGGCCGCCACTCCACACGCGCTGAGGAGCTCGTTACTTTGCTCAGCAATCACCTGCAAGTGCAGGGAAACCCGAAGCTCCTAAACCCTAAGCCCTGGACCCGAAGGAACCTGCCATTTTAGGGTTCCCTAATATGCTATCTTTATAAAAAAAAAGTCCCTAACAAGGTAGGATACTTGGGGTTAAGGTAAGCCCTAAACCCGAAAACCTAAACCCTGAACCCCACCAGCACCTCACACCCCACCGGCTTCTTCTCGCCTCAAAACAATGGCAGCTCCTCGTCAGATCTCCACGAAGCGGGGCTTGATGCTTGAGGTCCTCGCTTCTTCTTGGTGCTCCAACCCATGATCTCTCACTTGGTCTGGGGATCGACCAGAGGACATCAGATCATCAGCATCTGGAGCTTCAAGACCCGGAGCCAAGGTACTTCTCTAAAAGAGCGTCTCGGCCGGGACTTTTCGACCGAAGAGGCCGCTTTAAGTTGAAGGATCGTTTTCATGCCGGATACCCCAGTAGCAAAGGATTGCCGAGCGACCCCTCTGCATCTGACAGTCTGTCCAGGACAATTCTGAGGAACATGTTTTTCCTTCTTGTGCTCCATCCTGATGTTCATGTAGACATGCTGCACGACGTGGTGCTGCTTGTGCTTCCTGTCCGGCCCTTTTTTTGGCTGTCGGACCTCCCCAGCTGCACTCTATTATACCCTAAGTACACACTATTAAGGACCATAAGGGCTCTATTGAAGGGTACGTGGGGTGTGAAGGGTGCTGGCAAACCCTAAACCCTAGCCTCTGCACTCTGAACCATAAACTTAAACCTTACAAACCCTCAACCCTAACCCTAGACCCTAGACCCTAAACCCCTAGACTTCAATCATAAACTTCGAGACCTGAACTCCAAATTGTGAGCCCAAACATCTAAGCCTAAACCGTAGCCATTAGGGTCTATGTCACCCAAATAGGGTCCCTGTAAGGGTAGCATAAGCGCTCCTTTAAGGGATCCAAAAGGGTTTGGGGTGAAAGGGTCCATGTACCCGTCTTAAAGTAGTCCCTGTATAGGTACTTTGGGGCCAAAGTATATAATATTTGGGCACATGGACCCTTAGGGTTCCTGGAGTAACCAAGGTAAGTAAATCACCCAGTCCTTTGAGGTCATAACCCTCTTTAAAGGTGCACTAGTTACTCTCAGTAGGCCTTTCTTACCCTGAACCCCAGGGCCTCGAAATTTGAGAGGGCTGGATAGGGCTTTTTTACTCTAAGAACCCCTTTTGCATCCTGAACCCCAGGGCGCCGGGAGGCGTTCGGAGCTTGAGGCTTAGGGACTCGGGCGTGGTGTTTCAAGTTTCAGAGGGCTGGATAACGCTTGGGGTGAAGCTTCATGGTTTGCAGACTTCAGGGTTAAGGTTTATAGAAGTTGTATAACGGTATATAACGCTAAGGCCCATGAAGCCATGAACATTTAGGGCCCTGGGGCTCAGGATACGACACTATGAGATGACCCGGCTTTCAAGCTTTGTGGTGCTTCAAGGCTAACCTACTTTGAAGGTCGAGATTACAAGAATATGAACACCTCAGAACTTTACAATTCCCTCAAAACTTCTCAAATTCCTCGAACCCTATGTGTGCTAGAGTCAGACCTTATGCGACGACCTGAACCCCAAAACCCTGAACTCTAAGACTACCTGCTAGCCGGGCATCGGCACAGCTACACGAGAGATACTACGGTTGATGATGCAAATCCTGCATGACCTTAAGGACCCCAAAACCATGGGAATTATGATATATTCCTTATCTAGGAGGGGCTTTTAAAGCCTTTGAAAAATACTAGTAGGTAAGATCCTCATAAGCCCAACAAGAGAAAATGCCAAATGTCCCAAAGCCCTACCTAGTTATTATGGGTAATGCAGGATTTATATCGTCAGCCGTACCATGTCAATGTGGGGGAACCCAGACCTCTCAACACGGCGAGTACCCTGCAAAGCAAGACCAAGGCTCCCAAATCCCATAGCCCCATGTCATGGCCGTTGGGAGTTTCTGCAAATAGGGACTCTAATATAGCACCCTACATAGTAGGTCCTTATTATAAGCACCACAAAATAAGGTACCACATTTTTGGGAAACTCCCATTTGCAATCTTTACAAAGTTGCTTGGGTTTAGGGTCTAAGACTCTAGGATTTTAGGGTCCTTAGGGTAATGCAGGGTTTATTATATCATCAACTGAAGGACCCCCTTGTACCCTAAGGAGTATGTATGTGTGTGGGTGTGTTGGCTCCCCTGAATCCTTAAAGTCAAACCTCCCTCCCGAAGCCCTTAAACTCCTAAAGGCCACAAACCCTGTAGGGCTTGGGGTTTAGGGTTGTGGGTCAGGTCCTACCCTAAGGGTCCATGTACCCAAATAGCATGTACTTTGGCCTTAAAGTAGTCCCTCTATAGGTACTTTGGGGCCAAAGTATATACTATTTGGGTACATGAACCCTGAGGGCTACGAAGGCAAACCCTTGCCAAAGGCCCCCCACCTGCAACAGCTCCTCGAGCGCAGTCCCTGCAAGCAACGTGCTTGTTTCAGCTACTGGATGTTCACAATTACGGTCGCACAGGGTTCATTATCAGGGTAAAGGGTAGGAGTCTTGGGCTGTCGCGCCCATGGTGTCGGGTGTTAGCCTATAAACCTCGACCTTCCGGCCTTGATTACACCCTCGAAACCGACACGTACTGAAATCCGAAAAGGTTGAGTCCCTTGGAGAGCGTACCTTGTTCTGGTCGTTGATGGAGCTGGTATGCTTATGGTCTACTGCTCTCCGCGAGGCTCGGGGGTTTACGGTTCAGTGACATTCACGGGTTTATAGGGTTTACACGACTCTGCTTGCAAGGGGTCTTGCCAGCACTACTAAGCGTAATATCGGAGTTTCCCCAAAAAATGGGACCCTCATAAAGTACCCTAAATAGTAGGATCCTCATGATATGTTCTAGGGACCCCCCAAATAAGGTACCCTTAATTGTCGGACACTCTCATATTGGTGCTGTCAATGATACTATTGTCCTGCTTGTCCAGCTTCTCATCCTGAAGATGACCGGTGACACCGGCCCAGGGTCACAAGGCACAAACGAAGAACGCCAACCTTCAAACATCCCTGTAGCTAATAAGGAATATACCTTAAGGTATAGTATGCGTAGGATCCCTTATGTGGTTTAAGGTATACCAGTATATCCCTTAATTAAGTGATTTTGGAACGTCTGGGCGAAGAACTTCCAGAAGAGACACCGTTCATGTTGCTGATGGTGTCGATGTTGGAGAGCACAACGTGCTCAAAGACGTGCCATATGTCGTCCACCTCCTCTGCAGGCTGAGGCGTTGGGGGGTTTGGGCGTTTATAAGGGCTTATAGAGCTTAGAACGCAGGGAGCAAGGTCTTTCTAGACGAAAGCTGATCCAATGATGAAGCAAGAGTATGAAATGACTTTAGGCACATGTCGCCTTCAAGTGTGTTCAAGGGAACGGGAGCCCAACTTCCCCTGCGCCCGCCCCAAATCTAAATCCGAAAACCTCCACCCCGAACCCTTCGACATAAATCTAAACCTAAGCACGAAGCCCTTAACCCCGAAACCCTCAACTAATACAGGGGCTGAATAATTAGAAGCGGGTTTTGGGCCCATTATACTATAATTTTGATAAGGACCCCCCCCAAATGGTATTGGTAACTCTATAGGCCCCTATATTATTGCCAATCTGAGTCCACAAAATGATTCCCCACTAACCGGTTTAGGGTTAGGGGGTCTAGGGGTTTAGAGTTTAAGGGTTTCGGGCTGAGGGTTTAGGCTCACTAACCTGCAACTAGTAACTAAGTGGTACACCCATGCACCGAAGATTCAATACAAAAACAGTTTTGGTAACCGTCCCAAAGGCAAAACCATTGGTCAGTAGTCCTGACCCTAAACCCTAAACATTGCTACTCTGTGTATGCCAGTCCTCGAGCTTGTCGGTGATCAGTTGGCTAGGCGATGCAACAATGTCACCCGCGTCACTCCTTTTCTCGGAGGACTTTGCGCGAGGCTTGGAGGTATAGGATTCTGGGTTTTAACATTAACAGCTCAGGGCGTAGGGCTTTAGGTTTGGTGAGTGTCCAGACATCATCATGTCTGCCGACTAACATTCCACTTCAACCAAATTACTGAAATTTGGCTCCCGGCCATGATACAAACCGCATTCCATTGCAAAGCGAGGCTTTTTCAAAACCTGGCGATAGACACACTCTACGTCCACAGGCCTACAAAGTCACACACACACACACACACACACACAGCTCCCGACACAAATTTGTAGAAACCTAGTGTCGGACATGTATGTGAATTGAGGGAGCTGCACCAGCTTCCTTGCAAAGCACCGGCCCGCCGCTGTACATCTGTCACAAGCAAACCCTCAATGCTGAACCCTAAAACCCCAAGCCCCAACCTCTAAATCCTGAGCCCCACGCTCTAGATCCCTAAGTCCCAACCCGTAAGCCCTTTAGGCCCAACCCCAAAGCCAGCAAGTCCCAACTTCTGAATCCTGGGGCCCCCAAACCATAGTGGCTGAAGAACCGGAAGCCAGAACCCGACATGTGTAACCGGTTCCCTCTATAGGGCCCCTTATCTATGCTTCATTGAACCATCAACCCCGAAAATTGCGGTCTAGGGTTTCCTTGAGGGTTTAGGGTTTAAGGGTATAGGGGTTTTGGGGTTTAGGGTTTAGGGTCTACAATGCAGAGGACCCTTAGGGGAAAGGTCTGATGCTGTACATAAGACGCGGGTACATTGCGATCTGGTGTCCCCTCGATCATGTCGTGAAGAGTCTGATCGAACATCGCTATGCCCTCGTGGATCCTGCAGCGGCTTCGTTGATTTAAGGTTGCTGTAGGGCCTGGGGGTGTTGCAGTTTCTGAGGGTCAAGATGTTTAGGGTTTTAAAAGGCTTCTGGGGCTCAAGGGGTTTAGGGTTTTAACAAGGCTCCTGGGGGTTCGGGGATTGGGCTTAGGGTTTAGGATTTAGGAACTAGGCTTGAGGGTTTGAAGGTTTGCGGAGCTTTAGGCAGTATTTAGGTTTAGGGTTACGCACATAAGAGGTAGAAGCGAGACTTGCGACAGTGATTGACATGGACCTGGAAATGAGCTGGCAAAAAGACTGGGAATGAAGTATGACTTGACTGAGAGTTGCTTTGCAATGGCCCAACCTGCAGAAGCATTGTTTCTTACATGATTTTAACTTTATACATGTCCATATGCGTCGAAGGTATACGCAGAGGAAGCAGTTACTTGGCTTGCATCTTTCACAGGACTCCATGGACAGTTACTGGTAGCTTGTTCGCATCAGATTTTCGGCTTGTGAACCTCAAGCCTCAAAACAAAAATGCCATAGTTAGCACGGAAATCTGAGCACTAAACCCGAAATCCTAAGCCGTTCTGTGCTTCGAAAGCCGCCCATACTCTTGAATGCCATAACCATCTTTTTGTGTGCTCAAGTGCCTGTGCTGACGATTTGGGTAGTCGTACCGTGTACGGAGTCCACCTATTCAAGGCTGAGGAAAGTGAGACTTGCTTTCGCTTCAGAAGTATCATGACTCCAAGTAGGATCCCGTTTAGGGTACGTACGGCTCTACCTATTATTATGCACCCCCCAACTGTCTAAGTGCACCACAACCCCCCCGGCGTCTTTCGCTTGTTGTCATCGGGGTCAATGTCCAACGCGACAAGGAGCAACTCCTCCCGAGAGCTTGGTGCTGTCGCCCGGGACAGGCTTTATTTTTCACAGATCCCTCTGATGGTAACTGAAAACAAACTACTGAACTTCTTAACAATAACAAGAGCCCAGCAATCCCCTAAACCTCTGAACACGCAAAACCTAAACCCTTGCAACCCCTAAACCGTCAGCAAGGCAATTTGAAGTAAATTCCTAACGAGAACGCAGCAATCCCTCAAACTCTAAACCCTGAGCGCCTGAACCATACACCCCTGGACCCGAAAACCCCCTCAAAAAACAAAAACAACTTAAAGTACAACTCCTCCTTAACAGCAGCCCAGCCATCCCCCAACACCCAAAGCTCCTCAACTGCCAACCCCGCCGAAAAACCCTAAACCATCCCAAACCATCCTAAACCCTACCCACAGTCTCCACTGTAGTTCCTTTTTTGGGGGCTTAACCAAATAGATAACTAGGATCCTAAAAGGTAACCCCCAAACGGAACTACAATGGAGACTAGAGGTAACCCCGAAAGAATAGCCCATCGGTCTCCTTCGTCATCTTCTGCACCAGAGTCCGCTGGAAGCCAGCGACATCGATGGTTTTCAACCAGGAGGTCCTGGAAACGAAGCTTAAACTTAGGGGGGAATGAATATCCTAGCCCCCAAAAGGCCGATAAGCGAGCCTTTTCAACAATTATGGTAGAACTATAAGCACCAGAACGTTAAAGGCTACCTACTCAGCTACTAAGTAAAGCCTAAATCGGATCTAGAATTCAAGTTCACGAGGCTTGCTGATAAGGGTTCAGGGACGAGGCTTCAGGCTGGAGGGCTTGCATAGACTGATATAGAGGCCTGGAATAATTGGAGTAGGGCTCCTTCCGGCAAAAAATTGCGCATAACCCTCTTTCCGTAAAAGTCTCTGACCACGCCCCCTGTCGGAGCTCAATTAATCCAAAGTGACAGCTGGCATCGGAATGTAGCTGTTGCGCATGAGGATGTCAGAGTAAGCACCCTGCTGAACCGTCATACGATACAGCTGAGATCCATCTTAACAGCGGTCCAAAATTCTGTGCTGATTTGGGTCTCGGGGTGCAAGGATAAAGGGAATGATGAACTCACGTTCTGCGACTGTCGTCGGTCAAGCTGCACCAATAACCAACTCAGGATGCTCAAGCAGTCGACCATTCTAGGCAAACACCAGATCAGCCACGGCTTGAACCGGACCAGCAACTGCAAACGGCACCAGGGGCAATCGGAGAAAAGTGGCAACCCGAAAACCATGATCGTACTAAGCCTTCGATGTTGTCCCGAATACCCAAAGTTAAGGAGCTCTTTTGAAGGTACCTCGGTTGAAGTCCATCAAGCAGCCATTTAACAAGAGTTGATGAAAACATCGCCTCAAACACGTCACTACCGAGACCCCGCCCCAGCAACCCCGAACTCTGAAGCTTCACTACCTGCTGCTCTACCTGGAATACGTGATCATCAGTTCTTACCCCTAAGAGCTCGATTGAAGGAGATTTGAAAGACCCCCATATCATACGGTTGCAAGGGCAGACATAGAGGGATTATGAGTAGGCTGTTCAATAGCACACCCGGAAAAGTATAACATTCAGTAGAAGCCCAGAAACACAGAAGAAATACACATGCGCCAATGGACAACCTACCCTAAAGCCTGAACCTAACTAGGTGATGCCAGGACGATTTTTCAGACCACTCTAGCAGGCCTCGAGCGCCAGTTACCCGGCTTTGTTGTGTGTGTGCTTTAAAACAAGGGCTTAGGGGTTTTGGATTCAAGGTTTGCCGGTTTAAGGTTAAGGGTCTCCGGTTATCCAACTCTTATCCAAATGGTTCCTTATACAGTCCAGGCTAGTGTAGGAATGAAACTCCTGTGCGTTTCGAAGAGCCTGCAGGTAAGGGTGCTCAACTGACCGTTTTGCGCTGTGCGTCGCGGACCTTTCGAACGTCAAAGCAACTACGGCTTAAGGAAATCGTCCATATCTAATAAAGGTTAGGCTGTAAGGGTTAGAGCCAAGGGCCAGGGCTTGCGGATTAGATCTTCTAGCCATGAGCTGTAGGAAAGGAAGCTGACGATTTAGGCTTAGCGTGTTGGGCTTAGGCCCCAGATCTACGTCCCCAAACCCCAAGACTGAACACCCCCGAAATCGGTCGCCGTGCCTTCCCGGTACGGCACAGGAGAGCAGCAGCAGCGCCAGAAGTTCAATGCCCAGTGCCACCATGCAGGCGAACCGGATAGCAGACTTCGGGGTCCGTGAAATTTACAGGCTCTCAGGCCTTCCAGCGACATGATGCTCTGGAGGTTCTTTTTTTTTTTTTACGGGCCCTTTTCCGACTGCATTACCAGAGGGAATACCTGCTCTGGAGGTTTATTGTTTAGGGCATAAATTTAGGGTTAGGCTTTAGGGTTTGGAGGGTTACGTTACGAGCTCTCTTGTTCCGGGTTTGCAGGGTTAAGGGGAGAGCTGTTGCTGAATCATGCTGGTCACGAACTTCTGGCATTGTCCTATGAAGACATCAGAACCGTTCCAAGTCCTTTCATGAACTCACATAGTAGTCAGAGTAATAATAATGGTAATAGCAGCAATAAAAATAATAGCAATAATCGTAATGATACTGGCACCCGTGAACCCAACTTAGGCCTCGTGAAGCACGCACCCCAATCCTCGGACATCCCCGTTCTGCCCTGCATTTTGCAGCTTGAAAATGGCTCCGAGGTGCTGCGGCTGTTGAAGACGACCACGACTCACGACTACTACCCGTATCCCTGGCACTTTTGCCTCAACCCCTCAAGGGTGACTGTGAAGCCTACAGTCTACAACCTGCAGCCCTCACCATTATGAAGGCGTAAAGCCCAGAATACTCTTCAACAGCATGCCCGGCATGCCCCTTCCTCATTGAAGTCTGCCCGCAACTGAAACTCCAAATGCTGAATCCTCTCAATCGATAAGTCAGCTTTTTGAGACACCATTGCTAGGCTTGTGCATCAGTGCATACCTGAACCCAGCACCATCGACATGTCAGAACACTCGACACACGCTCAAGCCCCCAAACTCTAAACCCTCAACCCTAACCCCTAAGCCCTCAACTCTACTTGCTGCTGGCCCTCGGGCTCACTGACTAAAGCCCCAAAGCCTAAACCCGGCTACTGGCACAAATTCCTAGAGATCTGAAGATCCGACTCAGGCGGGGAAGATGATGTTGCCAGTGGGGGTAGCCTCGGTCGCGGTTTAAGGCTTCAGGTGGTAGAGTTAGTTGCTGAGTTCGTAAGCCCCCCAAAAGGGTGTACACTTTTACTTTTATAGTGGGAAATATTATCCCCAAAAGTGTAAAGTGTATCCACTCAGCTACTAAGTAGATCTTATGGATTCATGCTTCAGACTTGAGGTCTTCGGGGTTCTACGGGTTCATCTTAGGGACCCATACTGCTAACCTTAGCCCTATCCCTCCAAGGACCTCATAGTTAGGGCCCTAGACCCCTTAAGGACCCCATAATAAGGTCCCTGGAGGCATGGGGTAGAGGTTCCGGGATTATGGGCTTTAGCGGTTTTTTTTAGGTTGTAGGGTATTTTGGGGGGTTTAGGCTTTCAGACTCTGGGGTTTCGAAACGCTCAGGAAGCCTTTGCCTTCCAGTAACCCCCAAGGGTCCAAAGGATCCAACACTTAGGTATTTGCGTTTAGGATAGTAGCTACGTAGGTTACTATTTTGGGAAGTATATTATGATAATTTGGTACTTGGGCCTTTAGGGTAATTAACTCAGATCATCTGTCGATGTGTATAAATTTGATGTTCCCGTTCCCTAGTAGTAATCTAGGTCCCAGTCGGGTGCATCATCAGCGTTATCGCAGCCCTCGTTTGGCTGCGAGACTGGGGCGCAGTCTTCCCAGTCGGCCTCCCTATAGAAAGCCGCTGCCCCGTTTTGCAGTTCGCAGTTCCGCAACATCAAGTCATCCGGGGCGGGAAAAGTCCTGATTCCGTCATGAAGGCGGCAATCAGTCCTAATTTGCAGCCAAATTCGAACGTTCTTAATTAATCAGCTTCTTCCAGTGCGTGTGCCGCGGCGAGTGCCTTCCGGCCTGTATCGCGCCCTCGGCCCAACGTGATGGGTTGGGGGTCCCACGGTTTAAGTTCAGGCTTTATGTTTTGGGTCTTAGGGTTCAGGGTTTGAGGTGTAGGGGCTTAAGGGGGTAGGGCTTAAGGCCTTTAGGATTTAGGTTTAGGGAACTGCCTCCTTGCCAGTGATCCTTAAATCGCAGTCCTAACCCTTATCAGATTCTTCGGATGAGGCCGGAACCCGTAAACCTTATGCCTTTAACCCTGAGCCCGACAAGACGGAAAGGTTTAGGGCTTGTGGGGTTTGGCACTCATCGGGTCTCGTAGACGCCCACTTAACTTGAAGCATGTCTTGTGGGGCTGGCGCTGACTCCACTGCGGGTAGATCCGCAGAGGCCAGGGATGTGGCAGCAGGGATACTCCTGGCTTTGGTTCAGGGTTAGCCTATTGCCTTCGTTGTAACACCGTTCTTTGGTTCACAGATGTTGTAGGACCCGAACCTAACCCCTAAGGGTCCAAGTACCCAAATAGTAGGGCTTAAAGTCCAAAAGCCATTCAGGGTATGGATTTTGGGATCTGAAACCCTACTATTTGGGTACTTGGACCCTCTGGGGCAGTACTTGTACCCTAGACCCTAAACCCTAAACCCCTAAACCCTAAACCCTAAACCCCTAAACCCCTAAACCCTAAACCCTAAACCCTAATGTTGTAGGACCCGACCCCAACAGTTAACACCAAACGGAACTACAATGGAGACTGCAGGTGTGGAGGTTTGAAGGGCCTTGGAGGGCTTAAAGCGAACTCCAGAAAGTTGGAATATGGAGTGATGGTAGGAGGTTCTATGATTTACCTTAAAGTGGTTACGATAATGATATTCCAATCTTTCTGGCTTCTACTGTGGGTCTTTAAAGTCTTGGGCAATTTGCTCAGCTTGGCTCGTTGGATTCCTTTATCAAGGTCCTCATGGGCCTGAATTGGGTTGAAAGTGAATTGCGGATGGCGCTCTAGTTGCGGGTTTGCGCAAATTAGGGGTACCTTTGATTGGGGTCCTTATGATAAGGATCCTAGTATTTAGGGTACTTTGTTAGGGCCCCCCATTTTCGGGAAGCTCCCATATCCATGCGGGTTAGTGGGTTGAGGGCTGGCTTTCAGAGCTTTCGGACATCAGGCCTTACTCCAGCAGCTGGCCCCCCCCCCCCGCCTCCGCCGGAAAACAACTCATGCCCACTTGAGTCTAACATATGAGTAGTTGTCAAAATTATGGTCCCTTTTCGGCTAGCCTAAATTATAGGTGACGTACTATATTAGGGACCCAAAACACGGGACCATAATTTTGAGAACCACCCATATGCAAGCAAAGGTACGTCCATTGGGCGATTTGGACCTCGAGCCGTAATGCTTTCCTACTTGGATACTACCTGGCAGCCACTTAGGCTTCGTTTGGCCGGCCTGCAGAAACTTAGCCACCCTAAACCCTCAACCGTCTCGGAAACTCTGCCAAAGAGCGAGGCGCCCGAAAACTGGCCAGGGCCTAACCCTAGCCTACTTGGAGGATCATGGCACTTAGTATGTACGGTTATAAGTATCTCAAGCGTTGATCGAGGTAGTTACAGGTATAGTTACCCTGTGAAAACCCTAATTACTACGTACCATGATCCTTCAAGTAAGGGCCCAGGTATCTCTTTACGAGAGCCACGAGAGTCCGGAATCTCCAATGGAGAGCCCTTATATCTGTGTTTGGTCTCAGAAATCCCTCACATTGTTAGGACTCGTAGTTTGAGTTGAGCATTCGAGAAACCCAAACGACAACACGAACTCAAACCGATGATAGAGTCTTACTAGAGGGGTCTTATGATCACTCGACTACTATTCTTTACACTTCGTTATACTAGACTTTTCCCCCCAATAACCTTAGCAGTAAGCCCCCTGCAGTGAAGCCCTGTCCTGCTCTGGACATCTGCCGCCAGACTCTGCGCCTCAAGAGAGGAGGGGGACGCGGTGCAGGGTTTGGGGTTTAGGGCCTAGCGTGTTTGGGGTATTCGTATAGGGTTTGGGGTTTGAGGGTTGGGTTTAGGCTCACGGGTTGCGGGTCTAGGGTGTTTAAGGTTTGGGGTTTCGGGTCGTTTCAGGGTTAATCGGTAGCCACAAGTCCCCCAAAATAGTCGCCTGTGCCGGTGGCCCCGCAACAATAGGGTATGCCTCCAAACCCTAAAACCCAAAATTCCGTAAGGTAGCAGAGTATATTGAACCCCATAACCCTCAACGTTAACCCGAAACCCGACACCGCGAATAGATCCACGGGTTGCAGGATTCGGCAGTGAGTCCCAAAAGGCCCGCTCCGCAGGCAAAAACCTTCCAGGGTCCATTTCCATTACGGGGTGGGTTTAGCGTTTAGGGTTGAGGGTTAAGTCCCCCGATGCAATGCATAGGATGGTCTTGTCGTGCCTAATTCCAGAAGGGTCCTATCTGTGGACCCCCTGAGTTTACCTGAAGGGGTTCCAATCATGTACCCCAATAGCACATACAGTGATTCTGCAAGCTCAAGCGTTAGACAAGACCCTCTGTGGCACCGGAGGCAGTGGTGTAACTACTGAGCTTCTAAACCATGAATCCCGTAAGACCTATGTACTTCCTAAAACCATGGATCTAGATGCCAAAACCCTGAACCCCAAGCTCAAAAACTTACCTTTGGTTAATAGGGAATGGAGGACTGGGGTATATGTATAACTACTACTACTACTACTACTACTACTACTACTACTACTACTACTACTACTACTACTACTACTACTACTACTACTACTACTACTACTACTACCATTCTTCCATTCCTACTAACCAGAGGTAAACCCCTAAACCACTAAACCCTAAACCCTATAGTTCCCTTAAAGGATCCCTTTAAAGGAACCCATTACTACCATTCTTCCATTCCCTACTTATAACCAAAGGTAAGAGAAGCCGTGATCTCCTGACCTTCCAAAATCCCTTAATTAAGGAATATCCCTTAAATTATACCCAAAGGCTCCATGTACCGTTATAGTAGATACTTAAGCCCCAAAGTAGTCCCTATATAGGTACTTTAAGGGCTAAGCATATACTATATGGGTACATGGAGCCTTAGGGATAGTAGGATCCTTAATATGATTTAAGGTATATTCCTTAATTAAGGGATTTTGGAAGGTCTGGGTCTCTGGGCCCTGCACCATGCCGCTGATGAACTGTGTGAAGCACCGCCGCGTCTCCGAGGCAGCCTCCGCAGAAGGGCTCTCTGTGAGGCCTTATGAATACTGTGGGGTTGTAGGGTTTAGGGTTTAGGCATACTATGGGGTCCTAGTTTAGGGTTTATGAATATTATGGGTTTCTAGTTTAGGGTTTAGGTTTAGGGAGGGTTCTAGATGAAAGACCTTTTATGAATACTATGGGGTTCTATTTTAGGGTTTAGGGTTTAGGGAGGGTTCTAGATGAAAGACCTTTACCTACTTGTCGGGTATCATGGGGAACTAAAGGTTAACCTTTTTGGTTATGTTTGGAAGTATGTAGGGACTATACTACCAAGCCGATGTAGCCTAAAACGGAACGTCCAAGCAGTCCGAACCTTGCGCCGTTGCGCCCTAGACGCTGAAACCGAAACCCTACTGTAATCCCCCCTAATCTCTACAGCTCTAAACCCCAAAACCCTCATAAACCACTAAACCACTGAATATGGGGTCTCGCAGCGAGTGGGAGGCTTTGTGGAGGTGATGAAGCCGTACGGGCAGGCTGGCAAAGGTAGCCCGTCCTGAGCTGCATCGTTTAGTTTGCCCCACACGATTACCGTGGAAGGACGTGGGCTCACTGCGGTGGATGAGGCACTTCACGGCCTTCTCGTCGAGCGAAGCTGAGAATGTGAAATTCGTCTCAGGACAGCTGCAGTCGCAAGTCCTTGATTCTGGCCATTTTCTGATGAAACTCATGGCTTCAGCTCAGTCGCTTTGAAATCAACCAAGCGCCTTTGGACCCATCTTGTCGCAACTGTCGCAGGCACAGCTTTCCTAACCCCTAAACCCCTAAACTTGCCCTAAACCCTAAACCCCTAAACCCCTAAACCCTAAACGCCTAAACCCTAAACCCCTAAACCCCTCAACCCTAAACCCTAAACCCCTCAACCCCTCAACCCTTAAACCCAATGTTTATCGCTCCTGGGCTCTTCAGACTTCGACCCTGCTTGGGCGCACGGGACTCCCCTACTACAAGCACACTGCTGGCCCGAACGGGCTTGCTGCCTGGTAGCTTCAACTCAGAGCAATTAGGGTTTAGGGTTTAGGGGTTTAGGGGTTTAGGGTTTAGGGGTTTAGGGGATTAGGGGTTAGGGTTTAGGGGTTTAGGGTTTAGGGTTTGCTTCAACTCAGACTGGGATGCCCAGTAACAACCTAGGAATAAACAGGGCTCCCTTTTTGGTATTGGGTAACTTCATAAGGAACCCAGAACTGCAAAAAGGGAATAAGGGTACTACTACTGGGCATCCTAGCAGAGCAATGCTACTAAAGCAGTGACCCTTCAAAGGCTACCCTGCAATCCTCGCCTTCAACCAACAAACACCTGCAAATTATCCTCCAGAGTCCTGAAGTACCAAAGACCTGAAGTCTGAACACCGACGAGTCTGAAGCTATCGCCACAAAGCCCCCCAAGCAGATCGAATTGAAGTTCTAAATGAGAGTTTCCGAAAATAGGGGACCCTAATATAGTACCCTAAATAGTAGGATCCTTATCGTAAGGACCCCAAAGTAAAAGTTACCCCTAATGTTTCGCAAACTCCCAAATCCAGAAACCTATAAACCCCAAAGCAACCCTACCGGGGAGGCTCCGATTGGCCCCAGCCTCCACCAAGGCGTTTGCTGCACGCTTCGCAGACTCCGGAGTCTTGGCAGCACCTACATACAGTGTCTGGCTTTAGCGTTTAGGATTTGATCAAGGTTGCAAGGGGCTCGGCCTTTTACTATCAGGGTTTAGGGCTTAGAGCTTAGAGGGCTAGGGGTTTTGATAATTAGCAAGGGCATTTGGAGTGGATCTTGGTCTAGCGACAGTGAGGAACGGGTAAAGTACTGGGAATTGTTTAGCAAACCTCGGTAGATCTCCCAAAAACCCTCTGAGCCTTAACCCTAACAACCCCAGTCCTTTTCTTTAACCCCAAGTAACCAATCTTTTTAAGGACTTATTCAAAGAAATCATATTCGGGAACCCTACAAAGGCAGGTTCCTTAGGGTCCAGGTTTACCTTAGTTCAACTCTACACCTCAAGCTGCACAGTAAGCGCTTTCTTCATGCTGCTAGGATCTGCGCTAGGCTGTAGGCTTTAAAACGGTGTTTCGCTGTTAAGAAATCTCCAGATACTCGAAGATACCCCTACTATCTATGGGTCGCTAAGTAAGAACCCTGAAATCTTGTTAGGATTTCGGGTTTGGTGTATAGTATGCGAGTCGCACTTCTCCGAGTCAGCAGAAGCCCTGCATGCCAGATCTCCGAAATGCTCGCAAAACGATACTTCGCAGGTACCTTTAACCACCCTATTTCCCAGAAATGGCACCCTTCCAAGACTCCGCACCCAAAACCTGCAACAGAAATTGTGTCGCCAGGCCGTCAACCCCGAAGCTCCAAAATTCACCAAAACCCTAAACCCTACCTCCACCAAATCCCCCAAACAAAAACCCACATCCCTAAGGCCTACACCCTGATAAAGCCCTGTCTGGCGCCCGGAGTGTAGATGTCGTACTTCAGCGCGTCGAAGGCTCGGGATGAAGCAAGGCGAGTTTCCTGGGTTTAGGGCTTGGGGGTTTGGGGGTTCAGGCTTTAAGGGTGTAGGGGTCTGTGGGTTTGCGTGTTTGGGGGTGTAGGGGTTTAGGAGATTCGTGGTTTAGGGCTTACAGCAAACTCCAAAAAGTTGGAAACCTAGTTAAGGACAAATAGTGCTGGGATGCCATATACTTTACTCTTAGGGATTGAGGCTATCGGGTTTCCAACTTTTTGGCTTCTACTGTAGGTCTACAACTCTCAGCCAGCTTGACAGCGGCATAAGAATCCTTTCAATCCTGCATCCCACAACTCCCAGCCCTAAACCCTAAACCCCGAGCATTTATTAATTCAAGGAAACCCTAGGAAAGCACCAAAGGTCATAATGCAGAGGTCTGAATTTGTGCAGTAACATCTAGGATGCCCAGTGAACTAGGAATAAAAATGGCTCCCTTTTTGGTGTTGGGTAACTTTATAAGGAACCTAGGACTACAGAAACGGAATAAGGGTACTACTGGGCATCCTAGACATATCCCCTCTTATGATCCCTGTATAATAGTACTACTGGCCGCACAACCTCTGCTTCAATTCTTTGTTGTAGGCCCTCATGTAACCGAACCCGGCCTGTACGAAACGACACTCGCATCCTATGAAGATCTAGAAACCACCTCAGCAAAAATCCGAGACACCTAAACACCTAACCCTAGCCTAAACCCGGCCTTCAGCACATCCGCCGTGACCGAGGCTGCAGATTGCAATGCTGGCAGCAAAGCCTTCGCGTCTTAGCGTCGACTCGTTATAGTATGAGGGCCACCCTAAGGAACCTGCCTTTTTAGGGTTCCCTAATATGATTTCTTCATAGTCCTTAAAAATTAAGCTATGTTACTGTGGTTCCTATCAGGGATCCGTCATGGATACGGATAAGGTTTTGGGGCTTTATACTATAGCAAGGATCCCCAAGGAATAATACTGTTGGTTATTTCGGCTTCTACTCTTTTCTACACTAAATGCAGTCTTCGATGCATTCCTTGCAGGTACGGCGTTCCTTTCAGGGTTTGTATAGGGGTCGGGGGCTTGGTGGTTTACGGTGTACTTAGACCCTTCGTGTACGAAATCCAGGCTGAACTTTTTCAAGCAGCGCAGTACCTAAGCCTCAACCTCTAACCCTAAAGTCCTTAAAGTTTGCGTAACAACAAAAGACATAAACCCGATAACTCCGAAATTTCCCAAAACCCCGAGCCCCAAACGCCGGACTCTGAACACAAAAAGGTCCCAGCCCCGAAACCCTACAACTCCAACCCTCAACGCTCAAACCTCCCCAAAGCCGGCTCCGACCTCCGGACACCCCGAAGCCCTAAGGTAAAAGCCAGAAAGTTGGAACATGGCTTTAGGAGGATTAGTGCTAGGATCCCTTATACTTTACTTTAAGGGCATAAGGCTAATGATGTTCCAACTTTCTGGCTTCTACTATAGACGGTAATGGCCTGCTGTCGCTGTTGTACCTCTTCGGGTTTGGGGGTTTGATGATGCTTAACGAAGCTGGGTTCCCCGAAAGGGTTCCAAGTGACCAAGCAGTACTACAGGGGCTTTTGGTCGCAAACACCTTTCAAAGTAGAGTAGTGGGCACTAAGCACCTGAAGAAGTGCGGACACTTACTGTAGGACCAAAGCCCACCGCACAAATACTCAACAAGCCTTAGACGACCTGAACCCTGCCCTAAACGCTTTAGGGTTTAGGGCTACATACCAGCCCTACTAACTCTGGACCTGTAGCCAGGGTCATGCGATTCGTCTGCTTGGGACATTACCGGTAGGGCTCAAGGTAGCTCAACAGAATTCTGTGTTCCTAGGGCCCAACATGATTTTAGGGTTTAGGGTTTAGGGTTTAGGGTTGATGAAGACATGAGTCCTAAGAGTCTTGGGGTACGGTTTAGCAGTCTGTGCTGCAAGCCATTGGAATCGTGGCTTGCAAGAAGCTGACCTCGCCCCTTCCAAGCCAGGCCAGCTAAAAGTGGCTCAAGCCGTACGTCAGACCATCCCTGAACCCTGAAAAGCCTGCACATGTCATGTCTAGGGCTCCTTCTTGTTGTGACTTCGTTCACATGCTTCCTCAGAGAGTCTTTTGCTTACAAGTATACCGTATAGCCTTTAGGCTTCAAGCCTGATTCAAGTCGACCCAAAGAAGCGACGGGTCTGGGGGCAGCTAGGTAATTAAGGACTCAACAGGGCTTCGGGCACAGAGGGTTTAGGCCTGGTAGGGTTTAGGGTCTGACTGAACATGCCGGATGTAGGGCTATGCAAGTCCTCCTCAACCCTGAAACCCGCCTGAACCCCCTGAACCCCAAGAACCATGAATCTTACCTCTGAAAACACTTCCCCAAGCTTCAAACGATTCAGAGCCGTCTGTTGTGAACAGATACCACCCAACAGACACACGCACAGCACGAAAAGAAGCACGGCAAACAACGACAAACTAGTATAGAAGCCTATATGAAACATTATTCTTGGGGGGTCCTTATTGTGGTAATGCTAAAAGGAGCCCACAACTCTTTAAATATGAATAATTAAGGCGCCTACACGGCCTACACGAAATCAAGGGCCTCCTCGCCAAGCCGATCCTCGTACTGCCGCCCCTCCACGAGGCTTGCCAGAGCCTGCGACGCTGTCGCTCTGACCCCTTACCCAACCTATGTAATAGATAAGTGTGGCTTCCCTAAACCCTAAACCCTAAACGCTGAACTCTAAACCTAGAGTCGGAGTTGCAAACTTTGGCTTGTGTTAGGGCTCCCTTGGTTTTCGGGCCTTTGGGTTGGGGTTTCACCCTGAAGCCCCTTGCTCTCCCGCCTTGCCAAGCCAGCTTGGTCCGTTGGCCAACCAGGACAAGCCCCCAGGAAGCTCCCCGGGGGTGGCAAGTGCATCCTCGGAGGGCGACAAGATCTGGAACGTAGAGGCTTCGTGGTTAGAAGCAGAACAGGGTTTTTAGGGCATGTTTTGGTACATAGTTCTATATAATTGTACCCTAAACGGACGCTGATGTGGTTGTAGCAGCGTTGTGTGGTGTATGGCTGGTCCGTTTCTGTGCTTCTGGCTGGTCCGATTTAGGACATTGAGGTTTGGGGTTGATGCTCAATGTAGGAACCTGATGTAGCAACCTTGGGTCTTCATCTGGGTTCTTGTTAAGGAACTTAATTTAAGTTACCATAATAAGGAATCCCTATTATTTACGATAGATCCCTATTATGGTAACTTAAATTAAGTTCCTTAACAAGAACCCAGCATATGTAACCCTTATGTTTTGGGGTTTTAAGACTAGGGTTTCTTGATCAGGTTCGTTCATTATCGTGGGTAACTTTATAAGGAACCTAGGACTACAAAAAGGGAATACGGGCACTACTGGGCATCCTAGGTTGGGGTTGCGGAACAGGGTCCCTTTAGCCTGTGGTATCTCCCGAACACGCTGCGAAACAAACGCAAACCGTCCCCCTTTGAGAAGTCAAGCAGGTTGTGTGTACCCCAATGCCCCAAAGCAGTTCCTTTTTGGGGTTCATATATAGAATCCTGTAGGGTAATCCCAAAAAGGAACTACTTTAGGGCCTCTGGATAGGTTCTCACTGACTCATGTAGAGTGATATGCGAGTTTCAGAAAACAGGGGACCTCAATACACAGAATCCGCAATAGTGTGATTCTCCGCAGCCTTGAATATAAGATACCTCTTGATTTCTGACCACCCATTGAAACCATTTAACTTGCGGAACACGACAAAGATGGACATAGCACACGTCGAAGCTCCTGATAGCAAACCCCACGAAGAAAGAATACATACGGGCTCTATATCAACTCTGTGCTCGCAGTTCAGAAATATCTGGGTGCATGACCTAGCTCTTAATCACTTTGGGCGGTCAGGATTTGGGCATCATCCCGAATACTCTGTCTCTGAACCCCAAACCCTGCAGCCTAAACTTAAAGTCCGAAAGCCCAAACCAATAAACCCAAGTCCAGAGGGTCCAAGTACCCAAATAGTAGGGTTTTAGATCCCCAAATCCATACCCTGAATGGTTTTTGGACCTTGAAACCCTTCTATTTGGGTACTTGGACCCTTACGGAAGTCCTATAAACTTTGTAAACAGCCCAGGCCCCGCTAAACCCTAGAACCTAAAACGGTGAACCCCACCGCTGAACATAAGTCAGGAGGCCGAAATCAAGCTCGAAGATCGGAGGCCCTCCGTTCGAGAGGGTTTAGGGTTTTGGGATTTGGGTCTAGGATTTGGGGTTTAATCCCTAAACCCTAAACCCTTTAGGGTTTAGGATTTAGGGTTTAGGGTCTAAATACCTTGACAGTAACTTAGGGGCTTCGAGATCGCTAAGGGTCCATGTTCCCAAATAGTCTATACTTTGGCCGCAACGTGCCTATAGGGGACCCTAATATAGTTCCCTAACTAGTAGGATCCTCATTAAATAAGGTACCCCTAATTTTCAAATGGTATCCCTGGTATCCCCCCCAGGCTCCCCAAGCCGAATCTGTGTGTGACTGCGCAAGCTTTTTCCACACGAGCACATGCCAAGCAGGCCACACCACACCACAGGGCGGAGTGGGGTAACCAGCCAAAGCAGACCACTCCCGAACCACACCACACCACACCGCAGCGAGGGGGAAGCAACCCACAACCACACCACACCACAGGGGGGGAGGAGGAACCATTGGGGGGGGGGGGGGGGGGGGGGGCCGGCCGAACCGGGATCATATATAGAGACGTTTAGGGTTTAGGGTATTAGGCGCTTAGGGTTTAGGGTTTATGGCCAAAGAAAATCTATAGTACTTGGGCACGTGGACTCTTAATGGACAGGCACTTTGACAGAAGCACCTGGGTGCTTGGGAGAGTAGGTGACCATAGAACTTATATCATCAACACTAGAACCATCCCCACATAGCAAAGCTGTGCATTGACGGATTAGTATTGGCTTATGGCATGTACGGCGAGCAAGCTTTTTCAAAGCCCACACCACAAACCCTTAGGCTGTAGGACACAAGATCCCACAGGACAGTGCCTGTGCCAGCACAGCAGCATCAGCTCGCTTCCTCTGCTTCAAGCAAGGCTTAAGGAATCCCAGCATGCACAAACACTAGCTCACTAGCTCAAGTAAAAGCCCTCAGATAGTCCGTTACGATGCCCCGCAGCCCCTGTATTCCGTCACAAAACTCTGATTTTTTTCTGATTTGCATTTGGGGTCGAGGAATACTTACTTGTCCAGTATCCGCGGGGGAACTAAAGGTTAAGCTGCGAAATACAAAGGCATTATGGTACCCCAAAAACGGTTAAAGGTCAGAAGCTCTACGACTATGAAGAGGGTTGTCGACCATAACTGAAAAAAACAGACGAAGCTTTATGAACCCTAGACCCTAGACCCTGCAAGACCCCACAACCCAAAACACGTACGTCCGAAAGTGATAAAAGCTGGGCTTGACTTGGCTGACTTCTGAACCCCTCCAAAGATTTTAACTTTTAGCCTCCTTGTGATAGTTCATATAGAAACCCAAAAAGTTAAAGCCTAAAAAGGCAACCAGAAGAACGCCAAGTTGAATTGAATCTGCGACGAGCCCCAAAGGGCTGGACAGAGTGGATATGTCCCCCTAAACCCTGAAAACCCTGAAAACCCCTAAACCCTAAAGCCCCTGAAAACCCTAAATGTTCAGTATGGTTCCTGAGTTACAGGGTGTTGTGATTTCGGCTTCGGGTTTAGGACCTGTTGCTGGGCCTAAGGGCTAGAAGCCTGTGGGCTAAAGGGGGTTGCAGCAAAGCCACAGCCGCTGAAGTGACTCCGACAGAGCCTGGCAACAGCTGCTGCTTGCTTGATAGTATCGGCTTTCGCGTGTTCGTATCCTAAAGTAACACAGAGTTGTTATTAAATTATTAGGGTAACTATACCCAGAGCTACTTATGGCCCAATCGAATTAAGGCACTGGTAACTGATAACCTTACATATTAAGTCACGGAGTCCCATGTTCCTCAAAGTCGTCCCAGCCTCGGCCACAGGGTGATTGGCACCCAAACTCGGCAAGGCCTCTGTATGGATGGCCATCCACTGGGTTTGGGGTGTATGTTGTGATATATTCTGAAGCACTCTAGAGGGAGCTCCAAGAAAATGTAGAATTTGTGGGGGTGTCGGGCTTGGGGTTTGCATGAGTCTGAGGACTGCATGCTTGCCTGGGGTTTGGGGTGTGCTGTCACTAGGGCTCATACGCTTGACCTTACATCGGAGGTCTTGTGCCCAGGTGCATATGATGGCTTGCATATGGGAGTGTCTGAAGATGGTAGAGCTGAATGCAATCAACGGCCGTAAGAGTAAATGGCACGGGAACTCCAATAGCAGTAGGAGCTTAGGGTGTGCATTGGGTTAAAGGTTCACTGGGGTCTATATATTCCAGGCTTTATCGCTTACGGTTTTCGTGTGGTTAGAGCTTGGGCCTTAGGCACACGTTTTGCTGCTTGGGCCTGCTCCACCTCCTCGTAGAGCTGCGCATGCCGGAGGAGCCGCATATCCTGCGAGAAGGGTTTTGAGTTTGGCTTACGCCTTAGAGTTTGGTTTAGAGTTCGTCTTTAAAACGGAAGTTTCCTAAATCTCAATACGCCTTAGAGTTTGGTTTAGAGTTTTCTAGAACGGAAGTTTCCTAAATCTTAACCTGCCATCTCCGAAGGTCTAACCGTCTAACCTCAATCCCAAGGCCACACGACCAACTTCTGAAATCGGGCAAAACGACATCACCAACTCAAGACATCCTGTAAAGACCTCAAAAGAAAATCGCTTGGAGAGGCAACAGCAATCCTCTGCCACCTTCGCCAAGGCTGTCCAGAAGCTCTCGCCACGCAGCCGGAGGGCGCGTTGCTGAGCGACAGGGGAAAAGGGAAGAGTGGACTTCGGAGTTGTTTCTGTCTGCTTGCTGCTGCTATAAGGGGAGTCGGGATACCAGTTCAGGATTGTCCGTTTCTTCTTGCTGTCCTGTGTTGCTTTGCGAAGATGTGGACCGATTCAAGGTTTGAGAGCAGGCATCCAACGACAGAACGGCTCAGATACTTGAACCCTTACCCTTATCGCCCTGGTTCTCCAGATAAGTCCAGTTAAGACAGGAGCCGCAATATTCAGAACGCGCTGTGGTACAATGCAGTATCAATCTACACGGACTTTACGGGTACACTCGTGCACCAAAAAATACGAACCCTATGGTTCCTGAGTTCAGCGATCGCCCTACTCAAGGGCTGACGGGACATAGTGAGGTTACAATTGAGGTTGTAGGTGCCGGAACTAGTGCTATCCCACATTTAGCCTTGCTTAAGTTTACAACCTTACTTATTACGTCCCATGGGCCTCTAAGTATGGCTTGGGTTTTCTTCAAATCCGGCTAGGACGCCCCAAGTATCCCTTGTGTCATAGAGGGTAATGAGGGGCAACAATGACGGGCAATTGAAGGGTCTAGACTGCAAGCTGAAGCTGCAAAACTAGCCCATGAAACATTGCAACTTCAAATGTCAAGTCTCCCTAAACCCTAAACCCTAACTAAACCGGCCCAAAACCCCAAACCCTGAGCCCCAAGCTCAACCCTAACTAAGCGGGGAACTGCCAACCGCAAAATTTTCGGAAACTCGAAACACCCTTATAGAGCCCTTTAAAGGAACCCTTATACTACCCTTATAGTAACAACTTTTACAAGAGCCCTACAGGAACCCTTATAGTACCCTTATAATATAACCATTTAAAGGAACACTTATACTACCCTTATCGTAACCAGTTGAAGGAACCCCCAAAGGGTCGATGCCGGCCTGGTCGGCTTCGGGTGCGACGAGGTCGCTGATGACTTCCTGGGACTTGAAGTTGCTGGGCTTTGAAGGAAAAGGGAATTCAGGAAAGTTGGAATATGGATTAATGGTAGGATCCCCTATAATTTACCTTAAAGGGGTTGCGATAATGATCTTCCAACTTGAAGTTGCTGGGCTTTGAGCCCTAAGGCTCCATGTACCCATATAGTAGGTACTTAGGCCTTAAAGGGGTCCCTATATGGTTACTTTAAGGCCTAAGTACCTACTACATGGGTACATGGAGAGACCTAATAGTAACCTAGGAATAAAGAGGGTGCCCTTTTTGGTTTAAAGGGGGGGTTATAAGGGAACCTAAACCCTCAAAAAGGGAATAAGGGCCTACTCTGGGTCCTAGAGGTAAGTCGAAGAGGAAAAGGAGGGACCCTTAATGGGGACCACTACCCTGTAATGAGCTATATAATGGGAATATTACTATATTAAGGTTATATACCTAGGGGTCCTTATTAAGGGTCCCTCCTTTTTCCCTTGGAGTAATGGTTCCCTTTAAATAACATGTCCCCCCCCCCAAAACAGTATCAAAGTATGGTAAGTATGGTACTCCGAAGCCCAAAGTTGCTGGAGTAAAGAGTTCAGAGGTAAGGGGCTTCGGGTTTAGGGTGGTGGGTTTTGGGTGGTGGGATTTGGGCGTAAGGATTTAGGGGTTCAGGGTCTAGGGTTTAGGACAGGGCTTAGCATGTAGAGCTTGAGGCTCAGCTCAGGCTTGGGAGGTTTAGAGGTTGGCTTTCGGTGTGGTTGGGGTCTAGGGCTAGTGTCGGTTCAGAGTTCAGAGATTAGGGTTTAAGATTTTGTGGGAACAGCAAGGGTGAATGTCGTGAGGCTGGAGACACACAAAAGCGTGAATTGCGGCAGTACGAGTTGGAGTTCGTTCCTCTTCCAGCCATTGGGAAGGGTGCCAAACATGCCTCGGCAAGACTCCATGGAAACAGCAGAAGTTTATACACTCTACACAAGAGTCCTAGAGAATCAACATTGCAAATCCATACAACACCACCCCGGCCCATGATAGAAACAAACTACAGCAACGTGTCAGCACTGGACTCCGCTGCAGTGTGTTTCAAAAGTCAGTCCGCTCAGGAAACTTATTGAACAACACACAGGACAGCCTATCCCTACTCTATTCAAGCCTCATACTGCCTGCTACTCCTTGCAGCTCATACAACTTGATAGCTGCTTCTGGCCCTCCGAACTCTGGGCCAGGATACCGAAGCAGAGGTGAGCCCAAGGAAAAGCATCGCTACCGCACCTTTCTTGGAGGCATTTGGAGCTCGGGGAGGGTTCAGGATCTAGCCCTTAGGAGGATCTTGGAAAGCCTTGCACCCTATACACGCTTAGCCTAGAAGTTATACAAACAGGGCGTTGGAATGAACGCTGAAGGGCTGAGCCTGGAGCATGCCTACTTGAACTGCCATATCGGAGTATATGATACGAACTTACAAACAAGTAGATTGTGGCTAGTGGTTCAAGGTATACTAGTACGCTGGCTAAAGGTGCGAAGGTGCATGCAGATCTTACCCTCGACAGAACCACAAGACTCATCTCTGCCGAACCGGTGCCCCTATACTATACTAGGCTATAATATACAATACTATACAATAATATACTATAATATACTATAATATACTTTTCTATACTACAGTATACTATACAATAATATACTACAGTATACTATAATATACTCTACTATACTATAATAAAAACCCCAAGCCCCAGGCTCAAGAACCACAAGCCCCTGAGCCTCCGAAACCACACGTTTCCCAGCACAGTTTGCTTTGCGTGTCTGAGTGGTTTAGGGTTTAGGGGTTTAGGGTTTAGGGTTTAGGGGTTTAGGGTTTAGGGTTTAGGGTTTAGGGTTTAGGGGTTAGGGTTTAGGGTTTAGGGTTTAGGGTTTAGGGTTTAGGGTTTAGGGTTTAGGGTTTAGGGTTTAGGGTTCAGGGTTTAGGGGGCTGTGTCAATGTATATAGGGCCCCAGAACCAAAGAAAAGGACTACTTGGGCTCCACATCATGTATACCTAGAGGCTCCATAGTAGTTCCTTTTGGGGGTTCATATATAGAATCCTATAAGGTAATCCCAAAAAGGAACTACTAAGGAGCCTATGGGTAGGGGCTTGCATGAACCCTGAGCCACTGAAGGTACAGCAAAATCACTCCTGCCTCGTGGTCGTCAAAGGCCCTCAAGAACTAATTGGTCTCCAGTCATTATCACAGTATATACAAAAGGGGCTTTAATAATTACCTATACTACTTTGGGGCTTCGTGATTATCGTGTTATAGTATAATGGGCCCCAAAACCCTCTTCTAATTGCTAAGGCCCCTATATTAAAGCGTGTGGGGTTCTTTGCTTGATCTGGGCTGGCATATAGAGCTTCATGTTGGGGTTGTAGGACGCAGGGATTCAAGTCTAACAGGGTCTACTCTAGGGATCTTCAGTCTTGTTCATTAGAATAAGATTTTGGTATAGTATGAGGTAAGTGATCATAATACTAGGCAGCCCTTATTAGGAATCGTAGTATCAACTGCTGAGAACTTCGCTGTTACCCCGCGGAAAATAGCCAAGAAACACTTCGCCAGACTCATCTTCCCATACATGGACGAAGGGTTTGTCTAGAGATAGGAGTTCCGGACGAAAGAGGTACTGTGGGCCTCGACAAGGGATACTCTTGCAATATATTCCAACCCCCATCTCTTGAATGCTGACGCCTTTGACCATGCAGTTGGGCCTGGGGCTCTGAGGGTTTCGGGTCTAAGCCATTTACAGGTGGGTAGTTTGTAGGTGGGTAGTCTCCCATAAGCCTCCCATACCACTCCTATAAGGTAAAGGGGTCTTATGGGAGTACTATGGAAGAGGAACTACCCACCTGTAATGGGCTTCTATTTCGGATCCCCGGAACCCTAAACCCGCTAACACTGACCGGCAAGACTTTCCGCCGGAAAAGGCTTGAGATAAACGGCTGCAGGGACCTCTGCTGAGTTTTTTGCGTGTTTCAGGAGTTGGCACATTGAAGGGTTTCCCTAAACCCTAAACCCTAAACCCTAAACGCACATTGAAGGGTTTGTCTTTGCGGGCCTAGGGGCATTTTTGACACCTTGACACAGGGCCTCAATAGTTGACAAGAGTTAAAGTTCACGGGTATATCGGCGTGTTGGTAGAGAGTATAAACATAATCCGGAACCCTCATCAAGCATTATGTGTATATATACATATATATATACATATATATATATACATATATATATATATATATATATACAGGTAATTAGTTATATACTCAGATGATGAGTAAACACAAAAAAGGCAATGGAGCTCGAAACAGCAGGTTCTCACGGAGAGGAAAACCAGAGCTCTAAGGTTTAGGATTTGGGCCGAGTTTTTTGCAGGGCTCAAGCTTTGCTTTAAGACTGTCGGCGCAAAGAAGCCCAAAAGCCTCATGAACTACTAGCTTGGGGCCTCGGGGCCTTCAACTAGGCCTTCTGAGAGCCATGGGGAAGGCATTGTGAAGCAACGATGCGCGGATTACGACCCGACGCCCGAAAACATCTGGGGTCGATGGGCGGTTAGCAAACGTTGTAGTATAGGGGCCTTGATGATTAAACTAGGGCTTTGGGGCCGATTATACTAGAAGTATGGTAAGGAATCCCCCCCCACCCCAAATAGTACAGGTAATTACGAATAAGGCCCCTATAAAGGGACTTCAGAAAGTTGGAATATGGTTTCAGGGTAGGATACCTTATAATTTACCAGAAAGGGCTTAGGATAATCATATTCCAACTTTCTGGCTTTTACTTTAGTACCCTCAGCCCGATCAGGTCTAGAACCGTGGAAGTCCAAGACTCGGACACGCTGTGCCCTGAAACTCAGAAAATGAAGCTCCCACAACAGAGCCAAGGGGTTTAGGGGTTTAGGGGTTTAGGGGTTAGGGGTTTAGGGGTTTAGGGGTTTAGGGGTTTAGGGGTTTAGGGGTTTAGGGTTTAGGGTTTAGGGGTCTAGGGTTAGCACTACACACAAACCCGAGATCCTGAAACCCCTCAACCCCGAGCCCCAGACCCGAAACCTACCTATAATTTAGGGAGGTACAATCTTAAAGCATGGTAAACCTATAAACCAGACCATAAATAAGGAAGATACACCTTACAGTTATACTAGGATCCCTAATATGAGGTATGGTATATTCCTTGATTAAGGGACATTAAAACGGACTGAATAAACACGGCTTAGCGGCTAAGCCCCTTCCCCCCCATAACCTCTAAGCCCGGAAACCCCTAACCCCTGAACCCTAAACCCCTACCTTGAGCCGGAATAACCTACCTTTTTAAGGACTTATATACGGAAATCATAATAAGGAACCCTAAAAGGTAGGTTATTCCGGCTTAAGGTAACCCCTGAAAAGGAACGTCCGGGAAAACTTCTGGAGCTGTCCTGGCTCCTCTCATCGGCTTTGGGGCCCACATCCGGACGTGCACACAGCGGGAATCGCCACGGACTATTTTGCCTATAAGGTCCCTTCAAACAGATAAATGAAAAACATGTGTGTGTGTGTATATATATATAATCCTGTTTTCAGTTTGTGCTATTAACTATTAAATAAAGGTTCCTAGATGACAGTCCCGAGGCCCCAACTCCAACATTCGGATTGTGTGGGTGCCGAAATCGTTCAGGAATGGCTGGCTACTTGAACCCCATAGGGCGGAGTTGAAGCGGGTTTCGGGTTTCGGGCTCAGTAAGTGCAGGGTTCAATAGCTGCCCTGGTCCTCCTGGCAAAGTGCTTGTTGCGCAGAATGGATCGGAAGTTTGGACAAGAGCTCGCAAATGCAAGCTGCTTGAGGGTGGCTGGGGTTGAAGGGCTTGGTGAACCAGGGCTAAAAATTCTGCGTTCATACACGTCTCATGTGCGCCATATGGGTGGTTGTCAAAATTATGGTCCCTTTCGGGTCCTTATTATAATACGGCACCTAATATTTAGGGTAATTACCCAAAAGGGGACCATAATTTTGACAACTACCCATATCTGTGCCAACTCTCCGGCTACTCTGTAACGCAAAGGCTTGAGACAGCGAGGTGGCGAGAGGCCGCAGCGGAGATGAGGAAACGCACAGCCTTTTGTTCTGGAATCCCGAAGATGACTTTGCATCCCTAAGGGTCCATGTAATTACCCAAAGGCTCCGTGTACCCATGTAGTAGGTACTTAGGCCTTAAAGTAACCATATAGGGACCCCTTTAAGGCCTGAGTACCTACTATATGGGTACATGGAGCCTTAGGGCTTACCCTAGATAGTACATGCGTTGGCCCCTATATAGGGACTACTTGAAGGCCAAAGTAAATACTATTCGGCTTCATGGACGCCTAGGATATACCGAAAACTTGAACACAGAAGCCACAATGTGTGCGAAGGTTGGCGGTTGACTGGCTTATAGTAAACCCCAGAAAGTCGGCTACCAATTCTGCATCAGTAGTGCTGGCATTCCCGACACTTTACCTTAAGGGCATCAGAATGGCGGTGTTCCATTTTTCAAACTTCTACTGAAGATGCTGTTGGTTTGGAGGGCTGTGAGTTGACAGGTCGGGGTCATGTCTGCTGATAGGCTCGTCCTATACCTTGACCTACCAAAACCTACTTTTTTGTAGATTCCATATTAGGGCTTACAATAAGAACCTACCAAAAAGTAGGGTTTGGTAGGCTAAGGTATACTGACCATGGACGGTGATTGACGGAATCTTATTGAAGCTGCAGATCTTCGTAAGAGATCCTGGGTTACAGCTACCCCTGACCGTCTAAGTACACCCTGGGCCAGCGAATACCCTGAAAGTACACCCTGGGCTAGTGAATACCCTGAAAGCGGCATCCCGAACCGCAAGCATCCCCCGCAGGAGGGAGTGGTGACCTCATTCTGCGCCTCGACCTTGACTTTCAGAGCCTCCGAAGCGAGCTAGCATGGGAAGTTCTACTTTCGTTGCATCGATGCTACGGGTTTAGGACTGGGGCTCAAGGCCTCATCCAGAAAAAATAATGGTGTAGCTTCCTTAACCTACCAAACCCTACAAAAAAGTAGGGTCCCTATAAATTCCATATTAAGGTTCATAATAAGAACCTACAAAAAAGTAGGGTTTAGTAGGCTAAGGTTAAGGTTTTTGGACCTTGGTTTGTTTGGGATTTAGGGCTTGAGCTTGAGCTCTCGGGCTATGTGGGTGGTTGTCAAGATTAAGGTCCCTGTTTGGGTCCTTAGTATAATACGGCACCTAATATTTAGGGTACCCAAAAAGGGAGCTCTCATATAGTACCATCAAATAGTAGGATCCTTATAATAAGGAGCCCCAAATAAAGTACCCCGAATTTTCGGAAACTCCCATGTAGTTCTGGGGTTCAGTGATCGGAGCTGCTCAGGCTTGTGCAGTCCAGGGGAGGACTTGACGGGAGACCGAATGCCTCATTATTCGGTGCTGTCTTAGTTTTCATATCTCGCATCTGAAATTACGCCATGATGATTCGGAGCTGTCTTGGTTTTGATATATCTCGCGCGTCTGAAATTAAGCTGTTAAGACCTGCCCGGAAGAGCAAAAAGAGCATATACTCGCATAAACACACACACACACACACACACACACACCCCCGCAGAAAGGCAGGCAAACCCACAAACGGGCAACCAAACAAACACAAACACACACACACACACACATGCACAACACCAAAGATACATGATCGCATACATGCATGCTCACATCAATGCATCCGTCGAACCATCCATACATCCATCCGTCCGTCCATACATCCATCCATACGTCCGTCCGTCCATGCATCCATCCATCCATCCATCCATTGATCCGTTGATTCCTTGGTTCCTTGCCTCATTGATTGACTGAGTTGTTCGCTCCTCCATGCTTTCGTTCGTTTAGAGTAATTCGTTCCTTTCATCTCATGCATTTCATTCATTTCTTTCATTGAACCTATTCATTCATTCATGTCATTGAACCTATTCATTCATTCATTTGCTTCGTTTCATTTCATTTCATTCCCTTTCATTTCATTTCATTCCATTCATTCATTCATTCATTCATTCTTTCATTTCTTACATTTCTTTCACTTCATACCTTCGTTGATTCGTTCGTCCACTGCATGCCAACCAGCCAGACAGCCAGCCAGCCGTGCAGCCAACCACCAACAAACCTACTTGCCTACAACTGCCTGTATACATCCATGCAGGCCTGCATCCATATAGCAAAAACATGCATGCAGTCATGCCGACTTCCATACTTGCATATATACAGAAGCGGACGTGAGTCTTGCAAAAGTGATATCTTTACTTGAAGGTTTTGGTAATCCTGGATGCCGAGGGGTCGACAATTACAACCGCTGAATTGTGTCCCAAGGCAAAGGGCCCTAAACCCTAAAAACTAAACCCTAAACCCTAACAGTGCCCGCATGCAATGGCCCTGGAAGCTCTGCATGTCCTGTACCGTACCATCTGCGCTTGCGCTCTCACCACGCGTTCTGTAGAAAGTACCCAGAGGCTCCATAGTAGTTCCTTTTTGGGGATTACCTTATAGGGTTCTATATATGAACCCCCAAAAGGAACTACTTAGGGTAGGCTTGCG